AATATAGAAGAAGAAGAAGAGTAAGAAGAACGGAGAAAACTAAAGCATGAAGGTGAAGAAGATACTGTGTAACATTAATCTTTGATGAAAAGAAACGTCTATAGCCCCCAAATGATTCACATCAATTCCTTAAGATTTGTTCGTAACCGATTTAATTTTGCAGTCGAAACTTTTTACAGGATGGAGAAGCCAACTCTAATCCCAATCATGCCCTGAAGTCATATTTTACAATATGCTTGATAAAGTGGTTTGTTATATAATTATCTGCCTTCCCACAAGGCTCCAGTAACATAAGAGTGGCTACATACACCCTATATGTCCTGTCAACACTGCTTCTGTTCAAATTCAGGCAGTGACTACTGTTAAATCAATGAATGAAGAAATGAACACTGTAATGATCTTGATAAGGGTTAAATTGGGAATACCCGACTGAATACATAAAGTCAATATTGCACATTGAAATGTTCAGACCTGAATAGTCAAAATGTGTTGCACTGGAACTGCGATTACAGTTTTGTATAAGTGTTCTACTAAAGTATAACTGAAGCCATTGCTTGCCAACGTCGATCTATATGGGGGAGCTGTAAGTTGAGAGTGTCATGAAACCTTGCCAGAAACAAACCAGCAACATGACAAGCCCAGTATGGTGGCGGTTCATGACAAAGACAACTATGAATATTCAAGAATATTAATGTGGTAAAATGAATAGATTTATATGTACCAGCTGGGACTCACAGAAAACAACACAACAGAGAGATACATGAGGGTGTGCTAAACCATAATTGAAAAAAAAAAAACCTAAAAGCTGCATACCAGATTATAAACTATCATCTCCACAAAATTCTGTCATCTTCCTGAAGAATGTACTAACACAATTAGGCACAACATCCGTGCTAAAAATATTCTTCTCAAGCATCTCTCCATCCTTAGGGCTCACCCTACAACCAGCAAGATTTTCTCTGAACTATCTCTAGTGGCCTAAAGGCATTACCGTAACCTCAAGGACATTCTAGTTAAAGATTCAGTTACGTCCTGCCTCTGATTCCAACTTCGGGACGGTCTCTTGCCACAGACCTGTATGCAGGACCTGTCCATATGTGGTTCAGGGTACCAGCCACCTTCCACCTACGTGAAGCCTTCTATTGCATGAGCCATAATGTAATTTACACCATCAACTGCAAGAGGTGTGGCATTAAATACATCGGTGAAACGGGTTTACGACTGGCTGCACAGATTCAGACAACATCTTTTGGATGTGCAGAATAGTGCCCTGAAACCAGTACCACTGCATTTCAATTCTCAGAACCACCAAAGTGTCCACGACATGGAGGTGATAGCCATTAAATCTAGCCACTCCAGCGACAAAGTTCGCAAGTCTCTTGAAAATCGCCTAAATCCTAGGGGGCTGAACTGCCTATACAGTTTCATCTTATCCTCAAGTGACGGCACCTGGCATATCCCCGGATATTTATTTTTCCGGCCCCCATGTGCCTCACCAGACTATTGTCTTGACATTGACCTGGCTGCCACAAGATACGAAGATAAGTGATATTGTGTATTCGTTCTGTTTTCTATCTTTCCCTGGCCCTTTTAAAAGTGTGACATTACTAGCCAGCTTGCCTTGTTCAAATCTGACACCATGTAAAATGTGTCTGTTGTCTCATTTATCCACTAATATACACTTATTTTCTTTTTGATGAGACAATATTTACGATTTTATTTAAACTCATCATATATCATATAAATATGTATGATTTTATTAATCCAGTCATTCCCACACTTAGCTGAGTTGGGTTGAGATAAGAACTGACTTCATGGCACTTGGGACATTCCCATAAGTCTCCGCCCTCATTTTGGCAGCCAGCGAAGAGTTCAAATTCTGAGAGTATCAGTAGCAGTTTTTTTATATTTCCATCTTTTCTTTAATGTTTGGGGAGACTGGCAGAAAGCTAGCTGATCGTTTCCGGGAACACCTCTCCGATATCGACAAGAAGACACTCAAACCAATCCCTCTTCATTTTAATAGCCCTGACCACAGCGGTAAAGATGACATATCTGTCACAGCATTAAAATCTTGCTCTGGCGATCATGCTACCCGCCACGCTTTGGAAAATCGCCTTATCCACAGCCTTGGCGTTCTTAGTCCAAGAGGTATCAATATCCAACATACCTTCATCTAAATAGTTCTAATCTTATCACATTTTAAATGTTCATTATTTTATTTTATTTCATATTATCACCTTATTCTATTTCTTATCAGTATCATTCATGTATCATTAACACTTGCATTTCTTTTATTCCCAGTATTATGACTATATTTTTTAGCCATCGTTTATTTTATTTTATTTCATTTATTCCGCATGACATTTTTTTAAACGTCGCTCACGTCACCCCTTAGATATCTACATACTCTCCATTCCTCGTTTGTGTCTTTCACTTGTGTTTGAAAAAGGCTGCCCGGCCGAAACGTTACGTTGTGTTGTTTTGTGCACGTTTTCCTCTTTCCCATTTTGTTGAGCTTTTTAGTCAAATTTCTCTGGAATTCATTCTGAGTGTAGAGTGTGGGCCTGATCCCCACATTATCATTTCTTAATCAAATCATTAATGTTTATCAGTCTTCATTAAGTTTCTACATTTAGCTTAACAACAATACTTCATTTACTTGCATTATGACATATCTTTGACACTAACCTGACTGCATGACATGGGAGGAAAGCATGGTGAAGCACATCTATGCCGCCTTTGAGGCTAAGACAGGAGACACTATAATCAACTCCTCATGGAAACATATTCTTCTCCATCAAGCCCTCATATGGACTCTGGAAGGGAACAGAAAATGGGCAAGACATGGAGGGACCCTGTGTAGAACAATCGTCAGGGAAGGCTCAACCAGGGGCCAAATGAACATCCAAGTCTTTAAACAGGTGGCAATGAACAGGTAGACATGGAGAGCTATGACCTCTGCCTGCTGCACCACCCTAGGCTTAAGAAAGACTAATTAACTAATATGGAAACAATCAGCAGAGGTACCTTGGAGTAGCTGCTGCATCTGAGGACTGAGCATGCCTGGGAAAGTCCAATGTGGTGTGACGACGATTGTGATAATTAAACTTATCTTATCTCTTTCTTACCTGTTGTTGTTGCTGAAGCAGCTGTTGCTGCTGTAAGATGACTGCCTGCTGCTGCTGATGTTGATGTTGTAGTAAGGCTGTCTGATGCTGTTGCTGCTGCTGCTGTTGTTGCTGCTGCTGTTGCTGCAGGAACGTATTTGGACTGTGGTAGACAGCAACTTGCTGGGAACCAGGAAGATCTAAAGAAGAAATCACTGAGTATAAATACAAAAAACTACTACAATGCAATCTCTCTCTCTCTCTCTCTCTCTCTCTCTCTCTCTCTCTCTCTCTCTCTCTCTCTCTCTCTCTCTCTCTCTCTCTCTGTGTGCATTCGTGCATGTGTGCATCCGTGCATGCACACAAGCACGCATGTGTGTGTATATATGTGTGTATTTGTGTTTGAGTGTGTCTGTGTGTGAAAATGTGTGCGTGTACATGCACGTGTGTGTGTGTCTGTGTGTGTGTGTGAATGTGTGCACAAACACATTGGTATTAGCTTTTCTTGGGAGTACAAAATGCAGGCTGAGAGAGAGAGAGAGAGAGAGAGAGAGAGAGAGAGAGAGAGAGAGAGAGGGAGAGAGAGAGGGGGGGGGGAGATTCCATTGCATGGGCAACACAGGGTCTCCTTAAAACTACCCAGATTTTGTGCTTTGTGAAAAAGGAACTTCACCTCTGGCCTTAACTGGGTGAGGGTATCTTGTTTGTCACACCCACCATCACTGTGGACTGTCATTCCTAAGCCTTCCTATGAGTTGAGTTGAATTGAGTTGAGTCAAGAACTGACATCACAGCACTCAGGACATTCCCATGCGTGTTCTGTCCTCATCTTTAGCAGCCAGCGCAGGGTTCCAATACTGATGGTACCAGTCACAATCTGGTTATATGTCCATCTTGCCTTTCCTCTGAGTGTAGTAAACCGGCCAGACCCTCTGGCTACACCCAGGTGCCTCATTCTCTCCAGGCCATAAAAGTCTTGTTTCTCTACTGATTCTGTTGCTTGTATATGCATTCCTATAGAATACTTTAACATGTCTGGAAAGATGCAAAAGGAAACTGCCAAAAACAATGTATGTGCCCCTAATACTAACAGCACAAAACATATTATTCTTATGTAGTTCACAGGAAGAAAATTCTTTAATGTCTAAACAGTGTAAACTGCTTTAGGCGATCTCAGATGTCATGAATTTCTGTTGTGAAGAACACTTTGTTTATCCCCAGTAATTTTTCTTGCTTGAATTCTTATCTGGATAAGAGGGATATCTGATAAGAAGAACCATTTCTTAGGTCCCAGGTGAGTTCCCCTTATCGGGTCTGCAATATATTTTCATTTTACAGAGGTATAGGATGAAGACCTAACCATCCGAGGTCGAGTGAATAATGAAACTATCAGGCAAATTGTGGGAAGGACACCTTGTACTAGATTCATCAAGAAACAGCAGATCAAGTGGTTTGGCCATCTCATTAGAATGCAGCAAGATCATATACCATCACAAGCACTACATCTCAGAAGATCAGCTACAAGAGCAAGAGGATGGCCACGGAAAATGTGGATTGGCAACATTAAAGACACTCTACGCCTTCACGGCATGACAATAGCCAGTGGCAGCCAGCGTGGCAGAAGTGGTTTATGATGACGATGATGATGGTAGAATGAGGAAGGGTCCTGAGCCTAAGGACTTATGACCATAAGGTTAGTGCAGTCACCTTGAACTGTTCAAGTACAGAGTTTATTTTTATATTTGCCCCCAACAAAAACACATACAAATGTCCATCTCTGATGTCCCAATAAAAGAGCCAAGCATTCTAACCGATTGGCCTCTGCTAAAAAAAAAAATACAAAAGAATGAACATGAAAAAGAAATAGCAGTAACATGACACTTATCTTACTATGAAGAAAGGCTGGCTGCTGATGTGGCATATCTGTAGAACTGAAAAGCAGAGGAGGACTGTCACCCATGGCTTGACTGGAATGAAGACCTGTGTTGGGTACCTGGAAGGTGACTTGTCCTAAATGACTACTTGTGCCTATTACAGACTTGGATCGGGGTTTTACCGGCAAGGGTGGTTTCACTGGAACTGGATAAACCACATGTGGAGGAGTCTGTGCAGACAATATAATAAAGAGATTTTGTGTGACACCAAGATTTCTATATAATTATGTGAAAACAGATCATGCATATGAATATATATATTTATATATATATATATATAATATATATATATATATATATATATATATATATATATATATATATATATATATATATATATATATATATATATATATATATATATATATATATATATATATATATATATATATATATATATATAATGTATTATTTTGATTGTACATATGGTAGTATTTCACTGTTTGTACAGACAAATGCTTAACTCTTTAAGGCCCGAGCAATGCTGTGAGTGTTGATTGAGAAGTTCCGATTTGCCCAAACAAAACTGTCTGCGTCAATCATGTGTCCCTTACAGATTATTCGCACACAGCTCCATATTAGCTTTTAATGTTCAAAACTACCATTAAAGTATTCAAGGAAGGTTACTCTAACATGTTTTTCTTTGTATTCAAATCTTTATTCGCACATTTTGGGCGCGAACTGATCCCATTCATTGTTAGCGACATTTTCACAGAGCGCATTTTATAATTTCTTGTAAGACTGGCTATGGATACCAATGTTCCAACCACAAGTACAGACCGCAAAGTGTGCCTTTCTGCGGCTAAAGCTGTGAAATGGTTTCAGTCAGATGTTTTTTATTCTAATAATGATAGTGACAATTTTGATTTTTCGAAAGTGATTCGGAGAGTGAAGTTACACTAACGGCAGCTGAGCGATCAGCTGTAGTAATCTAGTAATTCTGCCACAGTGAATGTTCTACTGTTACCCTATTTAGGGTGTAAGAGTAGAAAAGTACTCCAATCAAATAAACAGTACCATACTATGGCTAAGTTACATTGAAATCATTGCAGCTACAGTCTGTATATAACCATGCAAAGTAAATATTGTGTGTGTAATGGTCCATTTTTCTGCTATTTTTTCTTTAAAATTTTGTTCAGCCCTCCATGAGAACTTGGAGCGTCTAAGTGCCAAACTAACTCAGAAACTTATCATAACTTTGGAATTTGTTAGGAAATTAAACAAACTTTACAGTAGTATTTGAAAATTTTTATATTCGCTACTCTTGTGGCTGCAAAACCATTTTAAGTGAAGAATTGTTTTGTAAAATTTTGTCTTTGTAAACTTTACACCTGCTGAATTCGTCTTTCCTACTAATTATATAACAGTGTTAAACATAAAGATTTAAACTGTACGTTCATTCCTCTTTACAAAAATATATACTTTTTAAGTGTTTAGAAATATACTACATACTCTGGTGCCTTTATTTTACACCAACCTATCTAATATTTTTGTAAAGGGAAATTAATGTGAGCCAAGTCTGTCAAAATTCATGGGTCTGAAAGAGTTAAGTTGAGAGTATTGACTTCATTAGTTCAGGTTATCCCATATGGTTTTATCTCTATCTGAAGAATGATTAACCACCTGCACAAAGCACAAACACCCTATCTCTAGTAACGACCCCAGGAATTTCTGTAAAAAATGCACTCAAGAACTGAACGATGGGTCTGTGAAACAAACCAATGGCCTTCAGATCTTAAGACAAATGGTTTGACTATTCTGCCATGGAGACTGCTGCATACATATTGATGCATATACAGGCATACAGACAGGCATCTGAGGTATGTCACATGAAACCTGTCCTGGTGGCACTGTCACAAATGTATGAAAGATATATTAGCAGATGTGGCAGAAATAAACAAAGTTAACTGTTAAGCAGGAAGCTGGTAAATGGGATAATTAAATAAATGATTATTAAATTGGAAAAAAAAAGGTTATCAAAGTCGAATGCATATAGCATTGACTAGAGACAGGATCCCTAACCACCAGATGGTTTAGGTATATGAAATAATAAGCATCTGAATTATGGTTGACGCCCAACACTCAGGGGAAGGATGAGAATCAGACAGTTACTGGTACCATCGAAATTGGAACTCTTCACTTGCTGCTGAAGATAGGGACTGAGCACTTATGGGAGTGTCCCTAGTGCTGTTATGTCGATTTTTAATTCAATATTTAACATTCAAGCATTTGAATTATTAAAGAAATTAATAAGGAGATGCAATAAAGCCAATCAAGTCACAGGCCAAATGCCCCAATTTTAAAATGCAAGCATGTGACTTTGAACACTAAACGAGCACAATATTCATACCAGTGCTATGCTATCAGTGTACAACATGGACACTTCAGAAGACAGAATGAAAACAGTCACAACAGAAATAAAGTGTTTACGTACTATGCTATGTGTAACAAGGTAAGACTGACTTAGGAACAATGATATCAGGGGGAGAGTTGAGATAGAACCACTACTGAACTTTATCAGTAGACAACAAATCAAATGGTTTGGCCATGTAATAAGACTGGCATCAGAAAGGGTACCACAGAGAGCAATGTTATACAGATACAGTGGTAACAGAGCCACAGAGAATGTGGACCACAGAAATGTCACAGACAATGAAAAGTACTTTATACGAAGCGCACAGAAGAGCCTAATCCAGAGATCTCTTCCTGCCCTGACGCCGGGAGGCATTCCAGGAATAGAGGAAAGAAGAAGAAGATTAGCACTTGAAACCTAAACAGCATTGTATTCTCACTTGTTTTTATGTTCAATTTTAAAGCTAGAAAAAAAGTGAGCTAGTGTGTATATGGCCGGTCGGTGGGGAGACCAATGTAACTATTACCAAAAATATTACCATTTCATCATCACTGTCCTCTAGCTGAGTCGCCCCTGCACCATGAGGTGGCAACATGGGTTGTCCCATCCTGGCCATTCGGGATATCAGTTTAGCTTTGCTGATGTCAGGTGACTAAAAGGAATGAAATAGAAAACAAAACTGTTATAACATTTCTTCCCTTCAATTTGTCATTTTTCTTTTACCCTGATGGCAGTAACTGCACTACCATGTGTCTTACCACTTAGTTAACAATTCTTCTAACCAGTGATAATACCCCCAGCTGCTTTGTGTTGTCCACATTTTACATGATCACACTCTTCTTGGACATTATCACAGTCTTCTGTGTTCTTTTGTCCATTTTCTGCTTTGTGCCACTAGACACCACAGGTTAACAGATGATCGGTTTCCGAGCTCGGTTGCCCAGTATGATGTGATGATATGGAATCTCAAGATATCAGTGATTCCTTCAATTCACATTCTTCTTGGTTGTCCTCTAGCTCTTGGTGCTTCTAGTTTAATGTTGTACGGTCCTGTTGCTGGCATTACTGGGCTCATTGTCATTAAATGGCCAAACCATTTTAGTCTTTGAGATGATCTCTTCTAGTTTTGTTTATGGCCTTTCTCAGACATCTCATTCTGCATTACCTAAGGTCAGTTATTATATGCGTTACAGTGCTCTAACTTAAAGATAGCATTCTAAACAGTTCTGTCAGTTATTTTAATTAGTTATATGACATAGAGCAGCACTCCAAACACTCTGTCAGTTAATTTACTTAGCAACAATACTCTAACTTAAAGATAGCATTCTAGACAGTTCTCTCAGTTATTTTAATTAGTTATATGACATAAAGCAGCACTCCAACACTCTTTCAGTTAATTTACGTAGTTACGCCTGGCTCTCTAGCGTAGTTGGCTAAACCGGATTGCGCGGAGACCAGGTGACGAACTCCTTGTGGTTGGGTTCACTCCCGGGGGTAGGCAGGAAAGCCACATTTCTCCCAGACTTACGGTATTTACAATGGAATCAAGGCAGAAAGGTTGGGATATTCATAATACCTAAGGGTTAACAACTCATGGCTTCTGGATACTAAAACAAAAAACATTTACGTAGTTACAATACTTTAACTCAAATAAAGCATTCTAGACAGTTTTATCAGTTATTTTAATTTGTTAAATGACATAAAGCAGCACTCCAAACACGCTTTCAGTTAATTTACATAGTTAAAATATTTTAACTTAAAGACAGCATTCTAGACAGTTCTGTCAGTTATTTTAATTAGTTATATGACATAAAGCAGCACTCTAAACACTCTTTCAGTTAATTTACTTTGCTACAACACTCTAACTTAAAGGTAGCATTCTAGACAGGTTTATCAGTTATTTTAATCAGGCACAAACTACAAGACTTGAAGACAGCACTCCACATATTTGATCAGTTATTTCACTTTAGCCATTATTTTTCCTGGCTGTTGTGTTTTAATTCCCCTGTTAGTAAAGGCTTTGATCAATGCATTTGATTTTTTATCTGGTTGTATTTTTGTTTAACAGGCGTCTTAGCCACATTTACAATCTATCTGCTTTAGATCACCACCATGTAAGGCTGCTTGATTAAGCTGGATAAAGCTGCAGTCACATTATCAGGTTCTTCTTCTTCTTCTTCAGCATTCCGAGCCCTTGAGGTTTATTGTTGCAGATATCACCCACCTCCATTCATCTCTCTGGTTGGCCCTCTCTTTCCAGTTGGTGACACCAAGTGTTTGCAGGTCTGTCTGGATATTATCTCTCCATCGTCTTCTTGGTCTTCCTTGTGGTCTACGACCATTCATCTCCCTGGTGTATACACCTTTTACTTCTCTGTCATCTATATTATCAGGTTTGGTTAAAATATAATATTCACTAAGCTAAGTTAAATTACGATTATTCAAAGTGTGTCATTAATAAAATTTGTTTTAGGAATACCTACATGTAACAGGTGATCATTAAATGACTTGGCTCTGCCTTTGACCCTGGGCTCATCAAAATCATCCTCGTCTGGAACAGGCATCAAAGAAGGTAATGGAACAGGTGCAGGAGTAGGAGCAGGTGATTCTAGAGGGGACTCAACTTTCTGTACCTTGATCTACAATCAAACACAGAACATCATTAAGCGAAAGACTTTCTTTGGAGAGTCAATCTAATCTCACTGTTTACCTATTATCATTTGTTCACATCTCCTTGCTGGTTAACAGATACATGGTTTTCTTCTTATTTTTCTTTTCATTCATCCAAGTGACGTAATTGCGTTGTACCTGTTTACAGCAAAGCTGTGATATTGGCAGCTTTCCACCAACACATCTGACTTCATTGAGAATTTGTTTACTGGGTTAACAGACAGTTTCATGAGACACGACATAGTCTTATTTGTGTGGTGTTCTCTTTGTTTCCTTATCTAAAGGTGTTGCTTCTGGAGAACCCATCCAGGGAAACTGCATGTAGACTGGTCGACCCTCAAGGAAAGGCAAGGGCAGATCCCAGGCATTCCCCACCGTCCAAGAAGGCTTTTCATAAATGCAGAGCCAACACATGACACTCTGGTCCTGGGCTCACCCAAGGAATCATCATGTCCTGCACATGACTACCTAATCTCACATCCGTATGTTTAGCTTCCAGCTTATCACGGGCTGTGCTCTCCAGAAATCAGCAGAGAGCAGCCTGCAGGTCCAGGAGTTTGATGACCAAACAAATAGGTTCATTTTTCTTTAGCATGTTAGACACCTTTAAGGTTGTTTTATCTAGACTCTTAGCATGACAGTGTGGTAAAAGTGTGCATCAGGCATGGATTCCCTTATTTGTTCCCAACTCTGCATGGTTTTTAATCTTCGGACCTTGTAAAATATGCACTTCAAACAATGGCAGCAATGGCATAAATAATGCTGTAATAGTTTTGTAAACAGATTTTAATCATTGTTAATTGGTGTCCTAATCAACAATTAATTAGGTTTCCTCCCATGCAGCAGCCATTGCAGTGTCTCTATGCTCAATGTACCCAGTAGGAGTTGACTGGCATATCTGCTTTCTTTGCCAACAAACAGTTTCTGCATACTGTCCTTGTCAGATTTCAAACTGGCAGTTCATCATCTCTGACTTCTGTCTCATCGTCTTTAGAAAACAGTAGGAGTTGACTGGCATATCTGCTTTCTTTGCCAACAAACAGTTTCTGCATACTGTCCTTGTCAGATTTCAAACTGGCAGTTCATCATCTCTGACTTCTGTCTCATCGTCTCTAGAAAATAGTAGGAGTTGACTGGCATATCTGCTTTCTTTGCCAACAAACAGTTTCTGCATACTGTCCTTGTCAGATTTCAAACTGGCAGTTCATCATCTCTGACTTCTGTCTCATCGTCTCTAGAAAACAGTGCAATCAGTCTGTCTGCCCTGTGTATACTTCTTCCTCCACTAACCACAGGAATAAGTATCATCACCATCATCATCATCATCATGTAGCAGGTCCTTTGCAGATCATTGCTAACATTATGGTATGCCTTTAATTCACTCCATGAACAACCCTCCCACACTGAACTGCAGGTTACCTCGTAAACGTTGTGTGGTGCCCCAATATAACTGTGCTATAAGGCTATATGGTTGAACAACCCTTCCAGGAGTTGTACCTGTTTGATTTTCATCCCTGAGATGTTAATCTTAACGATTGCAATCCTGGAAGGGAGAAAATAAACTAGTTGCTCGCCAATTTCTTACCAAGGTGTCCTTGATATCATGTGTTGGCCACTGTGCTGGTTGACCTCTGCTTCTTCTGCCAAGAAGCATTGCTTCCATTACTACTCTTTCCCAACTATTATGGCTTAAGGTATCATTTAAAATGTTTCCCTTAAGGACTGCAACCTGAAATTGACACCTAATGACTCAAAGAACCCAAAACATCTAGAGCTGGCTCTAACCCCAACCCACCCATGTCCCACGAGAGAGTGCAGCCTAGGTTCCACGCCTGCAGGTAGACTAGGTCCCACGACTGCATGCAGCCTATCTACCACCCCCTGAAATACTAGACTGTTCCGTGACCTGAGGATCCCCCCTGTTTGGGATAGGATATTAATAGAGCACCTAAAATATAAAGGACCTTTTTTCTTGCCTTCAGGCATATTGGTCATGTAGGGTTAGGTCTATATTTTCAAGGAGCCAAGGTCCTTTTTTTTGACGAAAGTCCTGTTCCATCAGAACCTGAACTCACGACTCCCGAATCCACAGGCGGCTCTTTTTATACTACACATTCAAATTTACATTTTTTATTTAAACTACACAATTAATATAAAAGAATTTAAAAAAGGACACTCACTCTAATTACTTGTACCTCAAAAATAAGTGCTGAGTCTGGTGGAACTCTCTCACCAACACCCTGAGAGCCGTATGCCAGAGCTGGTGGAATAATCAATAGTCGTTTACCTCCCTTCTTCATTCCCAGCATTCCCTGGTCCCAACCCTAGAGCAGACAACACCGATTCACAGCATGTGTTGGTCAAATAGTATTTTAAAATCTTAATTTTAAATGATCAAATGTAGAAAGAAAAAAGACAATAAAACAAATGTGATACAGAATACTATTTTATCATTAACTCATCTAGTCCCAAAAGGTTTTCTTCAAAAATAATCACTTTTAATCAGCGTAAACACTTTTAAAAAACAAACCAATGTGAAATAAAGCACAGAAGTTGCCACTGATGACTCCAAATTCCTTTAGTAAAATCAGGAAACAATTTCTTGAAGGGAAAAGTTACATAAATCGATGTTTGCTCTCATAAAAGGCCGCAGGGTATCATACATCAAGCATTCTTTGGTACTAAAAGGGTTAAGAAATATCACGATCATGGTTTTCAAGTTCTTCAGAGTGTAAGGGAATTTTAGAATCACTGCAGATTAATTTAAACAAATGTGTTACAGTGCAGAATGTCTTAACTATGTTCACAAGTTATGTGTTTTGTGTTATGAGTTGGATTATATTTATGGCACTCCAGACATGTCCAAAGGTGCTCAGATTGCCCCTTCAAAAAAACATCAGCAAACCCTCAATTAATAGTGTCAGTACTATGCTGGTTGAGAAGAATTCTTGTGTGTCTGGTGTGTCTCTCATGCCTGACTGTGCCACTCTTCACTCCCAATTCTTGCAATCAGCAATGATAAGGACATGTGTTCTCAAAATTCATTTGATCGTCTTATCTCTTTAAGGCATTAACAATGTCGGTGTTCTCCATAGACCAGTCATCTACAAATAAGGCAGAACTGGCCGATCTATCAGCTCTTTCATGGTCAACAATATCAACATCTCCTGACAAAGATGAAGATAACACCATGAACAGTGGAGTTTTGCAATGACTCAGTCAACTGTTGAGTAGAGCCTGCCTCGACCTGCTGGATCATGCTCACAGAATCATCATTGTTCATACATATGGAAATAAACCTGTGATTCCAACCACAGGAAAGCCCTTGTCATCAATATCCACTGTCAGGACTCTCACTACATACAGGTTTTTGTTAATACATGGTCACAGTGTTATTTGAAGGACAGACTGCAATCAAACCTCACTCCGAGATATGTCATCAGGTAGATTCTTGTCAAAATTGTGTCAGTTCCACCACTTGTAAGTTTGCCCTGACTATATGTGTGTTCAATTAGAACCATGTTAATGAGACATTTGAAGTGTTGGCATGCACACTGGAATCCACACAGCAGGAGACTACATGATGAATTTCGCTGTGCAATGCACTAGCAATCTCCCAAAAAATTACATATGATACTAAAATGCGAGAAGGGATCAGTTTACAACTACCCTACATTCAGAAGTAAAAACCCTATGTTATCTAGACCTGTTAAATATAGCTTGTATGGCTTTCTTTGGCCTTCTCGTTTTCATTTCCAATTATTCATACTAGAGACAGCATTGCAGATATAGATAATCTTTTTCAAGCAAACGAAAGAAGAAGAAGAATTTCCAATTATTGGGGAATTTTTAGTGACATGCAAACGGCTTTCTCAGTGTTTTTTGCCCTGGTTCTGAAAGGTAAGGTGTCTGATTATCTATCCAGGATAAGGGATGCAAGTATCATTCTTTTCTTGTTTATAAAAAAATTCACACAGTCCAGCTGAGAAAGAAACCATACGTGCACAACCAGAGCTGGATATCATAATGTCAAAGCCACTCTATCTCCTTATAAATATATAAACAATAAACATAAAATGCAAGATATATAAACATTTGGATGGATGGATGGATGGATGGATGGATGGATGGATGGATGGATGGATGGATGGATGGATGGATGGATGGATGGATGGATGGATGGATGGATGGATGGATGGATGGATGGATGGATGGATGGATAACTGGATGGATGAATAAATAACTGGATGAATGGATGGATGGATGGATGGATGGATGGATGGATGGATGGATGGATGGATGGATGGATGGATGGATGGATGGATGGATGGATGGATGGATGGATGGATGGATGGATGGATGGATGGATGGATGGATGGAAGGAAGGATGTATGGAAGGATGGATGGAAGTATGCATGGATTGATGGATGGATGTATGGATGGATGGATGGATGGATGGATGGATGGATAAATGGATAAATGGATGGAAGTATGAATGGATGGATGATGGAAGTATGTATGGATTGATGGATAGATGAATGGATTGATGGATTGAAGTATGTATGTACGGATGGATCGATGGATTGATGGATGGAAGTATGTATGGATGGACAGAAAGTCAGAAACACAGATATACAGTGAAGCATATGGACATATTCACATTTCAAAATCACAACCGATATCAACACAACGATATCAAATACCTTAATAACTTTGGATTTTCCAACTTTGAAGCGAAAATTATTGTCAATCCCTGACTGGTCAAAAACCTGGCAGGAAATATACTGTATATAAGAGTAACATGCAGAACAGAAAATAAAAATGACAATTTCTAAAATCTGACTGATTACTGATTTTAAAATTAACATCATAGCACACCGGACAACCGATAGGTGCTCCATCTCCAGCAGCAAATGTCTTAAAGTTTAGATGCGAACTGTTCCAATAGCAGCCTGATTACAAACTTGTCGTTTTCTTTCTCTCATATGACCCTCCTTGCCTGACCCACACCTAATTCCTCAAGCCCACATTCTTACATGTTATTTCATCTACCTCATAAATCTTCTATCAGTATTCATTCATAAATGGTCTTCAGTATGTCTCCTTTGTCCAGTTTAAGTATTCCTGTAGCAATCGCTTTTGTAGCCAGAAATTCTGATATTTCCTTTCCTTGCACTCCTGCATTTCCTGAACAGTATATCCCACGTGAGTCCTTGTAATGGTGGCGTGCTGATGCTCAGTATTCATGCAAGCCAAATATGTCCAATCTGAACCTTTGACTTGACCGACTGAGAATCAGTCTCGGCAATTCTTCTGGTTACTCTATACAATTTTAATATTATCAGATATTACCCTGCCACTAACTTTTCATTACACGAAAGCGAATTTTAAAATATTAAAGATATTGTTTTAAAAAATAGAACAAAAAAATAGATGTTAGTTACAAGACGTGATGTTTACAATATCTCATAAAGCAGAGTTTTCCAAACTGCGATGACACATTAATGTGTCGGCTGCAGTGTGAATGTGTGCCATATGACCATAAAGCATCAAGAAATGTAAAAGTGTGTTTGTAACTCTTATAAGGGGTTAGTTGACCTGTAACCTCTGATAGACTGAATTACTGCAGTGGAAAATTATGTTTGTCTAAAAAGTATGTCACCAACATAAAAAGTTTGGAAAGCTCTCCAGTAAAGGATATGCAGCTTGGAGGTGGCAATGGGATAAAATAAATATTGCCATGACACTATTCTTTACTAGTTACTTTTTAAATCTCTTTCTCATTTGATAAATGTGTAATTTTTATGTTGTATTAAAAACATATTATTGTGTATTATCACCTTTACTTTTCATAATATTTATGGACAATATTAATAAAATAGACATAACACCAACAGATGGCGATAAACAGGAGGACTTCAATGAGCTGCTCTTTGCTGACGATCAATGCATTTTTCACAGCGATAGTAAACAGCTGCAAGACCACATAAACCTACTACACGACAGCTGCCTCAAGCATCATATGAAGATCAATACTGAAAAGACAGAAGTCATGAGCATAAGTAGAGAGCAACAGACCATCGATATAAAGATTCTAGATCACAGCCTAAAACAAGTGCAAGAATTTAAATACTTGGGAAGTATCTTTACATTCAATGGTAAAATAGACAGAGAGATCGAAGCAAGAATCAAACAAGCCAACAATGTCGCATACCAGCTTGCCCCAATTTTAAAACACCCTGCTGTCCCAGCTGAGATAAAAAGACAAATTATAAATACAATCTTTATACCGACATTAGGTTATCAATGTCAGACTTGGACATTAACAAAAGAACACGAGAGAAGACTAACCACCTGTGAAATGAGATGTTTGCGAATGGCTGCGAACAAAACCAGAAGAGATCGATTGAGAAACGATGTGATTAAAAGAACCATTGGAACCATACCCATCGTTAAATTTATTGAGAAGCAAAGAATGAAATGGTTTGGTCACCTAGTGAGAATGGAACCAACGATGCCAACATCAAGAGCATACAACATGAAAATCGAAACACCAAGAGGCAGGGGAAGACCAAGAAGAAGATGGATTGAAGGAGTCACGGACTTGAGACTTCATAACATCACGGCATATGAAGCGACTGAGCGCGCCCTGGCTCGGTTGCCGATCATCTGATAGACTGCGACGCCTAGCGGCACAAGCAGATTTTGACAAAAGAAGAAAGAAGATTAAAAACATATTCAAAAGTATGTAGGCACATGAATAACATCAGATAGAAGTTTGTACCACAGAAAAAAAGAACAAAATAATTCAGGTAAAACTACATTTTCAGAAAAATAATACTTAAGTAGTAAATCAAATATCTTTTAAGGAATACTTTCAAAACATGAACAATTCACAAGTAAGAAAATCCCTTGTAGTCTCAGAGATTTATTTTACAAAGAATGCTGAAAACTAATTAGACAGTCACAATAAGCAATCTAAATGTTTTGAAACAAACTAGGGAACAAATACAATCTATTTATTAAAACAGAAAAATGATGTCATCCTTTCTAACCACATTTTGTGAATAGAAAAACTAAAACATGTCATGACATTAAGAAAGATTTATGGAAAGAGAGACTAGACAGAGAAATAAATACAGTTATATACAATAACAGATTCTGGGCAACCTTTTGTCCTAGCACAGAAAATAATCTTAGATTATCCCACGAAAATATCTTGCTGCAAGGAAATTTGGGTGTTATGTTTATAATGAATTTTTTTCTATATGGCCCAAGACCAGGCTCTAAGGTTGCCCACTCCTGCTCTAGACTCTTTGGAAGGGCAAAAAAAAGATATACAATCAGACTGCTACTAGTTCCATCAGCACTGAAACTCTTTACTGGCAGTGGAAGCAATACTTATAGAAATGTCCCAAGTCGGTTCTTAGCTCCAGTAACTCAGCGCAGTTCTTGCCTCTCTCTACTAAGCAGTTACTGTTGGTCAACAGTAACATGATGGTGTGTTACGAGATTTGAATCTTCACCAGATGTTTCAGAAGAGGATACACAATAGGGCAGGGCTTTTCAAATAAGTTTACTCGGGGGCCAAATAGTTTAAAATGAGTAAGAGGCCAGAGTCCCTGCATAGAAAGATCACTAATACAATACAACTGGGGTCACCAGCTGTAAACTCTGGCAGAAAGTTCTGGTTGTTCATCCACTTCTGGACTGCAGTCCTGTTCCAAAACCTGAGTGTTGCGTGTGCATCCTTTTTACAGATCTGACTCATTTGTGTGCAGACTGCTGGTTCCTTGCCTCTCAGGCAGATGCACTCCGACTTCAAAGGAAGCTCCCAATTAGGCGACTCTTACGACATGCTTTTGGGTAGGCAGTGGGCCTATTCTTGTTTTTCCTATAATAGGGCCCCGGAACCCACATGGGGAAATACAACTGGTAATGATCTGCAGGTTAATTGCTAGGCTGTCAGCTGAATAACCCTGCTATATGATACTGACCTTGCCAAAAGCTCCATCTGTCAGCAGCCATCCAGCGTATCTGACTTCAACCAAATCTCCATCCTCAATACCAGCTCCCTCACCCAGCGACAGATCTTGCTGCAATAATTTGGTTAAGGGCTCCGAGTTGGCCCTAGCCAAGGTAACCTAAGACATTCAAATGAAAACACCAATGTGTGTTTTTTTTTTTAATATTTGTATGTGGTGTATCTAGATTTGGAATCAAATAGTAATATCAATGGAAAAGGAGCAAGGAGCAAGGAGAAGGCAAAAAGATAAATACCTAGATGACTCGGCTATATGGCTGGGGTGAGACACAAACAGTGTCCTAATCTGTGATTCTAGTGATCATGTGAGATGGTGAAACATGACAGTCTATGCTTATCAGAATGGCACATCATGATGATGATGATGATTTGTGAGAGCAATATCAGAAGGGCATAGTACACAAGAGAATTAAGTATTAAAAAAAAATGATGTAGTAAATGATAGAGTAGATATTCACAGAAACCGCCAACATTGTATAGAAGATTTTGTAATAGCTGTCAAATAAGCACACACAAATGCACAAATACATACGCATTTTCTGTCACTTTAGTAGACTAACAACAGATAAGAGCATTGCTTCAGTGCACCAAGATATAGACATTATCGTAATGGAACTGGTCATCTCATCCAAAATATAAACTACTGATGCAAAATTTCTGAAACGTACGAAAACATGAGGCGTGGTACCAAAAGTACATTGTTGTTCGGCTAAGGTCAAATAGTTCTTCTCCATTTGTTACCATAGTCCATAAGAGAAGCAAAGAACTGTAACCTACCATTATGAGATACAACCAATTGTGAACAAGTCTACAATAAAGTAATGTTTTCCTGTTGTGAATCTGAATGTATAGACTGTGTGAATTTGAAGTGCATTGTCCTTGTTTACAAAGTCATATTGGACCCTTCCAACTTATGTTTAAGTTTTTTGGTATCTTAAACCTGGCACCTGAAAATTCTGAGCACATATTTAAATTCTGAAGACCTTGTGCTACTAACAGACAAGCCATCTGGCCTGTCCAACCTCAAAAATAACAAAGCTGTATGGCACACTGGTAGATTGAGACTGCACGATAGCATTCATCAAGGTAATTATCAGCTTCCTGATATAAGATTTTATGACAGATGGATCGAAGAAGACGAAGAAGACGAAGAAGACATTGTAAACAAGGATGATGCATTACGGAGCTCTATACAGAAGTCACACACAAAAAAACCAGTTCAGTAAGGAAATTTTGCGGACAAAAGAAAACAGCTGTGAATCTGTGTTTGCCCTTGTGAAATAGGCAGTTACTTTTGAATGTAGTCGAAAGTAGTTTAAAGGATTAATTTATTTGCTTTGTTTTAATAAACTTTTACTGTAATATGCACCTGATGAGACACAGCGAAATATGCCAGACAATGAATTGTACAACCTATTGTTTGTGTCTTCTGTGTTCAAGTTTACAAAAGGCTTATGTGAGTTTGGTTGAATTCATGCTTTACCGAAAGCTTTAAGGTACCAGAAAAAACTGCATTGGTTAATAATTGTGAAACTCATTTTAACACACTTCCCACTTCTCTTATGTCTTTTGATCAACAGTTCTATTAAACTGCAACATCTTCCTTCATATTCAAGTTTCAGATCAGCAACAGTAATCCTAGAGATGGGATCAGTGTTTCTATTAGTCAGATCGTGTCTGCCTGAAAGGTGAGGAAACAATTTGTGTACACAAATAAGCTAGATCTGAAAAATGGATGTGCAGACAAAAGCTTAGGACCTAGGATAAGTCCGAAGTCCAGAAATAATTTTCTTATCTCTATGCTATTTTATCTGAGTACCAGAAGGTTATACATGAGAAAATTCATGCGTGTGTTACTTTGAAAGAAACTAATTACTCAGGATTCTATATTTCTTTAGTATGTTATGATCAAATGTATACAGTACATGAACACTTTCAGTGTAACGTAGTATTCACAGAAGAGCTAATCACACATTACAAGTTGTTTGATACCAAAAGAGTTAAAACTACCAAAGTTTTTTTTTTTTTTAAATTTCATTTGTTTATTTTTATTCCTTCATCTGTTTAGGTTTTCATTCACATTTTCTACTCTTCCTCAAAGTTTTCTTTTAAATTTGATCTACATTTTTTTATAAATTATTTTCTACTCTTCCTCCTATTCTACCTCCTTCTTTCCCTTTTTCTGCTTCCTTCTCATCTTCTTTTTAATATTTATCTTCCCCTTTTTTTTATTTGCTTCTCTTCCTTGGCATTCTTCTTCCTTCATCTGATTTTATATTTAGTTCTCATTTTTTATCATTTCTTTGATTTTATATTTAGTTCTCATTTTTTATCATTTCTTTATCTACTACTCTACCTCTTTTTCCCATCTTCTTCCCAAACTTCTTCTTTTTCCTCCTGTCTTCCCCATCATCATCTTCTTCTTCTTCTCCCCCCTCTTTCTTCTCACCTTCTTCTGTTGTCTTCAATTCCTTCTTCTTCCTCTTCTGTGTCTTCACATGCCCACTTTCAATGACTGTCTGATTTTGCTACAGGCAAGACAAACTAAAAACACAACTGAAAATCTGAAAAAATAAAAATAGGAAAATATCAGGCCCTACTCTAAATACTTACTTCCTTGGCAAACTTCTCCACTGCTTCTGCCATCTCAAACATGACTGACCAGGTCTGTCCTGATTCATCTGAGAAGCTGGCATAGTTGTTTTCTTGTATCTAGTCAGAATATCAAAATACACAACAGTTATAAAAATACACCTACTCACCAATCAAGAGCATAATGTCAGACAGGCCTGTGTGCCAAATTGTCTACGCTTTGAAAAAAAAATTTAATTCCTCTGTTGTATGTATTTTTCTGTCTACCCGCCTTTTCCTATTCTATTTATCTAAACTGCCATAACTGCCTACATTTACCATGTCTGCGGTGTTGGCAGAGGGATCTTTGAGCCTAAGGATTTAGGACTGCATGGCTAGTGCTGCCATGCTGTCACCATAGGCTGTGCCGGTGGGGATTTTATTTTTGCCACAACAGAAAAATCCCTAACCCTAATGAGTATTCCAACATATGTCTCTGGCATGAGAGCTATGTGTTCTTAACCATTCGGTCAGCCGCTCCTCTGTTTACCTATTCATTATTAATTTAAATTACTGAATATGTGAGCCGGCCAGACCCTCTGGTTACACCCAGGTGCCTCATTCTCTCCAGGCCATAATAATCTTGTTTCTCTTCTGATTCTGTTGCTTGTTCCCAATGGGCCTTGACCACATCTGCCTTGTCATGTATCAGTTCACCACCCAGTGGTGCAGATCCAGCCAATCTGTCTGCCTGTTTGTTACCCACTATGCCGGCATGGCCTGGAGAAATGATCCAACGTATGCTCACTACCCGTGACCTTCCCAGTGAAGCTTGCCACTCTTCTCAAGGCATCCCTGTCTTCACGTTTCTTAGCATGCTTTCAGAGTCAGTTACAATTACGACATGTGTATGCATCTTGTTCTCTAGCCACCAGAGAGCTGCAGTTACCACCTCCACCTCCGTTCTCATGCAGTCTGATCATGGTTGTAGATTCACAGCCATCACTAGGTTCTTGCAAAAAGTCTTACTATTTGCATCCAACTAGACAGAAAATGCAGACAACAGAGTCCGGCTGCTGTGGAAGCAGAAGTTCAAGCCTTGATTTTCAAGAACGCTCTAGAGGGTGTTGCTGTCATTTACAGAGATGGTTCTGTAATCCGCTACGTTAGAAGCTCGTGGGCTTTCACGGCTCAGTTTAGAGGGAGAGTTGTGAAGAAGGATTCTGGAGCTTTTGCCGTAACTACAAGTAGTCTGACTATGGAGGTCGTGGCTGTGACTAAAGCAGTAACATGGCTAGAGACACAGACTTTCACTGGGGCATGCTTTCTCAGTGACTCAATGAGAATGCTCAGGAAGATAGAGAAGGGCTGGGTCCGAAGTGATTGGTGGCTCTACGCAGCGATTGGTGGCTCTACAGAATTCACGGCTGACAAGGATTAGTTTCATTTTCGTGCTAGGATATGTGGGGGTACAAGGAAAGGAGCAAGCTGATAGGCTTGCAGGTAAGGCTACTGTGAAAGCCGGACAAGCCATGGACCAGGCTGATATACCGAATGCTCTAAGAGAGTTAAGACGCTTGCGTGAACCAACTGAGAACTGTGAATCTGCAACCATGGTCAGACTGCAAGAACAACATGTTAAACGGGGTGTCACCAAACAAGAACACTATGCAGGTAGTCAAAGAAGAATAATAAACCAACACAGAACTGGTGTCGTTAGCTGCTACACGCTGCAGGATTTACTGAGAAGGGGATCTGAGCACTTATGGACTGAGTGGTTTGACATGCAATGAGGATAATCTGTCGACTAACTAACTAAATGTCTTACATCTCATACAGCATTCAGTATATCATACTAGTTCACTGCTTGTCGACCCCCACAGCAGCCTCATCTGCAAGCCTATCAGCTTGTTCATTTTCTTTTACACCAGCATAACCTGGCACACACAAAAAGAAACTGATCACTAAGTAGTTACTTACATTCAACACAAAGGCAGGGCTAATCTTGGCACTAGTCAACTGTTGTTGCTTTGTATACACCAAGATGCGATACTGAAACATTAAAAACAGATAATTTACTAAAAGTAAGTAAGCAAAGGATCTTTGTCTTGTCAGTGGTGTATCTGGCATATGATGCTAGGCCCAGATTTGTGTAGCCCAATCAGCCATCCATGGGTGATGTGTTCAACATCACCCTGACCACCTTTACTTCCCAGGACTTTACCTGGTACCCACTCAAGGCTGGGTTGACCTGGGAGCCAAGGTCATTTTTTTTTCCGCCTCCCTCAGGACTCAAACCCAAGACCTTTCGATCTGCAGGTCAGCGTTTGATCAGACTTACAAATTTAAAATTAAGTTCTAGAATTTTTGGTTTCTGTCCAGAAAAGACATTTTAAAATATTTGAAGGTAAAATTATTGTTTGTCCTTTTCCCTTTTCAAAACAGAAAATAGAAATCATACATCTATCACATAATCATATATAAGTAAGCAAATCAATAGACCATTTTTACGTCAGTGACGTATCAGGCATATGATTCAAAATTTGTATAGACCATTCAGTAGTCGGTTGACATCCAACAGGCAGCCTTCACATCCCATACATTGAATAATGAAATATTTTCTTCTTCTTCTTTCGTTCGCCTGAAATAAGTTGTCTATATCAGCAGTTTTGCCTCTTGTATAAATTTCACTGTCGTTGTTAATCATTCGGTGGTCCATAGAGTTTAGGTCCACTGTTGTTCTTTCTGACCAAAAGGTTTTCCTTAATGTGTCAAATTCGGTGCAGTCCTGGAGTACATGCTCTGCTGTCTGGGGCACCTTTCCACAGGTTTAATCCAATTGTACATTTTTTCATTTACTTTATAGTTTCTCAATTGATGACATATAACATGTGACACATTTTTAAAAAATGTAATGTATCCAAATCTTACAAGCATATTACTCCTACTACTGCTGCTACTATTAACACCGCTATCGCAACAACTACAACAACAACGACAACAACAACAACTACTACTACTACTACTACTATGCTATTAGTTGTACTACTACAATTACTACTAATACGACTACTACTACTATCACTACTGCTGCTGCTGCTACTACTACTGCCACCACAATCACAATTACCACTCATCATCATCATGTGCGGTGCTGGTAAGCGTAGTATGTCATGTTTCGCCTTCTCACACGATCATCAGAATCCCAGATCATATCAATGTTTTTGTCTCGCCCCATCCATCTACCCAGGTCATCAAGGTATTTATCTCTTTGCCTTCCTCTCGCTCTCTTTCCATCAATCTTGCCAGTTGTCACCAAATTCTCAAGTACATTTCTTCTCATAACATGTCCAAAACAAAACACTGACTGTCTACGTCTGATTGTTCTAACAAGTCTACGACTTTCATCTGTCTAGATTAGGGCTGCTTTGTTTGTTTTTTTATCCTTCCATGACATTCTTTCCATTCTTCTCAGAAACCACATCTCTGCTGAAAGTAAATGTTTTTGAGCTTTTTGACTTACTGTCCATGATCCACATGCATATTACCACACAGGTTCTACATAGCACTTTAACATCATTTTTTTCACTGCAACTGACATATTTTTGTTAGTGAGAATCTTTTACAACACACCAAAGGTCACTTTTGCCATGGCGATTCTAGTTCTAATTTCTGCAAGACATCTTGCATCAGATGTTATGATTGTTCCTAAATAGTTGTATCTATTAACTTGCTTAAGAATTTCTAATGGGGTAGCGGGGTAGGGGTATCCTCTATCAAAGGAGAAGTGAGGAATCTCCTTCCCTCCGCTAGTCTATGGGACACCCTTGGGCAAAGTGGAGTACCAGTTTAGTGCCCCCCCCCCCCCCACCTACCCAATCAGGGTAATGTTAAACCATGAGAGTAGGTGGTGGATGGAGCTTGAGAGCAGCCGACAGACAGTCGTTGGTCATGGTCTCAAGATCCTTAAAGGCAGGCAGGGGATCACATTAGAGTGACAAAGCCGTGGCAAACTACCTTCTTCAATATGCCAAGAATAGTCATAATTTCACAACTTACAAATCTTCACACAAACGGCATAAATGGGTGCTCCATAGGAGTAGCTTCGCCCGGTAGGGAGAGTCCTGTGCACCAGGTGATCCAATTACCACTAATACAGTTACTGCCACTAATCTTGAATGTTGAATTAAGAATCAACATTACAGCACTCGGGACACTCCCATAAGTGCTCAGTCCCCCATCTCCAACAGCAAGCAAAGAGTTCCAGTTCCGATGGCACCAGTAGCCGACTGATTGTATATCCATCTCATCCTTCCTCTGAGTGTTGAGCACTTCCAATACCTGGTGGATTAAGTTCTGCAATCTTGCTTGTATACACATTAAAGAACACCGGTAAAATTGCAGAACCCTGGGGTAGTCCCTGGGCTATATTACATGGTTCTGAGGTCCACGTAGGGCAACCATACATGAATACTGCCACTAATATGTTTTGTTATGGCTGTAGCTAATACGCTATTACTACTGCCGCTGTTACCTCAACTACGACACAAACACATGACCTACTTCTCTTGTTGTCGGAGATGTTAACAAAGCCACTCCGACTTTTCCTTGGCTGACATATTTATTATCAACACTGGAAGATACAAAAACAGTAGAAATTACAAAGGTTGTGACATCAAACCTGTTATATTCACGTTATTCCCAACAAGTAAGCTTCTTCTTCGTCTTCTTCTTATTTCCTTCACCAGCTGTGTGCTCCGACAGAAACATTTTACTGTTCACTCACTTCTGGAACTTGGTTTTGCTCCAGAACTTGAGTTGTGCATGCACATCCTTTTTACAGATCTGACTTATTTGTATGCAGATTGTTGGTTCCTCACCCCTCAGGCAGATGCACTCTGACTTCGAAGGAAACTCCTAATTATTCCACTCATTTGTTATGATTGTTAGGGAGACAGTGGATCTTCCACCCCCCCCCCCCCCCCCCCCCCCCCCCCCCCCCCCCCCCCCCATTGAAAAAAGGTGCCCCAGAACCTACGGGGGTAAGCAGGAAAGTTATAATGTTTGTCCTCTTTTTCAGAAATGTATCATGTAATTCCCACAGCAACTTAACACAGTGGTAGATGTTTCATCATATTAACTTGACATTTATTTCAGTCATATTACCTGATATACATTTCAAAGAACCAGCAAATCCGATTTTGTATCACACAGATTATCATAGGTAACACACAGCTGCATACATAATATAATTAACATAGCACCAAATTAATATGATTTATTATTATTACATGCTTAAAGGTGGCTTTTACATTTGCGTGGAATTTTGTTTTTGTTTTGTTTTTAGATTCAAAAATCTACATTTATTCACACACAAAATACACTGAATCAAATACAGTTGTGTCATTTTCTTCTGGAATATCGTCATAACTCTCCAACTCTCATCAAATTCTGGCCTGAATTTCTTGCCACTCTATTTCTGTAGAATCACTGGACAAATCTGTCAAGGTGACTGAGTGTCCATCCTATTCTTGCAGAGTATCCCCACTGTTGTGTGTGTATGTATGTTTCCCATGGGTTTCAGTTTTCCTGCATTTTCTATATCACCTTAGCATGCATTTCTTATCACATGAACTAATAATGCAGTCTCCAATTCATTATTGTGTCATGTATTTTCACCATATCAACTAATTATTTATTTTATTTTCTGTCAAGTTATATAATAGCATCACAGACTAGGGTCCTCATTTACCCTGGCAATCTGGAAACTGAAATATTTTGGTCATATCAACTGCCATGACGGATTGGAAAAAAAATTATAGCAGAGGGCATGGTACCAGGAAGGAGGGACTGGGGCCGACCAGCTTGAAGATGGGCACAGGATATAAGTGACTCCTTGAGAATGAAAGTGCATGAGGCGGGAGAACTGGAGAGAGACAAGTTTCTTTCGTGCAGACCGTGATGAGAGTGATGTTCTGCAAAGGACCTGCTACATGATGATGATGATGATCTAGAAGATTGCTGAAAGTTGAGGTGCACAGCCATGTGGATATGAAAATCAAGGAGGGACTACCATATTATATATTCCCCCCCCCCCCCCCCCCCCCCCCCCCCCCCATCCAAAAACACTCTAAATGGGAGCTGAAAAAATTATCTCAAAGATCAGATGTTGAGGTCCCAAGGCCAGTTAAGTTATCTATGCCAAATGGGGAAAAAGAACAATGGCAGAGCTAGTATAAGCAGCAGAAGGAAGGCAATGATATAGAAGGGTTGACACTGGGCTAAAATGTAAAACAGATAGGAATTTTAAACGTGAGGAATCTATACCAAGGGAAATATGGTGGCCTGGAGGGAACTCAGGAACTGGCAAAGAGAAAGAGAGACTTTCAGGCATGCCGTGATGAGAGCAATGTTCTATAAAGGATCTGCTAATGGCTGATGATGATGATGATGATCAAGTTATCACATATTTTCTACCATCATCGTCACTATGCCTTGGTGAATGAGATGAGTGATCCTGCTTCTTCATATCATGTGATCTCCAACTGTTTGTAGCTGACAACTTTCCATGTCATGACAAAAGGCTGTGAAGAATCTACTCTCATCGTCTACTTTTATCTCTCCTTCCATAAATATTTCCAGTTGCTGCAATATGTTTCAGTCTATCTTCTTTTTCTTCTTCTTCTTCTTCTTGTTTAACAGCTGTAAACTCAGGCAAAATTGTATAGTTGTTAATCCACTTCTAGACCCTGGCCTTGTTCCAGAACTTGAGTTTTGCATGAATATCCATTTTACAGATCTGGCTTGTATGTATGGAGACTGCAGGTTCCTTGTTTCTCAGGCAGATGCACCCAACTTCGAAAGAAACATACATAATTAAGCACATTGTATGACATGCTTGTTAGGGAGCAGTGTGTCTGTTCTCCGCCCCCCCCCCCTCCCCACCACCAACATAAATTGGGCCTGGAACTCATACAGGTATTTCTCTTATAATGTATAAATAACAAATTACATATTTAATCATCATCAGTGACTTACTAGTTATATGCATGAACTACACTACTGATCACAACAGTTGGAGTTTCCTCTCTTTGTTTACCTGAGTCTGCAACTGTGTAAAAATTGCAAATAACAAATTACGTAAAGATAATCAATTTTTTATCACTTTATGAAAACTGTGTGACTTAAGAAATATAGTCTGACAACATTTCAGTAAGAAAGGCTAGTGTGGCTAGCTCACTTGCTTGCTGGCTCTGTGGTCATTAGTTTGAAGCCTTGTCACAAAGGATTTTTTTTAACTGACCTAGTTCCAGTGTAAAATCTTCTTCTTCTTCTTTTTCTTCTTCTTCATCTTAGTACGGTCATGACCGTAAACTTCAGCAGAAAATCCTGGGTGCTCGTTGACTTTTGGACTTTGGCCTTAATTCAGGACTTCAGTGTTGCATGCACATGTTTTACAGATCTAGCTAATTCTTGTGTCAACTGTCTGTTTCTTGCCTGTCTAGCAGATGCTCTCTGACTATGAAGGAAACACTAATACAATCTACCTTGGTCAAGCTGCCTAACCCCCCCCCTCCCCCCGCTGTCCCCCAATAGGGAACCTGTTTCTAGGATGACCAAGAAGAGGTGAAGATGGATCTTGACCAGATCTATGCCCTGTTCCTGGTGCACCACCTCTTTATCCTTACTGTGAACCTGATACCAAGGTATATCCTGGGACCTAATGACAGCCTGGAATATATGTATGAACTATGTCATCCACAGAGGTCCATATAGATATGGGGTACTTCTCACGATCCTGCTTGCATGAGCCTGCATGTGCCAGCATCTAGCCGGGTCGCAATATTTCCTGTCAGTTCCCATTCATGGCTGTGGCTGTTTCCATGGGCTGCTGCATGTTTTAGGCTTGTCATGTTGTCATGCTCAAAGTGCTCTATGTTCCGCGTCGTGAACGGCCAGTAGCATGTTCTATTTTCCATGTGGCTGTCATCAGCCAGTGGCAATGTGTGTTACAGCCTTCTGCGTTGGCTCTACATCACTATCCACTCGGCCTTACTCAGTGACTTAACTGCGAGATGATTTTCCTTCAACTGTCAGTACTGATGAGGGACAAGCAGAGAAGCGTCGCTTTTCTGCAGCACCACGGCATCTGTACAACTCATAGCTGCCAATACTTGGTGTTTTCCCCAAGATTAGGGTTTTTTAGTTGCTATCTGGGTTTCTAGGTTTTTTTTTTTGAAAATTATTGAAAATATTGGGTTTCGAGTCTTACTTATGAAAAACTACAATTAATAAATATCTTAACCGGAATAATATATGTACATATAACCTAACTCTAAACCCTCCCCACCCCCAGAGGCAGAAGACACGTAGTTCACAGAGACATGAAAACTTAGTCGAACACTCACCCATGCACACAAACAAGGAATACAACAAGAAAGACAACACTAGAAACCACCCTGTCACTCAATGTCGTATGCCACTGAAGTGAAAAGCGCAATGTGGTCAGGTCGGATCTGGAATGATTTTCCACATGGTGTGCAGTAAGAAATGCATATGATGACACCCCTAGAACATACAACAGCCCGTGGGAATGGCCATGAATGTGAGCTGACAGGAACCCTCTCGCTCCGGCAAGATGTGGGCTAATGCGGACAGGGTCATGAGAAGTACCAAATATGGGACTCACACCATAGGCTCAATGAGTCTCGCTACATGAAAACAGAATCCTTTTCTTTTACTTAAATTTCAGAAACCATACTAACAAAAATACTGCTTACAAAGTTTGTCACAGAAAGTCATGTAAACAATGACCAACATCAACAATATAGACAATGTATCTTGGAATTGACTGTACGCGTGTCTGTTGGGTTGAAGGTCTAGGGTTCAAATCTGCATCAAGTCCAATTTTTTCTTTCTTAAAAATTGACCTTGACTCCCAAGTCGACCCAGCCTAAAATTTGGACCAGGTAATGTCCTGGGAAGTAATGGTGGCCGGCTTGATGTTGATCATATCCCCCATCAAGTGGCAAAAGCTATACTAAAACATAGGTCTAGCATTGCATGCCTGATGTGCCCCTTGTGTAAAAAATACTCCTTTACTTTTTTTAAACTAGCTGCTGCTGTTGTCCCACTAATGTATGGCTGTGTGGTCTCGAGGCATGGTGTCCGCCTCGAGTGCTAGAGGTTCTGGGTTCAATCCCCGGTAAGGGCTGGGATTTGTTCACGTGGACTTGGACTTCTAGTAATTCCCTCTGGTCTCTGGGTAGTTAGATCGGATGCTCATGTGCATTGCTGCGCACGTAAAAAAATCCCTTGGCAGTTGGAAATCGAAAAGAGTAGCCTAACAAAATTTGTAAGTTAAAAAACTACCCAAAGTATTTCAGGATCCTCGCTGGTGCTACAGAGCCTGTGCACTGTGCTGAGCTTCTTCAGACTCAGACTTGAGTTAGAAGAAGAACGGAGCACTTATGGGTTGCACCCGTGTGCCATGATGTTGATCCGTTGTTCAAACCTCAAACCTTCTGTTGGTGGGCACTCTGCTTTAGACAGTTCAATGACAGATTTGTGAAGTACTAATGTGTAGACTGATTTGGTGACAATAATGAGCAAACACAAAATACAACTAGGAACTTGAAAGAAAAAACCACATAGGTAACATGGGAAAGTTTCAACCAATGTCTTTATCAAAAGATAAAATGACATGAAAACTTTTTCACAGATATAAAACAAAACAAAGCCACAGAAAAAAATCCACATGACAAATGTAAAAAAAAAAAATGTCTGTATTTAAGTAAGAGGCTGGCATTAGGTGGCTCTGACTGGATTTTTAAAAGGCAAAAGATGGGGGAGAAACTGGATGAGGCACAAGAAATTAAGAAAAGTGTATCATGTATGGAGCTATCAACAAATGCATAGTAAGCTGAATGAGTTAATGCACAACAGATTTTTGCTGGCCTAGAACAGTGTTAGACTTCAATAACTCTTAAGGTATATACATAAATGTGCCTATGGCAGTGCTTTTTTCACTAGAAAACAAAAAAGCTGCCGACACACCACAAAGCGTATTTTAACAAAGTCTTATTAACCAACAAATGACTGGCACTATTAACCGCACAGCGCTGATGATGTTGAAAGGGGAATCTAAGCACCTATGGATGTGTCTGGAGTGCTGTGAAGATAATCTAACTCATAACTCTTAGCGCCTGTAAAAAAAAAGTACTCAGCAAAATGTGTATATTAAAGTAATACTGAAAACGTGACAAAAAAAGGCGCCACTACTGCATACCACCAGAAAAGAAATCCTGGGTGTATGGGATGGGTGTGTGTGCACGCCCGTGCGGGCACATGTGCATTTGTTCCTGGTGTTGGATTAGACATACATTTAAAAAACGGATAATAGTGTTACTAGACGTCCTTGCACTGGATCCCACAGAGTAAAAGAGGTCAAGAGAGACCTGATAGGTCTACACAGTGATGAGACAAATACATTAATCGTATGTAGAGAACAAGGAATGAGCTGCATACACTGACAAAGGGGCAGAGTGGTTTTAGTTGGGTGGGGTCAAATGTTCCTATTGATGAAGAGCACATCATTCATCATGTTTCAATTGGTCTAAAAAAACTGAAGGTCCATCCAGGGCTTTTCCTCTTTCCTCCAAAAAAAAAAGGTGCTGGCACTCACCAGAGACTGTCTAATAAAAGGTGTCGGTACATAGCACAAAGTGTCCATTATAACAGTGCTAAAAAAAATTACGACTTAAAAGGTATTGAGTCAGTGTACTATTGTTGAACGTCATAAAAACAGCCATGGATCTAGCACCTTATGGCCAGCGTGCCAATGGTTTGAAAGGGTCCTTTACTACTTATGTCTTCCAATGAGGAAGAAGAATATGAATATTGTAATGACAGACAAAATGATTATTAGTCCTCTCACACTCCTAATCATCCATTTAATCCTAGGCTTTATCCTAGCATCATTCAGTTAATCTCCTGTTCTACAACAGTCGCACCCAATGTTTGTCTTTTCTAGCCTATCTAATTTCCTCTTACACATAATTTATGTTAAATAGACATATCTCCTTATACAATATATTTGTGTCATTTCAAACATACATGTTCCCTGAAAAGATTATTACCTTTCTTTCTAGGTTGCTTTGGTGGTGTATATGTGAATGATGCACTTCTCTGGTGGTTAGAGTTATCTGTTCCAAAAATAGTGCCCAACTTTGACCTATGTTGAAAATGTTAATTCATATATTATTTTTTACATGTCAGAAAACAATTGCACAATGAACACTGCAAATGTTGAACTGATTATTATTTTTATTTTATTTTAAATATCTTATGTGTAAATTATTTGCAAATAAAATAACTTAGTTTTTTTTTTTAAATCATATTCATAAAATTAACCTCCCCTAACAGGAATCCACACACTTGAGCATGCCAGAGTAAAAAGTAATGAAAAATAGGACTGGCTGGCAAGTACTGCACCACACATTTGGGAAGATACAAGACAGAGCTGACATTATCAGTGTTATATGGGCTACAGATGATAGATCTCTAATGCTAACATGATTATACGACTTTGAAGCGAAGCCCGGTGAAGCATGTCTGTGCCATTTTTTAGATCAAGATAGTTAAGCATCGGCCAGATCCCCTAGTAACTCCTTGCAGCACCATTCTCCTTAGACTGTAATGATCCATCTGCACCTCCTCAATGTTCACTCGCTCCCAAAGGGCCCTCACAATATAAGTGTCATAACATAACAATCACAATCATATGCCATGCCAGTAGGGATAAATAGAGTCACTGTTCATTGCCTCATACAATCACCAGCCTCAGAACAGGCCTGCGTTTTTTACCTGTTATTGCTTTGATAAAGTCATTTAGACCTTTACCTCTCTGTGTTTCTTTTGCTACTTTCCCATCAAATTTACCAAATGTATTTGTTTGAGGCAAAATAAAATATTAAACCCTTTGTCATGCACTCATCTCATCATCATGTGCCCTGCCATCTGGCGTAGGTGCTCATGGGTTTCAACAGATCACAATCCCTGGTTGACTGGAAAAGCTCTCTTGATGACATCCCTCTATGCCATCATTTTAGCCCATCCAGCATCTTCTCTCTTTGTCTACTTCTACCCCATTTTCCACTGATCTTTCCAGTTGTCACAATGTTCTCCAATGTCTCTCTTCTCATTATGTGGCCAAAGGACAGTGTTTTGTCATTTTCTTATTGTTGTATATAGAGATCCACTTTCATTAGCTTCTTTCAATCATTGTTAGTTACTCTGGCCGTCTAAGGTATTTTAACATTCGTCTCAGAGACCACATCTCTGTTGCTTCCAGATTCTTAATTTGTTCACTGACATTCCAAGATTCACATTTTTTTCTGAAATGCAGCTTTCGCTTGACCTATTCTGCTTTGAATCTATGTCACACATTTTCCATCTGATGATATGATTGTTCCCAGATATTTGAATTCATTTACTTGGTTAAGTCCTTTACCTTCAATTGAGATATCACAAAGTGGAGTTATCTTCTTCTTTGATATAACCATTACTTTCATTTTCTTAATAATCAAGGAAAGTATATTAAAAGGTTAGTGTATAGGATAACATACAAAAAATGAATGTCAGATAAAAGTCCCATAGTCCAAGATATCATCGTGGGTGTGATTTATTAGGTCTTTATACATTTTAAGCCATGGCGTAAGAGTGGAGCAGCATGTTTCCCTCTGTATCCTTTAAAATGATGTCAAAAGTATTGCACACGATAAAATGAAATGGGGCTGGACTGCAAGCCCTATATGACTCTTAATGACGCAACAGGTCTGAGTTGAGCTGAGTTAAGAATTGAGATCAAAGCACTAGGGGCATTTCCATATGCGCTCCATCACTATCCTCGGCAGCCAGCACAGAGTTAAAATACTAATGGTACCAGTCATAGTCTGGTTGTATGTCCGTCTTGCCTTTTCTCTCTGGTCACACCCAGGTGCATCATTCTCTCCAGCCCATAATAATCTTGTTTCTCTTCTGACTTCGTTACTTATTCCCAAAGGGCTCTGACCACATCTGCCTTGTCATGTATCCATTCACCACCCAGCAGTGCAGATCCATCCAGTCTGCCTGTTTTAGCCTCGACAACGCCTGCATTGCCTGGAAAAAAGATCCAAAGTATGCTCACTACCCGTGAACTTACAAGTGAAGCTTGCCACTCTGCTAGAAGCAATCCTGTCTTCGCCTTTTTCAGCATACTTTCAGAGTCCGTTACAATTACGACATGTGTTATGTATCTTGTTCTCTAGCCACCGAAAAGCTGCAGTGTGACCGCCTCCACCTCCATTCTCATGCTAGATGTCGTGGTGGCGCAACAGGTCCAAGTGCAACAATTCTTTACTTATTCAACTTCAAAAGCATGTAGTATAGTATAAATGGGAAGGCTTAAAGAAGTACTTATAAATCGAATAGATTAACTGATCATCCTTGACTTTAACTCAAAACTCTTATTCTTCTACAGCAGGGAAACTCCCACTTTCTCTCAAAGGCAGACATCAGACATCGATGTTCTTTACATGTGTCATTAAACAGAAAACTCTCAAAAAGTCTTTCCTCACCCTCCAACAGACAAAAAATCCCGTGTGCCATCCCCGGAAAACATTGCAAAGTAAAAAATGCAAGAAACGTCGAGAAAGCGAAATGTGGGAGGGATGCCGACTAAACGAGCGAGACCATGTTCTAGCAGAAGTCACATGAACGCTTGACTGCTTGTTGACCCCGGAAGTTTTTGTTGTTCCTTGACCTTTCGTCCCCTGGCAGAAGTCAACAATATGGCGACCTCCACGATGAGAAAGTTGTTGTCTTCTTTTGTTGGGCCGGTTGGTGTTCGTGTGTTTTCTCGTCTTGGAAACAAAACGGCGGTGCATGTTTCTACAGTATACAGAAAGTCACGCAGGTGCATTGACCATCATTTTTTTTATTTGTATTTAAATGAACATTGTTTACATTTTACAGTTTTTACCGTTTATTAGCAACTGTCAGGCATCAAATCAGCGACCAACTAGGTACTTTAGTCAAATTTTTAAAATACCCTTAACATCAATAAAACCAGCACAGTTAAATAGCTGTAAACAATCTCTTTCCAACGGTACCTCATTTAGGCTTGTATGTCATTTCTGAGCGGAGATTAGCTACTTCAGTCAAATTTTTAAAATGCCCTCTACACCAATAAAACAAGCACAGTTAGATAGCTGTAAACAATCTCTTTCCAATGGTACCTCATTTAGGCTTGTATGTCATTTCTTAGCTGAGATATGTAGGTTTTTGTGGAGATGAGATGTAAGAAACAGCCTCTAAAACTTGTGACCCAGAAACAAGAAGTTTTTCTCTGCGCAACCTACTGGGCAGTTCTGTATCGGCTTTGTTGACATTGGACTGTCATTGGACAAGATGGCAGCAATGAGACTCAGCCACTGGCTGGGACTCACGAGCAAATAAAATGAAGGAAGCTGCTGGAGATGCGGTAGCTGCTGCTCATGAGTCCCAGCCATCTAGTTTAGCCCCAATCCACGACGCATGAGTGGCATGGGGGATACTCTCGGTATTGCGCAATTTTTTTTTATGTCAGCAGCAACACCCAGGTAAGCCCTCACCTGGGCCATTTTCTGTCTGGTGACTGTCTGTCAGGTCGACGATGTATCGCATGGTGCGATATGGGGTGTCTCTTGTGCTCCCAGAAATCAGCCTCTTGGCTTTGTTTTGTACTTTCTCTAGTCTTTCCAGATATCTGCTGTTTGTGACTGGTTTAAATATGCTAGAATAAAGCTATCCCATTGGTGGGGGGGGGGGGGGGGGGTTATATACCTGCTGCCTCTGTGAAGGGTTTGCAGAAATTGGATATGTTGGGCAGAAAGATATCACAGTCTAACTGTAAAACACAACACAGAGTGCCATCTGCTCTTTCTAATGTAAACACATGTGACAAATGATACTATTAATTGTCGGCTTTACAAAATAAGAAATACTGTAATTAAAGAGTCTTTCACAACAAGCCTTTATCGGCAAACAAGAACATACAGACCACAGCAAAACAAAGGCTTGAATTGGTGTGACTTTACTATTGACCAGTGTGAAAACACCAGCTGGCAGCTTTGCATAATCTTCTTATCTGGAACTGTGAATTGTTCTGAAACAATGTTCATAATTAATTCTCTTGTATATTTGTAGGTTATTTTGCCACCGGCCCCTGAGTATTGCAGGAACGACCGTTGGCATATCATACTCTTTGTTTGGCTTCAGTTTTGGGGGAAAAGATGAAGAAGAAACTGATCCATTGACAGAACTCTATAGAGGTGCCAGATTAGCACACATGCGACAGGATCTCCAAAAGGCAGACACATTATACCATGAGGCTCTGAAGGTATTTGATCAACCCCTCATGACTTTCCTTTTTTTTTTTTTGTAGTCTCTAGAGTGGGCATGTCTGTCAATAGAGCAAAAGTTAATTGTAATCACATCTAGACAAACTTATTTTAACATATAGTATCTGGTTATAATTTGTTGTTTGTTAATTGTTTATCTCATTTCATCATCTCTTTTACCACCATGTTGAATAGACAAAGCCAGCAGCATGCACATAAATTTAATGCATAAGTCAGCTGCCAGAGTTGCCAAAACCAGCATCCACCACAAGAATTGCGGTTGTTTGTCGATGGAAGCATTTGGACTTGCATTACTGTTAGTTCTGTGGCAACTGGCTGCCTCCAATTTTGTAATATGTTGCTTAAAACACAAATCACCTTGAGCACAAATGAAAAGCTTTCGACATGAAATCCACAGTGCATACCATTGCACCATGTGCTCGGTTGTGTAGCTGGGTGATAGAACTATGTACTTTAAGTCCATATATGAGAAAGTACGGTAAGAGACTATGTTGAGAAGCAAGTAACACTCCAAGGCTTTAATGGAAGACGCACCTATTTTTATACTGGATCAAAATTCATGACATGTGTCCCATAGAAGTACAGGAAGCAGAGAGAGATTAGAGGACACATTCATCATCATCCTGTTTTGCTCTTTTATTAAGTCACATAGGGCCCTTAGTCTGTTCCTCCTTTCCATTTTGTCCTATGCAGTCTTTTCATGGATGAAATTCACTCCAGCAACTTTAAATCTCTCGTCATCATTCATTTTAGGGTTTCTGTTCACCAACTGTAAACTCCAGTGGAAAGTTCTGGTATTTTGTCTACCTCTAGACTTTTATTCATGTTCCAGAATCTGAGTGTTGCATGCACATCAATTTTACAGATCTGACTTATTTGTATGCAGCCTGTTGGTTCCTTGCCTCTCAGGCAGATGCACTCCAACTTCAAGGCACCAGTTAGTCAGCTCTTATGACATCATTTCATCAACTTGAATGACATGCTTGTTGGAGGGGGGGGGGGGGGGGGGGGGGGTGTGCAGTAGATCTGTTCTTTTTTTCCCTATAATGGGGCCCCAGAACCCACACACAGGGGTGAGTATGCAATTATAGAGGTTAAAACGTTTTAAAGAAAGACAGTATAGCTTGATTATTGTGCTGGTTGTTAGGGCAAGTTCTCTAAACAAACAGCAGACACTAGCAGAGCTAGAAAATGCTGTAATCATAATGTTACTTTCAACACGTTTTAGCTTGCAGATGACCTTGTGAAGTCACAGCAGATAACTGAGGAGAAGTTCCTCACCGCTCGTACACTCTTTTATGATGGTCTTGCTGACATTGCAATGCAGACTGGCCAAATAGACACAGCAGAAATCTTGTACAAGGAGACTATGAAAGGTTGCTTGATGCAGGTAATTTCTGTCATTCATTCAAATTTTTTTTTACACTTCTTCATCTTCGCATTCACCAGCTGAGAAGTCTTAGTTGTTCACCCACTTGTGGACTTTGGCATTGTTCCAAGGCTTGAGTGTTGTATGCACATCCCTTTTACAGATATGGCTTATTTGTACGCCGACTGTTGATTCCTTAACTCTCAGGCAGATGCACTCCGATCTCAAAGGAAATGTCAATACTATCTGCATTGGCTACCCCTGTTTGGAACCGATTTCTAGGATGACCGTCGAGGTGTAGATAAGTCTTGACTAGCATAAATCATGGTATGGGTGCACCACCACTATGTGTGGTTCAATACCTCTGTATCTCTTAAAAATTTCTGATGCCTTTGAGCTTTGGTTCCCACAGTGTTTTTTTTCTCCAGGGAAACAGTGTGTCTTATGCCATTTCAGATTTGTTTGTTTGTGTGAAATATCTCCAGAAATCACCATATGCAAAGGGTAGTCAGACAGTTCTCTAGCTTAGTGTAAAGATATTAACATATATATTAACATTCTTGATGTTTTGGTCATACAACTCATGTGACTTGGCCAGAAACTACGTCTCTAGTTCAGTGATCAGTCTTGAACATTTGGTTTTAAAAAAAATTACCATCCACCATACTGGCCGAACTTGGCGCCAAGTGGCTACTTCCTGTTTCCTGACATGAAGAATATACTTCATGTGTGTCATTGTTTCTTAAATTACCAGAGCTTGTGGGGCAACCAGATAATTTTCAAACTTGTGTACAAATAGAACCATGATGATGACGAGAACTGGTCACCTTCACTTCACTATGCCATTGCCTGCAGTATTTGAAGGTCTAACTTCACATCATAGTAGCAGTTATATTATCACGGGAATTCATAAGGGAATTCCCATGTGTGCTCAGTCCTCCAAGGTAGCAGCCACTCCAGGGTACCTCTGCTGACTGATCACATGAGGAGTTGATTATAATGCCTCCTAACTCGGCCTCAAAGGTGGCATAGGTGTGCTTCACATCATGCTTTGCTCCCAGATCACACAATCGCGTTGGTGTCCGAAATTCATCATTACATACTGCCAGGGATTAATTTTAATCTAACTTTTGGTTTCCAGTTCTGAAATCAGTATTCTGTTTTTTTTTTTTTCTTCTCAGAATTCCTCAACAAAGAAAAATCAGTTGTGCTATTTTTTTCTCTCAGATATTTTTTTTTTTTCATTTTAGGGAATGGAATATAACCACAATGCTATGGTGGAAATGGGCCTGAAGCTCGCAACAATCTACGCAATGAGGGGTCAGAAAATGGAAGCAGAAGAAGGTTACAAATTCTGTTTAAACGCCCAGATCCCCAAACTTGCAACAACTGAAAAACTTCTGAAAGCCAACGATGCAAAATCAGTTAAACAAAACTCAGAGCTTGTTTTGAGATTAGAGATGGAGGAAACTGAAAAAGACACCGCAGCTTTACTAGGGATGGCTTTGAGTAGCTACGGGCGCTTCTTGTTGTATGAAAAACGTTATACCGAAGCGCTGCCGCTATTTGAAAAGGCTAAATTCTATGCAGAACACACTCTAGGAACAAACACAGATCAGTATTTAGTCGTGCTAAATGATATTGCAACGCTTTATATTGTCACCAAAAATCTTGACAAGGCAGAAGAAGTTCTTAAAGAGGGAATTAATCTTTCAGAGAAACATAAACTGGTAGAGAAAGCAATGCTGTTCTGCAACCTGGGAGCTGTGTATTTAAGGAAGGGAGATGTATCATCAGCCATAAAACAGTGTCAGTTGGGTATGGAGTCTGCTAAAGAGTTTGATCATAAAATGGCATTTAAGATGGCTGAGGCATGTTTAAAGAAGGGAGCTAGTGTTATGGCTAATAAATCAAAGTAAATAAATGCGACAATGGGATTTTAACTGTTGATTTTAGCTTGGAAGGCCAGGGCTAATTGTCTGTCTATTTAGCTTAAAAAGCAAATCAGATTGGCTGTTTAGTAAGTTCATGTCTGGTTGTGAAGTTTAGTTATAAATTGAATTGCAGTATGAGTAAGGTTGCCAAATTTAGTTAGAGATTGCAGTGTGACTTAGGTTGCCTTAATTATCTGACTTCATTCCACACAGAGATGCTGTGTTAATATAAACCATCGTAGAAATGGCAGGAAACCAGTACAACTGATCACCATAATCAGTGAAACAGCTGTAACGTTTGGCGTAAAGATATGAGCTTGTCGGAGAGAGAAATCACGATAATTGCTAAATAAACCCAGAACATAGATATTAATATCAAAGGATGTTTCATTGAAAGAGAGCAAAGATTTCTTTCCTTTAAACAGATCGTCACAGAGGATGTTCTGTATAAAGCTGGAATTCTTATTTTTCCGGATTCAATCTAAAAAAGAGTGGCTGGCACATTGTTTTGTGGTTTACAGCTAGGCTGTGATATCGCCACCTTTCAGCCCAATACATCCGGTTTCAGCAAAATCTTAGGTAGTCGTCATTTACGACACGCTTGTTAAAGAGCAGTGGGTCTGTCTGGTCATGTTTTCCCAAAAATGATATCTCATATATGAGTTGCTGTTAAAAGATGTAGGATTTCAGTAGCCAACAAAGTATTCAGGAGAAACAGATATAATTTGTTTATACATTTTTATAATTTATTGATTACTCCCTTTATATGTCTTTATATATTTTGAAACAAAAATTTAAAAATGTAGATAATAAAGATTTGAAATATTTTATTAGTTACCTGTGTGAAATATTTTTTTTAATAGGATTTTTTTTAAGTATTCACAGGGTGAAAGGGTTAATTTTTAAATTACTCTACCTCATATTTTACTTATAGTGTTATTTTAACTCCTTCAGCTTGAGCATTTATTAACTAAACTGATTTCTAAGGTTAAAATGAGATGAAGTAGAAACTTATCAGGGGCTGAACAAGTGATGGGTGTTGGTGAGTGGTGCATGATTATCTTAAATTGAGATTCTTTATTTTTTTTTTTTTTACTGGCTGTAAATTCCGAACGAGGGTTGTGGTTGTTCATCCACTTCAGACTTTAGTTAGTCTTGTTCCAAAACCTTACTTATACATGCACAGCCGTTTTACAGTTCTAGTATATTTGTATACAGACTGTTGGTTCCTTGCCTCTCAGGTAAATATACTCTTGACTTTGAAGGAAGCACCCAGTTAAGTCAGCATTCGCGAATGCTTGTCAGGAAGGCACCGGGTCTCTTATTGTTTCCCCTACAATGGGGCCCAGGAATCTACACGAGGACAAATAATAGAGATTGAGGGCTGGGAAATCTCATATATATGCCAGCCATTGTCTGTCTGTTGATATGGGTTTTTTATTTATTAATTTTGTTGAATGTAAAGTCTTTGGTTGCATGTTCAATTCTTTTGAATAATAAACCAGTAGTTATGAAAGTAATATCTACTTTACAGTTTGTTTGTCATGTCTCTATTTGCTTTCCTTTATGTTATAATTTTATATCAATTTATGAGTTGTGTTGAGTTAAGAACTGACATCACAGCACTAGGGGCATTCCCATACGCGTTCCATCCTCAGCAGCCAGCGCAGAGTTCCAGTGCCAATGGAGCCAGTCGTAGTCTGGTTTGTCCGTTTTGCTTTTCCTCTGAGCGTAGCGTTTGGCCGAACCCTCTGGTTAAACCCAGGTGCATCATTCTCTCCAGCTGATAATAACCTAGTTTCTCTTCTGACTTTATTACTTGTCATGTACCTATTCACCACCCAGCAGTGCAAATCCAGCCCCCACGCTGGCATTGCCTGGAGAAAAGAACTGAAGATGACTATTTCAATTAACTTACTTTGTTTTGAATCATAATTTGTTAAAAATGTTATTTCTGTTTACTCCATAACATCTCACTTTGTTTTCTTGAATTTTGTTATTTTTGTGTCTTCCTTCAGTTACATAATTTATGTTATATCTTTTCTTGTCTTATACTGTCAGCTTCCTTTCATATCTTTTACTTATAGTTTAAATCTTGTCTGCAAAAATTTTTTTCTAGAACAAATGGTGTCGATACTCATTGTAACGTGTCTAAAGGTACCAGTACTTATCACAGTGTCTATCACAGTCAAACTGAACAAAAAATTATGCCCAAAAAGATAGGGCACTGTTGCACACCATCAGAAAAAAACCTTTGTAACTGATTTTTGTGTGTGTGTTTCTCTTCTCTTCTATCACCATTTGTTTATTTATTCACTAACGTGAATGCTGATAGAAGACACGTGCTTAGATGAAATAACATGAATAAGAATGTGCGAACTTTGGAATTAAGTGCAGATCCAGCTAGGAAGTATGATGTGTGTATAATCAGTGTGTTACGGGAACAGTTCAGAAATTTGCTTCAAGAGACCCAGCATCTATGAGTATGATGGGTGTGTTGTGATGTTGATTTTGAAATCAATATTCACTAACAACCATCCCCCAGTCCTATAAATGATATAACCTGTATGTTAGTTAACCCTATTCTATTGTCTTCTTCACTTTTACCGGGTTGCAGCCCAGTGTCGTGGTTTAAAATATTTGTTTTGTGCCTCTCGCATGATTTGAGTGAGTTTTCTGGATCTTCAGGTCGTATTCAGCTACTCCATCTATCCATTTTTTCCTGGGTCTTGCTCTGGCCTTTCTCCCGATGTTCTACTGTAAAAGGCCTTATAGGCAATCTGATCCGGTTGCATTCTTACTAAAAGGCCAAACCACTTCATTCTCTGTCTTTCAATATGTTCCATGCATGCTTTTGTTCCAACTTTGTCTCTAATGCTGACGTTTGTGACTCTGTCTCTTCGTGTATTGTTGGTGACTCTTCGGAGACATCGCATTTCACACGTAGTTATTTTTTGCATATGTGATTTGTTCATTGTCCACGTTTGGCACTGATAACATAACATAGGGATGAAAATGCTGTTGATCATCCATTGTTTGGCTGGTAACGAGATCTTTGGATGACGAAGAAGTGGGGCCAGTTGGTAGTTGACTGCATTGGCTTTTTGAACTCTAGCTTGTATCTCTTTATCGAGTCTTCCATCTTCTGTAAATATGCATCCTAAGTACTTGAATTCTTGAACTTGTTCTAATTGTATGTCATTGATCTTTATGTTTACATTACTGTGTTTCTTTTCTATGGTCATTACTTCAGTTTTTGAGGTGTTTATTTTCATGTCAAATTTTTTACAGTTAGTGAGCAATGAATCAACATGTTGTTGTAGTTTTTGTTCTTCTTCTTGTAACAAACATTGGTCATCTGCAAAGAGTAGTTCATTTATAATATCTGTGTTTTGGGTTTGACTCCTGTGCAATTTTATCCATACATGTGATGAAGAGTAGGGGTGATAGGACACATCCTTGTCGTACTCCTGATGTAATGGGGAACCCGTCTGTCATACCTTCCATTGTTCTTACAGCGCTCTGGCTGTTAGTTAATAAATCACTAAAATTGGTTAAACATAAATAAATCAATACTTCACGAGCATCAGGTTCTTGTCTGATTAATAAATCACTACAACTGGTTACGCATAAGTAAATCAATAATTACTTTATGAAGAGGTAATACTTTAACAAGTGCAAACAGAATATGTAAAAATGTGTTTTACAAAAGTTTATTATTAAAATTGTTAAAATGAGGCCAGTAAAGTAAAGGACCCTTTTCCACGCCTTTCGGCATATGGGTCTAGACCTATATTTTATAGACCAATCGGCACAAGATGGGTGATGTGGTCAGCATGAAGCCGGCCGCCTTTACTTCCCGGGGCTGTAACTTTAACAAGTGCAAACAGAATATGTAAAAATGCGTTTTACAGAAGTTTATTATTAAAATAAGGCCAGTAAAGTAAAGGACCCTTCTTGTGCCAGTAGCACTCTGGGCTATGATGTAAGACTCAACAGCCGGCCACCTTTACTTCCCAGACTGCAGAATGTCACAGTCAACTGTATATTAACAGGTAGTAGCAGCAATTACCTGTGTCCATGAGTGGACTCAGTTAACAGGGTCGTCACATTCAAGTAATATTATCCATCTTTTTCAGAATGACAAAAATGTTGATTTCATGACTATATACACACACACTCTCTTCCTATTTATCTTTCCCCCATATAGAATAGGACTCAAGTTGCCCTATCCTATGCTATCGCATGCGGGCCACCACACATCCTCCCCACCTTTTTAATATCACTTTCTAACTCCCTACTCCTTGTTTTTTTTTAATTCCTATGCCCCTGTGGGTTCCAGTGTAAAGACATTCTGGTTATGTTGTTCTCAGGTTTTCTCTGTGTGTTTCCAATTCAACACCAGCATTATTTCTTCACCTTTTGATTCACTGGTTTTTACTATTTACATTGTCTACCATCTCCTGTTCTGCTATATGGCAGTGAATCTTGGAATGTGAACAAATTTGGAAGCAATGGAGTTGTTTCTGAGCAGAATGTCACTAAACACACAGTAACTAACACATGCCTGGAAAAATCTAATGGAAGTAGACAATTACAGGTAACTGAATAGAATAGAAAGATCACTATTTCAGCAATGATCCATGGACAACTTGCTAGGCCTCTGCCAGCCTCCAGTTCTTTCTTCTTCTTCTTAAAGCTCACTGGCTGTAAAAATCTGGCAAAAAGTTATGTTCCTTCGTCCACTTCTGGACTGGTCTTGTTCCACAACTTGAGTTTTGCACATCTGTTTTACGGATCTGGCTTACATGTTTGAAGACTATAGGTCCCTGGTCTCTCAGGCAGATGCACTCAGACTCCGAAGGAAACATCTCTAATTAGTTGCCTTTTACAGCACTTTTGTTGCGGGAAGTGGATCTATTCTTGTTTCCCCCAAAATGAGACCATAAACCCACACAGGGACAGACTCTTGTTGAATGGTCCTGACACACGCCATCTGGCACGGTATAAGATGATGATGACTGTAAAACAACTGTAGTCTTGTCGTAACGAAAGCTGGGTCTTGACACTTGGGACACCCCATAAGCGCTCAGTCTCCATCTTCAGCAGCAAGCAAAAGAGTTAAAATTCTGATGGTGCCAGTAACTGTCTGTATATCTGTCTCGCCTTTCCCCTGAGTGTCAAGGGTCGGCCAGATCCCCTTGTAACTCCTCGCAGGGCCATTCTCGTCAGACCGAAATAATCTATCTGTGCCTCGTCACTGTTAACTCTTTTCCAAAGGGCCCTTGCAACATCCAGCTTGTCATACATCAGTTCACCACCAAGTTGTGTAGAACTGGCCAGTCTAGCTGTCTGCTCCTTTCCCAACACACCGGAATTACCTGGAGAAAATATCCAAAGGATGTTAACTACCCGGGAACTTTATATTTGTATTTTGACGCTTGGTATACTTTACTACTGAGCCACGGCTGGACTCCGTACCTAAAAAAGTATGGAAACTGTCATGTTGTCTCTAAACCATTTCTGTCCATCTTCTTGTCAGCCATTAAGTTTCTGGCCTATTTCAGTCCAGTCAGCAAGCTGGCCAGTGTTCTTCACACAGTGTACAAACCAGCTGGTCTTCATGCCGCTTCATGTATGAGTGCATCATCACATAACTTCAGCTGATGAAAGTAATGACTGCAGAGCACGAGCATATGCTGAAAAGATAAAAAATAAACGTACGGATATTAATAACTCTGTGTGTGTGATAAAATCATTTTAAATAGACAAATAAGAAAGGTCAATTTTGTGCTGCATCCCCTGTTTTCTTGGCGTTCGCTGACTGTAAACGCCGGCAGAAAATTCTGGCTGATGATCCATTTTTGGTCTTGTTCAAGAACTTGAGTTTAACATGCACATCCATTTTACAGATCTGGCTTATTTGTATGCAGACTGTTGGTTGCTTGCCTGCATAGATTATGCATATAAAGACACTCATACACATATTACCTCTATTGGTATGGAAGAAACATGGACACACACATATTCCTCAACCATGGTAAGGTAGAGATATAGACGCAAACACTAATAGTAATGTAGAGATATAGACACACGCCCGTGGCTTAGGTGTTGCGAGTCCGACCTGTAATCCAACGTACTGCGATTGAAACCCACTGCTGGCTGCGTGGATTTTTATCATGGTATGGCCTAAAATGGGTACCAGGATGGGCTGTCCTGGGAAAGTAAAGACAGCCGGCGTAATGCTGACCACATTACCCACCGAGTGCTGATGGTCTGTAAAAATATGGGCGCTCTTCCCATATGCCCGATACGCCTAAAGGCGTGGAAAGGGATCTTTACTTTTATTGACACACGCACACATACTCCCCTACTATGATAAGTATAAATATAGAGACTTAAGAAGAAGAATTCAAGCAAATGTTACCTCTGGGGTTCTTATAGAAGAAGCAGTTGTTGGCACATGTATCTGGATGTGTGTCCCAAACAGTGTCACCGCAAGCACAAAGTGACGGAAGCTGAACACCTCGCCGCGTCACTTTCTCCAGCAAGGTGTGACGTAAAGCATTCAGGTATCTTCATAAATTGGAAGAAGTAGATAATATTGACAGATACTGCATACTTTATTATTAAATGTTATACGATGGATAAATGGTGTAGCAGAAAAAATGCCAAAAGATTCACAAATCCATCACCCGAGAAGCACAAGACAAATACAGAAAACTTCGACACTGGGTTACAACCTGGTATCTGTGAGATGACAAAAGAAGTAAGTAACAGAGTCATGGACTCTTTTATCAATCTTTGAATAAAAAGAATAGAGCTTTTGAACTGAAATGCTATAGAAAAATTCTCAGAATACCTTGGGCCAAGAAGAAGAAAACACATTGACATTCTAAATGATCTGAAAATCGAGGAGTTTTCGCTCATGAACAACATGCAGTCTTACAAGCTGAGGTATTCTGGCCATATTAAGTGCCACGGTCGGGAGAATGGTGATGGAGGGAGCAGTTTTCGGAAAACAAAGCAGAGGCCAACCTCCGTGAAGGTAGATACAAGAATCTGAAGATGCAATGACTATGAACGCACACAGGGCTGGAGAACTGGCTTGAGAAAGAGAGACTTTCAGATATGCTATGAAGAGATATTCTGTAAACGACCTGCTGACTGTTGATGATGAAGTAAGTGAGTCTTTTCTGCACCCTGGGGGATACTGAGGATAAGGTTCTGGCCTCGAATCGTCAAAGATTAATAGGTATTCTGTTTCTGTCCCTTTAAAAGGGACAACACTCTATTTTGTGATTTACAACTAAGCTGCAGTATCTTTTCCTTTTGGCCCAATACATCCAAAATGGGGTTCTAGGATTACATACAGAGAGAAAAAGATATTCAGTGTGTGATGTGTTCAATATCCCACCAAACATTTTATTACTTCCCTAATTTTTGTTGGGATGCCAGAACATTTTCTTGTAAATACCATCTTGAAAGGAATTCAAACATATGAATCAATAAGCAAACATACTAGTCATTTCTTCCTCTTTTAAACTCACAATTCAGCACAAGTCCTCAAGCAACTGAAATCAAGCACTTTTTCCTAGACTGTTTTCCTAACTGGATGGATTCAGCGGCTAATGTCTTTCATGGGATGAGCTAGTCTGTTTCATGTCAACCTTCTCTTATGACATGCATGGTAGATTACAGAGTTAAAGGGCAATGTTTTGGAGACTCAAGTGGCTGGATTACTGACCACATGTGGCAGGGTGATTTTGTTCAAAGGTGTGAGGGTAAGTTAAGGCTGTTCTGATGTGTATAAGGAGATACTCCATACCTTGAACTAGGTACAAACAGGCTCTGTACTGTTTTTTTTACAGATCCTTATGCAAGGCTCCTGTCGTACGTCATCATCATGTGCTACAGATAATGGCCTATATCTGCCTAAACTATGCTGGCAGTGGATCATGAAATCACCCCATGTGAGGCTGCAAATGCCCCATGAAACCAACCAGGAAGTCTCAAGTTTCTGAAAAGTCTGGCAAGGAAGAACTTCTGTATCTATGTAAAATGATTGACAGTACATAAGGCAGAAGGCTGCAGACAGACGTGATTACAAATGTCTTGCGGGATGAACTATACAACAAAGAAATGATACACCACAATGACGTTGAAATGTTTACATGCTGACCTTTTCATCTCTCGCATTTTCCTCAATGCATTTTTCTGTTTGCTGGCTATTTCCTGAACTTGTAAAGCTTCCATTTGTTCTTGCAGTTTCAAGTCTTCCGCTGACTCCCCAGAGACAGAGTCTGCTGGTGATAAATTCTTATGAGCTATCTCCTCCAGCTCCTGCCTGTAAATTTCTTTCTCTTTTTTCAACCTGTCAAACAAAGATTTGGTCATGTCATGGACTGATAGTGCACAAGTAAAATGGGAACAGTCAAAAGTTCAATCAATCAGCAAGTCCTTTACAGAACCTTGCTTTCTTCATTGCATGCTTGAAGGTCTCTCTTTCTTTAGCCAATTCTCCAGTCCTGTGTACTTTCACGGCCAATGCAACTCCAGTGAACTGTATCCACATTCAGGACGGACTGCACCCTCTGTTATCGTTCTCTCTACACCACCATGGTGCTGGACATGGGAAAAATACCTCAGCTTCTGGTACAGGATGCTGTTAATGAGCCAATTCTCCCTGATATTCAGGATGTCAATGTTTTTCTTCTTTTTGGTCCATAATATTCTAAGATTTTTTCTGCAGCATTGTAGTTCAGAAGCTCAATTATTTTTCTTCAAAGACTGAGTGAGTGTCTATAACTCACATCCATAAGCTGCCATGGGAAAAGATGCATGATCTCGAAAATGTTTACTTTAACTTGCTTGCAGGTGTTGCACCATAGGTTTTTCATGCTGTTTAGTCTCTGAGATAAAAGTTAACTAAACTTATAATTGACCATGACAAAGTATACACAAACCTGTGACTAACTGAGTGTAACTCAAGAAGACAGGAGGAAAGTGGACTGAGTGAGCTGGACCTTGAGGGATCAGACAGTCTTGTAGATTCAAGGTGGGCAGATGTGTGTGAGGCAGTTAGAACAGGCTTAATTTTCACTGTACTTGGTTTGGCAACTCAAGTTCTAATGGGACAGGAGTTTGCCAGTCACCAACTGTGTGATAAATATGTGGGTGTGATCATTTACAGATAAGCCAAAGAAATTGAGAGACTGAGGGGGGGGGGGGGGGGGGGGGTGAGTGGGAGAATAAGTACATGAGTGGGTGAGACCACTGGTAAGTGAGTCAGTGAATGGCTGAGATGATGTACGAGGGTTAGCCTACTGATAAGCAAGTCCCAGAGACAGACTGAATTTAAGAGTGAATCAGTAATATTGGTGGTAGGTGAATATGAGTATCAAATACAAATCAGATACTGAAGGAAAGAACAAAAAAGGTTGAGAGAGAATAAGACATGAGTGAGTACATGTGTGTAAGTATATCATGCCGAAGTAAAACAAAATACACACAGATAAAAGATAACAGAAAGTTATACTATACTTCTTCATTGAAATGCTAGAACATCAAAACTCGACAAGAATGTACAAAACCCCTCAACGTCAGAAAACTTTTCAAATAACATGTGGAGAATATGAATTAGAACATAAAAAGAAACTCACATGTCAATTTTTTTCCTGTGCTGCTGTCTTCGAATGTTTTCTCTGACAGTCTCTCTTTCCCTGTCCATGAAAATCTTCCTAGCTATGGCCGCTTGGTGTCTACGCTGTCTGGCAAGAACATCACTTTCAGAGTCACGAAGCAAAATGGCTGCCATCTGAGCTGACTTGGGTCGCCGTGGTGACCCTTAAAGATTTGTTAATCAAGATTTGAAGAAAAAAAAATATCATACTAATACTGACATATCTGCTTCTTCTGTTTCACCTTTAAAATGGCCGTTGGTATATTGTGTTGTGGTTTACAGCTAACCTGTCATATTGCTGCCTTTCAGCCCAACACATTTGAGCAAACTCTTCATTAGTCACTTTTTTTGTTGTTTAAGAGTGGGGGTGAAAAAAAGGGAGGGGGAAGCAGTGGGTTTTTACACCCCCCCCCCCCCCCCCAAATTGGGTCCTGAAACCCACATGAAGAAGATGTAAGAGAATCTCTACAGACATACATAAACGCGTTCTGTTTCTTCACTTGGAATAGGTCTATACCTGCAATTATCTTCCCTGCATGAACTGCACCATCCACAGTAAATCCTGCAGGATTCTCACAGAAGAACTGTTTCCTTTCTCCCTTGCGGTCACAGGGGCATTGCAAACATGTTCGGTAATTCCAAGCTAACTAGTGATTAGTAAGGATTATCATAATGGCACTCCTGACAGATTCATTGATGCTCCAATCTCCTCCTCAAAAACTCTACAAGTGTAAAACAACTGATCACACCTGTTCTGTGTTGGGTAATGAAATGTCTTGTCCCCTTCGTGAAATGTTCCTTTCTTGCAGCTCCAGGAGGCTGCACCCCTATGTCCATCAGCCTAGACATGGATACGGAGTCATGCCCTTTGTCGTCATGGTAAGCGCTGCGCGTGGCATTGATAACATCGCTTCTGTCCAGTAATGGACCAGCTATAGAAACCTCAGTGTCAGCAAGACAATTTGCACGCTTGTTCCCTTTACTAATTTCGAGGTGATTCAACAGCAGACTGCCTTGCATTGGTTTTGGCAGTGGTGTCCAGAGCTGACTGTTCAGCGGGCAATGGCAAACTACTGTATGTAAACAATGCCTAATGAAATCACAACCAAAAAATGATGGAGTTGGTTTTGCAATGCCCTGTAAAGAATACACAACAAAATTGTATGCACTGCGCACATTAAAGATTCCTAGGGAAATAAAAAAAATCAGGCAAAACACCCAGATTAGAAAAAATTTTTCTTGTTTATAAGCAGTGGGTTTCTCACTGGTGGGTGCTACGAAGTTTGTGTGCTGTGCTGAGATTCTCCTTGAGTGATCTATGTTTTGACAGAGACCGGAGCACCTATGGAAACAACCACGTGCAACGAATGTGATGCTGTATGAACAACACGCTTACATGGTCGTTTCTTCTTCTTCTGCCTGTGCTGTTCACTTGAATGTTGATCTGTGAATTGTACCTTAGTCTCCCCTTCAGTACTCTCTGCATCTTTATGGTTATTGTTTCTGTCACCATCCTGAAGTTCCGACTCAGGTATAAGGTCTACAAGAACAAAATATGAAAAAATAAACAAGAAATATAATGTAATAAATTTAGAAACTATCTAAAAAATTATTGTTACTGTATCATGCTCTTGGAGAGACACAGGCAATAAATTGTGCAATCAACTGTTCGCGTGGTTTTTTTTTTTTTTTTTTTACTAACTGTCAAACTCATCAGTATGATAAGAAACAGTGATCTTAAAAGACATTAGGAATAAGAATGTGAAGATAAAAGAACAGCAAACTATAATATTAATTTGAAGTCAACAAATAAACCAACAAATCTACAGCAAAATAAATAATGTGGAGAAGAAATACAACAATAAGATGCAGCAAAAGAATATAATGGTGAGAATAAAAACACTAAAATCAAGAAAAATAACAAGACAAAATGATAAATACAACAATTAAAATCATGATTGTAAAAATCCATCAACTTACAATTTAAACTTCTTCGTATCGACTAACATCTAAATTCCTCACACCATTGCTATTTACTGTCAATTTCTAAAACTTACATTAGTGTTAGATGACTTTCCATCAAATTTCACACAGGTTTCAAAACTCAAATAAATATAATTATTCATTTAATCAGTCTTCCTCTTTTACTCTTACATACTTTATTGTCACACTTATTCTGCCCTAGTGGACTGAGGCATCTTATCATCATCTGTCAGCCTTTCCTCTCTTACTCTGCATTTTAGTTCATCTTCTTTTCAAACTGATGTGTTGAGGCACATTACATACCTCTTTATTACATCTTCTACAAGGTCTATTAAAAAAGTAGAATCCAATCTTAACTTGCCACACAGAAAAAAATCAAACATGGGAAGTGCGCAGGACCTTGGCTTCCATTATTTCAGTTTCCAAGGGTGGATGCTGTTTACAAGCCAATTTCTTAAAAGTTAAGACCTTATGGAGTGTCAATACAGTTCTAGTCCTTGGCCAGTGGTACTGTAAGAATTTTATTTTCCATATTAGTTATAGATACATATACAGTTAACATATATTCACTCATAATGTCTCTCACGTTGACTTCCCATATTATCATACATAAAATACCTTTGTCCGTATTTCTTTCAATGTCAGCATTGACCCTATCATCTCCTTCAGTGTCATTTCTTTGTTTTTGATGTGTAGTGTATGAAACTGGAAGATCGGCATCAACAACACTTCTTGCTGTTGGAATCTGGATAAAATATTACAATTACATTACCTATATGACAAACTTTCATGCAAATACAGTGGTACCTCAGAATTCAAACACTTCAAATCTCAAACAACTTGGAATCCAAACAAAAATTGTCAAGTAACTTTTGCCCCAGAACTCGAATGTCACCTTGGAAACTGAACGCCTGGCACATGCCAGCCACAAACTATCATACAGCACCACCCAGGCATCACCTTATTTACATCACTGTGGCAAACATGCTGCGTTTTTACCTGGTCGCCTCAAACGATTTTCACAGTCAACTGTATGAATCTGTGCTTATACATTTGTTTTATTTTGCCAGAGCTGAAACAGATTAATTTAGTTTCCATTATTATCAATGGGGAGAACCTCCTTGAAACTCAAATGATTTGGAATTCGAATGCCATCTCAGAACAGATTGTTTGAATTCTGAGGTACCACTGTACTGATCCAATAACGTTTTAATTTAGCAGTATAATTTGTTTTTGTTTTTTTACATTTTAACAATTAGAGTTACTTAAATCAGGTAACACAACTTTTAATAAAACACTTTGTTAAAACAAATGTTTTTGAGGTTTAATAAAATATTTTGTTAAAACAAATGTTCTTGAGGTTTAATAAAATACTTTGTTAGAACAAATGTTCTTGAGGTTTAGGACAGTAGTACAATTGTCACACTGTGGAAGAAAATCTGTTTCATTAATATCCCAGATGTAGACAAATAGATCATTATTGTCTGGAGAGAATGGTGCAGCTAGAAGTGACAAGGGGATCTGGACAACACTCTGTGCTCAGGAGAAGAACAAGAAGGAGATATAATCACATTGCTATTGGCACCATCGAAATTGGAACTCTTCGCTGAAGATAAAGAGGGAGCACTGATGGGAGTATTTAGAATGCTTTGATGTCAGTTTTTCATTCAACCTTCAACACACAGATGTATTTATACTACCATACTTCCCTGTGTGGGTTCTGGGGCCCTATTATAGGGGACACAAGAATAGACCCACTGCCTACCCAAAAGCATGTCGTAAGAGTCAACTAATTGCGAGCTTCCTTCAAAGTCGGTGTGCATCTGCCTGAGAGGCAAGGAGCCAACAGTCTGCATACACATTAGTCAGATCTGTCAAACAGATGCACATGCAACACTCAGGTTCTGGAACAGGTCTGCAGTCCAGAAGTGGACAAACAACCAGAACTTTCCGCTGGAGTTTAAGCGAAGAAGAAGAAGAAGACTACCATACTTGCTAGATTGACCCAGGGATATTATCTACCAAATAAGTATAACTATCTAAAACTATTTTATTATTTAACTTACAGCAGTGTTGAGAAGGAAGAAGAAGTAGAAGATGACATGATAAAAATTAATAATAAGAGAAAGGAGAAATAAGGTAAGAAGAGAAGCAAAAGAACATTCTGCCTAATAATAAATGTAAAAAATGCTGACCCAAATGTCCTTCTTGACCGTTTTAACTGGCCAGTCGCTATGACAGTTGTTGATGTCTGAACCTTTCTGAGCTATTTTCTTGGACATAAGCTGTTGCCGAGCTTTATCTGTGACCTGATGGCTCTGATATGACCAAAAACAAATTTTATTTGTAGTCCAACTATTTATGCAATGAGTTAAACACACACACAAAGCTTGACAAGTTGCTATTTCATCCTGCCAGAATATAGTGGGAAACTGAAATGTCATTCCAAAAGTTAAGTGTATCTATATGCCAAACAGCACCATTATTTGACAACAAGAGGGTACCCAAGAATATGGACTGACAGCATTCTAACTATGAGTTAAGGACCCTTTTCATTCCTTAGGTGCATTGGGCATAGTGCCAGCCTCATTTTTTTTAGACCAAACAACATCAAATGAGTCATTTCAGCCACCTTCACTTCGCAGGACATTATCCTGGACCCATTTTAGACTAGGCTGACATGGGAGTCAAGGTCAGTTCTAAAAAAAATGCCTCGATGTTGATTTAAACCCTGGACCTCCAGACTAGATAGTGAGCATCTAGTCACGCAGATACCACCGCCAATCTTCTTCTTCTTCATGTTCACTGGCTGTAAACTCCGGCGGAGAGTCCTGGTCATCTGTTGACTCTGGACTGGTATTTTTCAAGAACTTGAATTTTTTGTGCACATACGTTTTACAGATCTGACCTATTTGTATGCAGACTGTTGATTCCTCATATCTCGGGCAAATTTGCTCCGACTTCAAAGAAAACATCCCTAATTAGTCAGCTTTTATGCCATGTATGTTAGGGGGAATTAGAACAGGATACAATCGACTTCACAGCCACAGGTACACACAATTTACGACTGGCGAATCAGCCATGTATACATGTGGATTAGCACCTTAGACAACAGATCATATTCTCCAAGACTGTCCCAAATCTAACATATCGAAGCAAAACTTTTGGCCAAGAGAAACACCAGTGCAAGTCAAACTTTATATGCCTTTGAATGAATTACAACAGACAGTGAAGTTCATACTAGAGACACCAACAGGTGCATATTCCTCCAATTACAGAGCAGAGGCAGAAGAAGCACTTCTAGCGGCATGTTTTTTCCTGAATGGACAACAGCACAGCAAATATAGCAGAGTGGTCTTTCTGACTGATGCTATGTCAGTTCTACAAGCAATTGGTAACCCAAAAGACACTCAGTTTGTAGACTTGACACAACAGCTGATTTACTTAGGCTCTTCAGTAGAACAATCTGTACTGCAGTGGATTCCAGGTCACTGTGGCTTGGAAGGCAATGAAATAGCGGACATATTGGCCAGAAGCGGCAGTGACATGGTACAACCAAATAGCGACTTAACCCACCAAGAGATGAAAACATTAATACAATCTAGTATCCAAGAAAGGTGGCTGGATACCCACACCAGATTTTCCCCCCAAGACTCACTTTATCGCCTCTCTAGAGAGGGACAGTGCATTATATTCAGACTAAGGACTGGGCACAACAGATTTCGTCAACATATGTTCAAAATTTTCGGTGTCGGAAATACGGAGACGTGTCCCTGCAGCGTGGCACCCGAAAATGCTGAGCATGTGCTCCAACACTGTCAACTGTATGCTGACAACAGAGACGCAATCTGGCCTGTTCCAACCACACTGAAGACAAAACTGTATGGTACACGAGAGGATATGGATTGCATGATAGCTTTCATAAAGGCTACCGGTCTCCTGATATAAGTTTTCTGACAGAAGGATCGAAGAAGAAGAAGATACTAGAGACAACACTGTATATCTAGATAATCTACTTCAAGCGAATGAAAGAAGAAGAAGATTGTAACAAATAACTATCAAACTTACCTCTTCTGTGTGGGAGTGTAATGCTGGTACATGGTCTTTTTCCCAGGTGCTAACATCTTCTGTAAATCACAGTGGGGGGGAAAAACATCATAAACACATACAATTGGGATTGCTTCATGAAATAAGATAACCTTATTATCACTTTTATCAGTAAAGGTTCAACCACTGAAGCAGCTGTTTTATCAAATGCTATGTTATGCTCTGTTGATACATTCTACATTAAAGCTATGAATCATATTCTTAACAAAGTCTGTAACCAATAAAATACTTTCTTAAATTATATGTGGCATTTTAAGATGTCTACAATTTGGCTTGTCAAAAAGCCAGTTATAGGAAGTTTTCTAAATATTTAAAATTTACATTTCTGTTAAGTTCTGAACAAGCCATATTGTATCATGGTTAAATATTTGATAATCTGGTCAACTGTGTGTGATTTTTATTATTTTACAAGTATTTTTTATGCTTTAATGGAGTATAGAAAAAGAGCAAGAGGAGATTTTCAAAAATGCTAAGAAAGACAATAAGTATCACACTTAAAAGAGCATTGCTAACAATAAGAAATACATCAGAGTGCAAGTCCCTGTGTAATGAAATGTACACATTGTAATGGTCTTCAGTGAAAACCCAGAGGTAATCAATGTCAGCCACAGAAATGAGGATATATTACTGACAGAGAATATTCAACTGTGAACCAAATATGTCATGAACTCCAAATTTTAATGATCTTCGCTCGCTACAAGAAAACAGAAAAGTAATCAAGTTAGCTGCTATACAGTCATAGTAAAATACTGACCCACGATGAAATTCAGAAACAAGATGTCTGCTGCGTCAATGTTTTTTACTTCAACCTCAGGGGGCTGAGTGGTCTAGAGGTATGGCATCTGCCTTGAGTGCCGGAGTCCCGGGTTCAAACCCCGGAGAAAGCTGGGATTTTTTCATGTGGACTTCTAGTAATTTTCCCTGGTCTTTGGGTAGTAAGAACAGACACCAGTGTGTATTGTTGCGCATGTAAAAAAAAACATTTTGACAGTTGGAAATCGAAAAAGAGTAGCCTAATGGTGCTGCCTAGGCAAAAATTTGGAGTTTAAAATCTACCCAAAAGTATTTCAGGATCCTCGCCGATGAAATGGAGTTTGTGCACTGCGCTAAGATTCTTCAGACTTAGGCTTGAGTTAGAAGTAGAACGGAGCACTTATGGGTTACACCCGTGTGCCATGATGATGATCCGCTGAATAAATCAATAAACCAATACTTCATCCTGTTATTGCATGAGCTTCAGAGCGATGTTAGAAGACTGATCAAAGAAAAATCACTTAGGAGGAATTTTGAAGGTTGAGATTAAAACAGGTTCATGTTAGTGCACTATACTCAGAATGGCTATATAATAAAGATGTGTGACATGAGGGATAAAGGAGAAAATGTTTGTAGACAGGTTTTAAACTTAGTGTCTGAAAAGGAGCACATTAAATGCATGTTCCCTGTGTGGGTTCCGAGGCCTTGTTATAAGGAAAACAAGAATAGACCCACTGCCTACCCAAAAGCATGTCGTAAAAGTAGACCAATTGGGAGCTTCCTTCAAAGTCAGAGTGCATCTGCCTGAGAGGCAAGGAACCAGCAGTCTGCATACAAATGAGTCAGATCTGTAAAACGGATGCACACGCAACATCCGGGTTCTGGAACAGAGCTGCAGTCCAAAAGTGGATGAACAACCGGAACTTTCCGCCAGAGTTTACAGCTGGTGAACGCAAAGAAGAAGAAGAAATACATGTGATCGGAACAACAGTCCTGAAATCCCATGCTCTATTTGTGGATGACTTTTCTGTCAGTGAGCAGGTCTTGCTAGTCATACTCGTCGACATCGCCATGAGTTCAGGATTCCCAAGCCCACCTACAGCACAATATAAGACTATCGTTTAAAAAGACGGAAAGGTGCCAACATAACAGACCTAGATGAAGATTAAAGTTTTTTTGTTTTTTGTTTAACAGAAATGTGGACACCACATTCTCACGAAGTTCCACAACTTCAAGCCTTCAGCTGTTTGTACCTGGGATTAACTCTTTCAATACCAGGGGGTTTAGCATCAAATGCCCAAGGGGTAGTAAAGAGAGATGTAAAACTGGCGCATCTTGAGCTCACTGTGCTTCTAGGTAGGAACCTATGAACGTATGATTTGTTCATTGGGACTGAAAGAGTTTATAAAGAAAAGGGACCTTTCCTGCTCCATAAAGCTTAATGGGAATAAGATGCTGGTCCCATACTTCTATAGTAGGATTTTAAAAATTAACATGTATTGATTGGCACTCATAGAAATAAGAGGAGATAGAAGGACACAGGTTCAAAAAATAGTGACAGGTTTAGGTTCTGGTATGGTAACTATAGCTTTTAACTTTTATCCCTCTGTCTCTATTTGCTTGAGTGCCAATCAACATATGTTAATTTGTTTATCAGACCTTTTCTGTGGCCTCAAGGGCTTAGCTAACTATTTCTATATGTTCCTTCTTCTTCATGTTCACCGGCTGTAAACTCCAGTGGAAAGTTTACCATTACCCCCATATATGGGATTACAGTTAATCATGTGCCTCATACAAAACAATACATATAGAGAAGATACTTGTAAAATTACCTCCATATTTTTCCAAGAGCCTTTTTCTGATAGCCAAATCCAGATCCTGTCTCACCATGCATGTGTCTTTCCGGGGCAATCCACCAGTTGAATACGACTGCTGTACAACTTTCCGCTCTATTTCAAACTGCCATGGGAATAAATTTACTCTTATTCTCTATTTCAAACTGCCATGGGAATAAATTTACTCTTATTCTCTATTTCAAACTGCCATGGGAATAAATTTACTCAAAATAAGAGTAACCTAACTAGTAATTTTTGTTTTGTAATAGACATCAGAAGATGCTTTATTACCCATAAAAACAACAACATTTGAGAAGTGTGGTAGAAGTAAGTGAAAGTTTGGGTTGGACCATTAAAAAAAAAGTTTTTAAAAAAAGAACAAAATGATAATTATAATATAGTTAGTTAGTTGGGTTATCATCATTGCACTCTGTACATGTTCATATATGCTCAGATTCCCCCCCCCCCCCCCCCCCAGACTGAACCCCAGTGTCTGGTGGCTAATAATACCAGTTCTTTGTTGATTAACATGTCCTCCGATGTGCCTGGTGTGAGTCTCATTTTTTATGTGCCAATATGAACTCCAAAGTCTATTCTGGCAAGTCTTGTGGATTCACTGTCCCCAAAGTCCTCCACATTAGCCACATTACATATTATAATAGAGCAAAGCATTGAACTGAACTCACCACTTTACATTGGATTTATAGACTATGAAAAAGCATTTGACAGCATTGATAGGGAATCTCTCTGGAAACTGATGGGGCACTATGGAATCCCACAGAAAATTATCAACTTAGTAAAGGCAACATATAAAGACATGAAATGTCGAGTTCTTCATGAGGGAAAGCTAACAGATGCATTTGAAATAAAAACAGGTGTGCGACAGGGATGTCTTTTGTCGCCTCTCCCTACTGGCTATAGACTGGATTAGGAAAACAGTAACTGCTAACACCAAGAATGGAATTCAGTGTACCCCTAAAAAACAGCTTGATGATCTGGACTTCGCTGATAATATTTCTCTTCTGTCCCATTCACGGAATCAGATGCAAGATAAATTTAATATACTTGATGCGAGATCACAGCAGCTTGGTCTGAAAATCCATAAAGGAAAGACAAAGATAATGAAAATAAATCAGGCAAATAGTAATGTGGTTTCTCTTAATGGCACCCCACTCCAAGACGTGGAGTCATACACCTATTTGGGCAGTAATGTAGATAAAGATAGAGGAACTGATAGAGATATTAAAATAAGAATACAAAAGGCAAGAGGGGCTTTCATAGCCCTAGGGAATTTGTGGAGGTCAAAAGAAATTAAAAGAAATACTAAACTAAAAATTTTTAATTCTAATGTCAAATCAGTACTTTTGTATGGGGCGGAAACATGGAGAACAACTAAGGCAATTACTAATAAATTACAGACATTCATTAACTGGTGCCTGCGCAGAATAGAGGGAATTAAATAGTATGATAGAATAACTAATGTAGAGCTTTGGGAGAGAACTAAACAGGCTCCAGTGGACCAAGAGGTGAGGAAAAGACGCTGGCGTTGGATAGGACACACGCTGAGAAAACAGGAGAACAGCATAACTAGAATGTCTTTGCATTGGAACCCACAGGGGCATAGGAATAAAGGAAGGCCAAAAAACACATGGAGAAGAGAGCTGGAGAGTGAAGTTAGAAAGATGGAGAGGACACGGGGAGAGCTCCATGCAATGGCGAAGGATAGAAAGACTTGGCGAGAGTTGGTTGAGGGCCTATGCTTCATTGGGGGATAGAAAAGCAGAAGAAGAAAGTCCTCCACCCTTCCCATTTCTCAGAGGGCATTATTAATATTAGCAGGATCCATAGGTTGACCATTGGTAGGGATGGCGGATTCAGCCTACCTATCAGCTCTTTCATTCCCATTGACGCTCGCATATCCCAGAATGAAAATAAAGGTGACTACATGCACGGTGAACTTCTGTAATGACTCAAGCCACTGCCTTGGCACCCAACCTGCCTGAATTCTCTGGATCATACTCACTGAATCACTGAGTACACATGTGTGAGTGTATTGTTGGGTTTAAAGCCACACAGACATCACCTCCATCGTCATGCTGCTGGTTGTCATGGAAAAGGCGCCGTTGCCTTCTTTGATTGTTCTGCCCACTGAGCGTGCTGTAAACACCCATGTGCTTCTTTGTTCATGTAGAATGGATCCATCTGTGTAGATAAGTATATTTGCCTCGTCTGAATTTTCACAGAAGACAGCGTTGACCTCTGAATTGGCAGTAACAGGATTCTGCTCTCTGCATCGCCTGTCAAGTGTGGCAATACAGGAAAATGTGCAAATAAATGCATGAGGCACGGGTATCCACTCTGCACCAGGGATGATGTCGGTTAGGCTGCATATTTGCTTGATAACATCTTCTTCCAGACCTAGCCATGATTTTCCCTTCTTTAGCCTGTCATTCTTTTCAATGTATGAATTGTGTAACACTGAAACCAAGTTCAGTCTCCTAACAATGAATGAGTGCAATGTAGCTGCTCCAAAATATATTTTAGGCTCGTCTGCACTTGCATCATCCAACTAAATGTTAGATGTTTGACAACTGTAGTTTACTAACTGTATAATTTTATTACAGAATAGATCACAAGAAGAGACAGGGTTACAAATACCAGCATTAGAGAAAAAGTTGGAATAAGACCATGTCTGGATTATACTGACTGACAAAGAATGAAATGCTTCGGCCATCTAGTGAGAATGCAGCCAGCCCAAACCGCATAAGAGACTTTTTAAAGCAGAACATCTGGATGAAGGCAAGAGGAAGACCAAGAAAGAGATGGATAAATGATGTGGCTGAACCCTGCAAAAAGATTAACAAATTCATCACTCAAGCCACCCGAGAAGCGCAAGACAAATACAGAAAACACGACACTGGGCTACAGCCTGGTATCAGTGAGAAGACAAAAGTAGAAGATAGATCTTTAGTTAGTTAGCAAGTCATTCTCCAGATGATAGTGTTGTAATGTTCTATAGGGAAGGATGGAAATCACAGCTTTTAGTGATGGGGCACACTAGCAAGACCTGCTCACATTGAGAAAGATCTTCCTCGCTTAGAGCATGGAATTTAAGGACCACCGTTGCCATCACATGTATTTGCTGTGCTTCTTCTCAGGCGCTCAGCTCTCAATCATGTCGCTCCGAGAAGCCACAAAACTGACACTTCCGGTTGGGTCTAATAACCCGTAAAAGTCCCGTTACTGACTTGCTAAAGTGTCATGTTGCCGAGAATCATAGTTACCAGTGCTGATATTGTATGTTCCTGTGCAAATGTTTAGGATGGCTGGAACTCATTATATTTTCTAAAAAATAGCATTTTAATGGGGTTTCCTTGCGAACAAACAGCTTTTTAAACAGATATTATGAAGTCATAATTTCCCATTATTGTTAGCATTTTTCTTGTGACCTGAGTAAAATGGTTGTTTTATTAGTAAATTTACTAAATTCACGAAATACAGGTCACTGGCTTTGGTTTTTTCCCTAGGTCATTAGGGCAAGAGTGTTAACCTATCTGCAATCATTTTCTCCCTTATGTCTATTTCCTTCTTGATTTTCCTCATCCATGGAACATAGTCCATGGAAACCTGTTTCCAAGAATCTACTTTAACACCAATTATCATTTATAGGTCGTTTATACACATCTTTATCTTGAAAAAGAGGTTGAACTTGACACACATGCACACAAAGAAAGTATCACAAAACATAAGAGCCTTACAGCCTGTTCTGCCTCTTGTATCTGTTGCTGCCGCTTTAGCAAGTTGGTTTTATTCACACGATGCCTTGTCTGCTGTTGAAATTTTCGAAGCCGATTTTCTTTTTCATTCTGCATTTGACGGATTTTTTCCTCTTCAATCCTGGCTGCTTTCTAACTCAAAGAAAGCATGAAACAATTAACATTCATCATTATCAATATACAGTATTGTTTGAATGGTACTTTTCTAAAGCAAGTTACAGAATTTATATATCTAGGAAGTCTATTCACAGAGGACGGGAGAATAGATCGGGAAACAAAAACAAGATGCCAAATGAGCCAGTGCATTTATATATACCAACTGATACCACTGTTAAGACATCCAAACATAAGTATCAGCGCCAAGAAACAGATTATAAACAGCATTTTCATACCAACACTTCGCTACCAGTGCCAGACTTGGACATAATCAAAGACTAAACTACGTAAAATTAACACCTGTGAAATTAGACGCCTGAAAAAGGCAGCCAACCTAACCATCCGAGACAAAGTTAGAAATGGTATTATCAGACAGACTGTAGCAACAACATCATGCTACAGTTCACTTGCAGCCCGATTTTCAAAGTATTTTAAGATCGACCTAAGCATGTGATGGTAAATTCACTTTCAAGTAGCTGTCGATTCAGCCCATTTTTCCATTTTGCTGAAGGCCTTTTTCATATCCACCAGACTGCAATAATGTGTTACTGTTTTTTTTTTCCTGAAATGCATCTTGTGCATTAAATATAATAGTAATACTATTACTATATTATAGTACTAAAAGAAATTTGATCTGTTCATCTACAACGTCGAAAACCTGGCTATTCCTCCATTATAGTGTCAAATGTGTCTCTAGAAACCAACTAATCTTTAACTAATCTTTCCAATATAAATATTAATCTGCACAGGTAAATAGCCGTTATGTTATTTAACAAGTTTAGTTTAAGTTTGGAGGCAAGCCCAAACATGAAATTATTTAAATTTAAGCAACCAGGCCAGGAATAACATAACAAAGTATGTAAACATACAAGAGCATCTGGCTGATAGTCATCATCGGCTGGTTCTACCCAAGCGCCAACGGGAACAACCTCAACATTTCTATTTCCCATGATATCACTGGAAATAATAGGACGCATGATTGCTCTCCCGCGATGTTGAGTATTGGAACTATAACACCTTCGTTGCTTAGACGCCATCTTGACGCTTGATCCAGTGTAAAACAATCTCCAGAAAACAAAGATCTCCCATAGACAAGAGCGAGAACCTATTGTGCAAACATTCATCAAGTGTCTTGTCGACTGCGATTTCGAATGTGCTCCTCCTTTATTAAATGTATGGAAAAGGGGTGTGGGACTGCCAAAAGTTGAACGTATTTAAAGTAGTAGCTACAAAAATTATACCTTGCATTGCTTAAGTCGATGTTTTAAATTGCATTTATTAAGTGAATTTAAGAGAATTTTGTTGAACCAAACATACTTTTCACAAAGCAAAGAGTTCTATTTAACAGAAGCTCTTCTGTGACTGAAACCTGGCTGTCGATTTATGAAATCGTGTAAAGTCTACATCATTTACACTGTAAACGATAGGTATTATATTAACGCTTTTATTAGCTATTAATTAATACTCAGATAACGGCAAAAAAGGAAGATTTTAAATCTATATTTGGGCACTCTTCCGAATATTATTTACTGTCCAAAACTTGTTTTATTTATTCCCATGAACTTGAACAACAGGTTCTTTCTTTACACAACTTTGCACGGCGTACAATCTTTCTCTAGCCACTTCTCCAGCACTATTACTAATAGTAATAGTATTAGTATAGTATTGTATTTCATAGTGACTCATAGTCAGTGCTTCAGTGTCCTGTATACTGTATCCACGTACGTTCGCGGAGGTCTGCCTGTACCCTTCTTCTCCATTCCCTTAAAGACTACCATGGCGTTTAACATTGCCAGAATACCTCAGCTTTCGAGATAGGAATCTTAATTCTTTATGGCTTATAAAGTTTAGTCTTGAAGCTGTAAACTGTGGCAGAAGTTCTGATTGTTCGAAATTAGTCTTGTTCAAGTACTTAAATTTTGCATGCTAGACAGTTTTACAGACCTAGCTTATTTGTATGCAGACTGTTGTTCCTTGCCTTTCAGGCAAGTGTGCTCTGACTTCAAAATAAATTCCCTAATTGTAGTCTTTTGCGACATTCTTGATAGGGAGGCAGTGAATCTATTCCTCCTCCTCCCCCCCCCCCCCCTCCCCCAAATGAGACACCGCAAGACACAGGGGAAAGTGACAGCAAGAGTCCATGACTCATATCCATAAGTTACCATTGGAAAGATGCATGATCTCAGAATGTTCACTTTAACTTGCTTGCAGATGCTATGCCTAAGTTCTTCATGCTGTTATTAATACATATGCCTGTTTATTTCTGCAGTAATTCGCGTTTTAAGTTATTTCCGAATTTTAAATGTTTTTCTGATCTAGTTTAAAGATTTTTTAATGAAGAAAAAACAGTCAGCTTGTCACACCTGACAAATTGAAATCCATTGCTACTTTAGACTTCATTCAAGTCTTCATTTTAGTTATAAGTCGAGATGTAGTTTATGTGTCTAAATAAATTAACTGTCCATAGCCCACTGATAATTAAGTGTACTCATTTGAAGTTGGTTAAAATGTCCACTATTGTGACTTTTTTTGTGCTTTACCGAGCTCTGTTTCTAGATAATGTAGTTAAGTTGGCATCAAATTAGGATGGTGATAGTGTGCATGTTCCTTCATTTAGCTTTACTTTTTATATATGTAACATATTGTTTTTATCATATCTTACCAGCATTGGATCATTCTTTATTTTCTTCTTTTCTGAAGAATAGGTGTGTTTAATATAAACACCAAAAAGGAACACAGACTGTTGGACGACAGTGCTATTTTATAATTCATTCCTGATATATGAGGGAGTGATTCTGTCATCTTAACCACAAAATGGCTTTGTCTATAACAGTAGAGTTTAGGTAAGTGTGAATTATGAATCTTGTAACTGCTTCTGTTCTAGAACATAACAACAACTGTCAAGAGGATCACCGGTGACAACAACAAAATAATAAATGTGTGGTTGCATATCTTTACAGTTAAGGCTTAAGTGTAGAGGATCAGCTTAATTGCACTTGGTTATCCCATATGGCTTGGTCTCTGCAGAATGGCCAGCCACCTGCCAAGAGTATTGCACAAAGGATATACTCTGTAGCTCAAGAGATGATTCCCAGGGATCTCCATAAAGACTGCACTCATGAACAGGAGGATGTACCCGTAAAATGAACCCATGACCTTCACAGGCCAGACTTATTGTTTGGCCACTTCAGCGTGAGACCCCCATGATTTGATTTATTTAATATACTTTGACTAAACATAGGAAAGGCAGTCACATTGCATGTATGAATTTGTGGGCGCCATTTTGGCGGAAAGGGGGGGGGGGGGGATCGATTAACTGTCTCCTGACACATGTTGTAAACTGCCACAGATCAGGAATTTGCTGAAATTGGATGTGTCTGGCCAAAAGGTTAAGATATCACAACCTAACTATAAATCACAACAAAACTGTGTGCCATCTTCACAAGCTGTGGAGCCAACCTCCAGTTGGGCTGCAGTGATTCCATGCAGAAACTGATGTCCTTGGGAATATTATATGGTTAGACTCAGTTTAACTCTTTTAGTACCTGAGGACATTTAAATTAGTTATAAATCAATGCACCCAGTGACCCAGATTTACTTTGCTGTGCGTTATGTTTTCAGTAGAGACAGTTGACTAAGAAGAGAGCTCATTTCTCCCACTTTATATGACCATGACCAAGTGCTGGAATTTGTCCCTCAAGCGAGTGTTTTTTGTGAACCTACCAGTGCTCAAGTGCTGCAGTAGGGCATTGTTTTGCTTGATGATCATATGTTCAAACCCCCCTTTTTTCTGATTGTGGCCTGGGCTTACAGGTGTCCAAGTCTTAAATGGGTGTCAGAAAATTTCTGGACAAGTGTGACTATTGAGAGCAAGTTGCTCGAATGAGATAGAAATGCAAATCACATTCCAGTGTGCATCAGAAAGCAGTCAGTGACTTTCGGCAGCAAGCAGTTTGAAGCAATTAAGTGCCTGTATTATTGTGTATTGTTAGTTTGAAGAATTGCCTTTCAAATGTTTTCATTTCTGAAACCACAACCCTGTTGTGTGATTAACATTGCAGTCAAAAGTGTAGCCATATTTCTGATTCACCCTGTATATTCAGGAAGCTTCATGATGTGGTGGTACCAAGACCCTCTCTTTGGTCTAACATAGATAAATACAGTTTGAATTTCAGTTGTAAATATTTATTTATTTATTGCAGTGGTGGGGCAGAGCTCTTATGTGGGAATGTAAAGAAACACAGTTTGAACCTGCCAAAGCAAGAACATAAATGTAAGATTATATTTCATTGTTGTCTGTGCCCTCTCTCTCCTCTTGTAACTATTGTCCTCCTTATAACAATAATCAGTAGATGTCAGTATGAATATCTCAACTCATTGAGAATGGACATCCTGCAAGTCCTGTCTACGTGGTAATATAAGTCGTTAAAGTCTGTCCCAGTAATCGTGCCCAACTTTAAACATCTGTAATTCAGTAACCGCTCAGTGTAAATCTGGCATGCAAACTATTAATAATATTGTCCTTGTGAGAATTTTTTCTTTTTCAAATTTAATATAAACAAAACATTTAGTTTTTATTTTGCCTAATTTGTGGTATATGAAAAAACAGAAACTGATTCAAAGCAAACAATCATCATGCTTACAGTACATTAAGTAAGGGAAACTTTCCAAAAAATCAAATTGCATGTGTTTCATATGTGATCCAGTGATCATCCCCAGCAGTTGCCTACTCTGAGTTGTTAGACAAACACAATTGTTCATTGTATGCCGTCCAGGCTATCAAAATAATTTCCACATGTGAACTATTTTCCAAATAATCTTCAAGTGTGTGTCAGTTTGTGTATATTCTATTTTTGTACGAGTACACACATTTTTTAACAAATGAAGATTTCAGTTGAGTTGAGTCAAGAATTGACATCACAGCACTTGGGGCATTCCCCTGCATGCTTTGTCCTCAACTTCAGCAGCCAGTGCAGAGTTCCAATACTGATGATACCGGTCACAGTCTGGTTAAAAATCCGTCTTGCCTTTCCTCTGAGTGTAGTGAGCCGGCCAGACCCTCTGGTTACACCCCGGTACTGAGATCAGAGAAATGTGCTCCTTTGAGAAAAAAGCAGCGCTTGTGCAACTATGAATATAAAATCTGAAGGCCACATGCAAAAAGTTTGTGTTGATCTGTTGAAGTTTAAAGGCACAATTTTTGAAAACGCACTACAACTTCATTTTTAACCATATCTCCTATTCTTTGCTCTCTCCTAACTCCTTCCATGTGTCCAGTCCTTTGATATTCTAACTCTTTCAGTCACAGACATAAGTTGAATTGAGTCAAGAATTGACATCATCGCACTCGGCATTCCCATGCCAGCACAGAGTTCATATACCAATGGTTCAGTTACAGACAGTTATTGCTTTAACTAGTTCTATCCTAAGTATTAGTTTCTTCAGCTTTTCCATTTATTTTCACATAAAGTTCATACACACAATGAGAGAGTTGTAATAATACACTCGTCCTTACTTGCAGGCTGCGGGCTACACTTGGCTTGTCTAGTCGTTACGGTTGTCCTAATTATAACTTCTTTGGAGGTCGAAGGAGTATTTGGAATCTGCCTTGTTGGCCTGCCATCCAGATTGAGGTTTCTAAATCTCTGGATGGCATGGTAAATCTTTAGATAGCAGTCGGGGGCGGGGAACAAACTGATATATCTTTGTTATAAGAATTAGATTGGGATTTGTTTAATAACTAGACAAGGCAAAAGGAGTTGAGAAATGAGTAAGTAAAAAACCACCAAATGTATGGTAGATTCCTTTGTACTAAACGAGTTATGAAGCTGGTAAAGTAAATGACCCTTTTCCACACCTTCATGCATTTTGGGTAATTAGGGCTAGACCTATATTTTATAGACCAAACAGCATCACACCAGCCACCTTTACTTCCCAGGAATGAAGTTGGTGTTGCTTATATTATTATTAATCATCCAGCTGTTTAAGATTTTCCTATACATCTTTCTCTGTCACTAATATATTCCCATATAAGACTAATGTCTGTGGCTAGGTGATATCAACGCCTGTGTGTCACCGGGGCCCTCACGGGAAGCAAAGAATAGTGACACTGTCGTAAGAGGCGACTAAGGGTAGGGTTGGGCTTGAGGTTGGCTACCTCATCCTGCAAAAACCATAGCCATAAAAACCAACCAACCATGGATAAGTCAAAAAGAGAAGCAAAAAGAATCCAGCCAACCAAGATGAGGGGAGGCTCTTCAAATAGAAGAAGCATGACACGGTGTGGAGAAAGCCGTAAGGAGTCCAGATCGTTGACGTACCTTCTCTCAGCTAGGAAAACCTCCAGAATTGGCACCTGGAATGTTAGAACTCTCTATGATATAGGGAGAACAATGGAAGTAGCAAAGGAAATGAAACATTATAGAATTAGTATTTTAGGGTTATGTGAAACTAGATGGACTGCGACAGGGAAAAGTATTCTTAATTCAGGAGAAACTATTTTGTTCTCAGGACACACAGAGGAAAATTCGCTGCACGGTGAAGGAGTGGCCTTGATGCTTTCAAAAGAAGCAGACAGGGCACTAATAGAATGGGAAGCTATGAGTCCCAGAATAATAAGAGCATCTTTTAAAACAGTAAAACAGAAGGTGAACATGTCAGTAATACTGTGTTATGCACCAACAAATGATAAAGATGCATCTGTTAAGGAAGAATTTTACATGCAGCTTCAAAATATTATAAATAATGAAAGAAAGGGCAACTGAAAAATTTTGATGGGTGACTTGAATGCTAAGATAGGATCAGACAACACAGGTTATGAGGAAATTATGGGGAGACATGGTCTAGGAAAAGATTACAAAATTTAGCTTTGGGACGACTAAAGAGAAGTAGTTTTATCCACCAGGCCAAACGGCTCGGCAGACAAACCACTGATTTACCTGCAACTGATAGATCCTTAAATGCTGTCCCAGAACGGACCCCTGGAGAGAGGAGTATAAGTTTCCAATACACATCAAGACTGAAGTGAAAGGGGTATTTGACAAGGAAGAACAAAACAGTGTGCAGCGCAAAACAGCCACCCTCAGTCTACTTGATGATGAATACCCGCAGAACCTTTGGGTCCGTGTTTACACACATGGGTCAGCAGAAAGCGCAGTCAGAAACGGAGGTGCGGGAGTGTACATTGAGTATCCTAATAATACCAGGGATACAGCCAAATTACCAACTGGAAAGCACTGTCACAACTATGATGCAGAAGTTCAAGCCATCAAGATAGCGGTAGAGAAACTACTAAATACAGGGTATTTTTCACAACCAGTGGTATTCCTGACAGATGCAAAAGCAGTACTTCAGTCACTCCAGTCTGAAAAAATTACCAAGCATACGGACACTATTATCCGAACTAGGCAACTGCTGTAAACTAGTAATGCAGTGGATACCTTCCCACTGTGGAGTTCCCGGAAACGAAAGAGCTGATAAACTAACTAAGGAAGGTGCAACTGAAGAACAACCTGACATACCAGTCTCTTATCAACAGAAGAAGAGAATGATCAAATCAATCAGAATGCCACCGAAACTGGCACAAGATGATTACCATATTATGGACAGACCAGAGCAAGTCATTATCCTTCGCCTTAGAACAGGGCACAATCGACTTCGCTGCCACATGTTCAACAAATTTAAGATTGGCCAATCAGCCATGTGTACTTGTGGACTGGCACCTGAAACAACAGATCACATCCTTCAAGACTGTCCCAGATTCAACGCTTTCAGGCAAAACCTTTGGCCAAAAGAGACACTTGTGGAAGTCAAACTTTACGGGCCGCTTAGTGAATTACAAAAGACAGTAAAATTCATACTAGAGACATCTTTGCAGATATAGATAATTTATTTCATGCGAACGAAAGAAGAAGAAGAAATGGTCTAGGAGTAATGAATGAAAATGGAGAATTCTTCACAAATTTTTGTGCAGGTAACCAGTATGTTATTGGTGGAAGTATTTTTCCCCATAAAAGAATACACAAGGCAACATGGGAATCACCAGACCATAAGACAACTAATCAAATTGACCACATATGTATTAACAAAAAGTTAAGATCATCCCTTTACGATGTTAGGGCTTTCAGAGGTGCCGATGTATTTACTGACCATTTCCTGGTGAAAGTAAAATCAAGCTGAAACTAAAAAGATATATAACATCTTATAATCATAGAAACCAATATAATGTAGGCTTTCTCAGAGATAAAGAAATTAAGGAACAGTTCTCAGTTATGGTCTCTAAAAAGTACCAGGTGTTGCAGCAGTTAGCTGAAGATGTCAACACAGAAGTCTGCTGGGATCAGATCAAAGGAATCTGGAATGAAGCTTGCAAAGAAGTTCTTGGCAAGAAAGACAGGAAACATAAAGCATGGATAACACAAGAAACCATTAAACTGATTGAAGATAGGAAAAGTAAAAAGGCAGAATTAAACAATAGCAAAGCTAGAGCTGCTAAAGCTAGAGCTCAGGAGAATTACACAGAAGCCAACAAGGAAGTTAGAAGGCATATAAGGGCAGATAAAGTGAAATATCTAAATGATCTAGCACAAGAAGCGGAGACAGCAGCAGCAAAAGGAAACCTCAGAGAACTTTGCAGTAACACAAGAAAATTAGTAGGTAAATATAGTCAGCCAACTGGATCAATCAAAAATAGTCAAGGAAAGGTACTTACTAACACTAAAGATCAAATGGACAGATGGGTTGAATATTTTGAAATGCTTCTAAATAGACCAGGCCCAGAGGTTCCTCCAGATATCCAGCCTTTAGAAATGGAACTGGATATCAACTGTGAGATACCATCCAAAGAGGAAATTAGAAAAGCTATAAATCTTCTCAAGGAAGGAAAGGCGTCAGGCCCAGATGGTATCCCAGCTGAAGCCATCAGGACCAACATAAACACATCAACAGAATTGCTACATAGATTATTCAGTAAAGTCTGGGAGACCGAAGAAATACCAGCAGACTGGAGAGAAGGATATCTTGTGAAACTGCCCAAAAAAGGTGATCTACAGGAGTGTGAAAACTATAGAGGAATTATGTTGCTGTCAGTTCCTGGAAAAATATTAAGTCGAATTATTTTGGAAAGATTAAAAGATGCTATTGATAAAATGCTAAGAGATGAGCAGGCAGGTTTTCGGTCAAACAGATCCTGTACTGATCAGATAGCCACATTACGTATGATAATAGAGCAAAGCATTGAACTGAACTCACAGACTATGAAAAAGCACTTGACAGCATTGATAGGGAATCTCTCTGGAAATTGATGGGGCACTATGGAATCCCACAGAAAATTATCAACTTAGTAAAGGCAACATATAAAGACATGAAATGTCGAGTTCTTCATGAGGGAAAGCTAACAGATGCATTTGAAATAAAAACAGGTGTGCGACAGGGATGTCTTTTGTCGCCTCTCTTATTTTTACTGGCCATAGACTAGACTATGAAAACAGTAACTGCTAACACCAAGAATGGAATTCAGTGGACCCCTACAAAACAGCTTGATGATCTGGACTTCGCTGATGATATTGCTCTTCTGTCCCATTCACGGAATCAGATACAAGATAAATTAAATATACTTAATGCGAGATCACAGCAGCTTGGTCTGAAAATCCATAAAGGAAAGACAAAGATAATGAGAATAAATCAGGCAAATAGTAATGTGGTTTCTCTTAATGGCACCCCACTCCAAGACGTGGAGTCGTACACCTATTTAGGCAGTAATGTAGATAAAGATGGAGGAACTGATAGAGATATTAAAATAAGAATACAAAAGGCAAGAGGGGCTTTCATAGCACTAGGGAATTTGTGGAGGTCAAAAGAAATTAAAAAAAATACTAAACTAAAAATTTTTAATTCTAATGTCAAATCAGTACTATTGTATGGGGCGGAAACATGGAGAACAACCAAGGCAATTACTAATAAATTACAGACATTCATTAACTGGTGCCTGCGCAGAATAGAGGGAATAAAATGGTATGATAGAATAACTAATGTAGAACTTTGGGAGAGAACTAAACAGGCTCCAGTGGATCAGGAGGTGAGGAAAAGACGCTGGCGTTGGGTAGGGCACACGCTGAGAAAACAGGAGAACGGCATGACTAGAATGTCTTTGCATTGGAACCCACAGGGGCATAGGAATAAAGGAAGGCCAAAAAACACATGGAGAAGAGAGCTGGAGAATGAGGTTAGAAAGATTGGGAGGACATGGGGAGAGCTCCATGCAATGGCGAAGGATAGAACGACTTGGCGTGAGTTGGTTGAGGGCCTATGCTCCATTAGGTGATAGAAAGGCAGAAGAAGAAGAAGGTGATATCAATCACAGGCATGAGAGAAAAGTTAAGGCCATTCTGATGTGTATGAGGAGTTACTTCATACCTCACCATGTGCACCAGCCGACTCTTGGATGGTTTTATGGATACTCAAGCAAGACTTCTACCACATGTCTACGTCGTGCACCATGGATAAGGGCTTACCTTTATGACCTGAACCAAATTGGCAGGGGATCTCAGAGTTTGTGGCCTCTCTAGATGTAGTGTCCAGACTGGCTCACATCAGCCCACCCCCAATGAATGGGTGAAAACGTCTATCAAAGCTCTTTTGGAACGTGGGTAGAGTCCACTAGCTGAACATACCACTAACTGACAACCCTCGGTTAAAACGTTGATCGAATGGGAAGAACTTCTATACTGCTGAGATTGAGCCCTATAACAAGAGATTTACTTGCCACCTAGACGAGCAACATCTCTGGCAGGCAGAACTCGTGGAACAGTCCTGTCTCCATACATCTTTAGCTGTTCCTCGACGTCCTCACTGCCTTAAGGTACACAATGAAAACCTGACACTGTCAGTGTTCCGATTCTGACTCCTTTTAAGAAAAAAATTAAAAGGTCGACCACTTTCAGACTGCTGCTATCTAGCCGAGGCTGCTAACAGTCTCTGTCTATATTTGTGGTCTGGGTTATTTGCGTCCCTTTCGTGACTAAATTCTAGAATTTGCACCGTTTCTGGGCTAGATGCTTCCTTCCGATTCAGACCGCTCGTCCTCCACCCTGTTGTTAGCTGTGCATGTCTTTTCTCTTCTTACTTGGTGTTTCCTCTTGGTTTTGTCTCCCTCTGATTTGGCCAGGCGTATTTCGTAGACTGTCAGTGTGCTGGTTTGGCATTAATGTCCGACTGAAAATGTCCTACTGATTGGCAGAAAGGTTCACATGTCCGTCACCACTGGCCCCATTCGCCAGGGGCAGCCATGCCAGAAGTCTTGCACAACACATTTATGTCACATGGACAAATGAAAAGAAGAAGAAAACTAATGTATCATTCTGCCCTATACATGTCCTCTTATTTTTATGAATAATCTATTTAGTAACACCTGCACGTCATTATCTCAGTTTTCCCCCTATAAGTTCCGGGGTCCTACTTTAGGGAAAACAAGAATAACCCACTACCTACCCAAAAGCATGTCATAGGAGTTGACTAATTGCGAGATTCCTTCGAAGTCAGAGTGCGTCTGCCTGAGAGGCAAGGAACTAACAGTGTGCATTCAGATGAGTCAGATCCGTAAAAATATGTGCACGCAACTCTCACGTTGTGGTAAAGGATTACAGTCTAGAAAAGGGCGAACAACCAGAACTTTCCACCGCAGTTTACAGCTGGTGAACGAAGACACAGCAGTCTAAATGTGCCAAAGCTAATCAAGTAATGGGCAACTATCTCCTCCGTTGACACACAAGCAGATACCCTGGAGTACTAAGTGAATCTTATCAGAACTATTTTTTATGCTATTAATGCCAAACATGGACACTTACATCCTCCAATGAACGTAAAATTGTGACAACAGAGATGAAATGCCTTAGAAGAGCTGCAGGAGTTTCAAGGAAAGAAAGAATACAAAATCAGGCGAATGCTAGGAATAAAGCCAGTCTTACAGGTCATCAAAGAACAAAAATGAAGTGGTTTGGATCCCTAACAAGAATGCTGTGGTACTATCTGCCACAGCGAGCCACACTAAAACATTCCAACGGGTATAGAGCGAGTGGAAGCTCTTGACAGAGCTCATCAACAAACGTTACATCTCCCCCTGACACTTCAAAGAGGTACAAGGTGGAAGAGAAGAAGAGGAGAAGAAGAAGAAGATTATCTCAGTTTTGTTTTTAATTTTCTAAAAGCGAGAGAGAAATCAGAAGTCATAACACTGTTTATTTAAACTAGGGAAGATTCGTGATCTGCTTGTATGGATTCGGGATAATATGATCCAAGAACGCCCAGAACTCTTTATGCAGGGTGATACTGTGTAAGTATTTTTTAATTGTACGAATTACCGTTTGTATGCCTATCAACTTTGTTCAACTTGTCACTTATAAATGAGATATACTATTCAATAGATGTATTTGCTTGATGGTGTATGAACTTTGTGAGTGGGCTAAGATGAAAGCAGTCTGATATTTCACGGCTGATAAGGTTGCTTTGGTCCACAGTAATCAGTCCATTATGGTTTAGTTTCTGTGTTTTAACAAGGCAAGTTGTCTCAATCTGTTGATGCTCTTTTGTTTTGGGGGAGTGGCTGGATAAGATGATGTACCTTTTTCTGCAGGGGACAGAAATAAATGTGTTAACCTGAACAGTTTGTGGCAACTGCACTGTACTGTTTCTCCTTCCACGGCCTTTTATCTTTATTTGGAACCTGGCGACAAATAACTTTTTCTTCTTGTGTGTGCCCTGTCACTGTGGTTGGCACATTATGTTGTAGTTTACAGCGACGTCTGCACCTGTCAACCCAACACATCCAATTTCAGCAAATCCCTAATCACTGACCTTCTCACGACATGCTAGTTAGGAGCATTGGCTTTGTAAACTTGCTTTGTAATTCTGGGGGTGCCAGGTTCAATTCCAGCTGCCGTTAATATGGCAGCAGATATTTGTGTGTTTTGACAGTGGTGTTGAAAGTAAACCGTTCAGAAAACAATGACAAATAACTGAACGTAACGTAGCTTAGTGAAATCACAGCCAAATAATACTGCAAAATCCTGGAAAGAATGTGCAACTAACTTTTGTGTTTGTTTGTCAGGGGAGGAGGGGGGCTGTCAGTCTATTTTATTCCCCCCTCTCCCAAATGGGAAACTCAAACCCAGCTTTTTGTCATCTTATTTATAATTGATTTAGATTTTGCAGTTTTTCATAAGATGGGTTAGCCATTCTCACGTCAGCTCTCATTATTCACCTCTATCTGCATCCCTGGTATGTTAGTGTGCCTCCTATGGAGGCAGACGGTGAAAGACAGACTGCTGCACTTTGCAATAGGCCCAAGCACAGCAGAACATAAAGAGATGTCAGAGAGAAAACCTAAACCTGACTCAGTATACTAGAGTATCAATGTTTTTATATGGACTGTGTCACAGAGACCGTCACTCCCACTTTACTGTCATAGCAGATGGTGTTCCCAAAACCAGTGGCACAGATCCGTGATCCCTAGGAACTGACAGTTGCCTACATATTGGTGCTTCTCTTAAAGACCCTGGTAATATGCGAGAGACTGTTTATGCTGTTTTATTTGATCAGTGTTAATGTTCCTAAACACATAAGAAATGGAAATTGTTGAGGTCTTTTTTCTTCTATCAGGCGGCCAGGAATTCTTGTACTGATAAATGAAGCAGATTGGGAACTGATGGTAAGAGATTTCTTTCTTTTTCTTTGCATTAGCTCCAGTGGAAAGTTCTGGTTGATCGTCCATTTCTGGATTTTGGTTTTGGTCCAAAATACAAATTTTGTGTACACATCCTTTGTACAGATCTGATATATTTGAATGCAGACCGTTGGTTCCTCACCTCTCAGGTAAATACATCACAACTTCGAAGAATACACCCTTTAATTATTTGCATTTTACAACATGCTTGTTGGGGGGTTGGTGGTCAAATTTATTTTTTTAGAAACCCAAATGGTAAGAGATTTGATTGTCCAGAGTTTTGCAGACATTTTAGCATAACGATTAGACAAATTAGACGTACACCGTCTGTGTTTTTTGGATATGTTTTGAGAAGGAATGGGCTCAAGAACTTGGTACTGCTAGCAAAATTGATGGGGAAAGAGCTAGGGGAAGGCAAAGAGATAAAACACCTAGATGTCTTAGCTGTATGGATATGGCAAGACAAGAACACTGGCCTCATCTGTGATACTGGTGATCATGTGAGCTGCTGAAATATGACACCTATGATTATCGGCGGCTGGAATGGAACAAAGCCAGAAAGAAAACTGCTGATAGAGACGTCTGGCGATCTCTCTGGCAAACCTCTACACCCCAAGATAGAAGAGGAGCGACTAAGTAAGTAAGTAAGTATGATTATCGGCGCAGCACATGATGATGATTAGTTATTTATATAGGCTTTTTCATTCGGATTATCTGGTATGTAAGATTTCCTTGGTAAGTACAACAGTGATCATAAACTATACTTGGCGAGTTAGTTAGTTAGTTAGTTAGTTAGTTAGTTGGGTTATCCTCATTGCACTCCGGACATGTCCATAGGTGCTCAGATCCTCCCCTCAGTATGAACCCCAACGTCCGATGGCTAATAGTACCAGTTCTATGTTGATTAACAAGTCTTCTGGCGTAGCTGGTGTGCGTCTCGTTTTTTGCTGTGCCGATCTTAATTCCCAAGTCTGCCATTCTGGCGAGTGATGTGGATTCACTGCCACCAAAGTCCTCTATTCTTCCCATTTCTCTGAGGGCATTGATAATATCAGCATGATCCATAGGCTGACCGTCGGTAGTGATAGCGGATCCAGCCAACCTGTCAGCTCTTTCATTTCCATCGACGCCTGCGTGTCCCGGAACAAAAATAAAGGTGACTCCACGAACAGTGGACTTCTGTAATGATTCAAGCCATTGTCTTCGCACTGAACCTGCCTGAACCCTCCGGATCATACTCATTGAATCACTGAGTATACACACGCGGGTGTATTTTTGTGTTTCAAGCCAGGCAAGCGCTTGTGTCACTGCCATCACTTCCATCGTCATGCTGCTGGTTGTCATGGAGAAGGCGCCGTTGGCTTCTTTGACTGTTCTGCCCGCTGAGCGTGCTGTAAATGCCCATGCGCTTCTTCTTTGGCGTATAACGGATCCGTCTGTATAGATTATTGCATCTGCTTCGTCTGAATTTTCACCGATGAGAGCGTTGACCTCTGCATTAACAGCAACAGGATTCTCTTCTCTACATCGCCTGTTGAGTGTGACAATACAGGAAAATGTACAAATAAACGCCTGAGGCACAGGTATCCATTCTGCACCAGGTATGATGTCGGTTAGGCTGCATATTTGCCTAATGACATCTTCTGCCCGACCTAGCCACGATTTCCCCCTCTTCAGTCTGTCGCCCTTTTCACTAAAAAGCGCTTGATGCAGTGGGTGTTTCTTATCAGCGCATATTTTGAGATATGCCCGAGCCCTCCACATCCTGATCCTTCGGTTCATTGTTGGAAAGTCAAGTAGATACCTCATTGCTACTTGGCGAGTATGTGGCTTTATCACACTGCTTTGGAAGTCTTAGTTTGAATCTTGTGTTAGGAAATCCATTAAGCTATTTTTGGCAAATAAAGACTGCTGCATGTTGAATACCAGATTTGAGGGTACCTGTAGCTTGCAGGATAGAAAAGATGCCTTATGTCAGAATTTATCGGTAATTCGTCTTAAAAATGCAGTTTGCCCACATCAGCCGGAGCCAGTCTACATTCTTTAGTCATATCAAAAGGAGAAATCTGGAGTACATTGTGACAGTGGGAAAGTTGGAGGCAAACAGATTCATAAGTAGACCAAAAGAGAAGCTGGATAGTTTGACATTATGGCATGAAAGATCCTGTGTCAGAACTGATTGAAAGTACTTGAAACAGAAGGTTGTGTATAGACATGATTACCGTCACACTGCATGGATTTTAAAAGGAAGTTGCAAAATTTATCACAAACAAGCCTTTAGAATGGTAATGAAAATAAACTGCAGATTAAGATAAGAGCTGGCTCCAGAAAAGATTAAAGAAAAGAAAAACTGAATTGAGACAGAGATTAATATAGAAAGATGTGAAAAGACCTACAAGAGACATCCAGGAAAAGTGCAAGATATTTGTGGGCAAGTAGATCACAGACCGAAAGTTTATCTTTCATTGACAGTATTTACATTTGTTTTATGTTGGATATTTTACTGGTGTAATGAATTTTTTTTTCCCCTTTAGGGTGAGCTGGAATATGAACTTGAAGAAAATGACAGAATTGTGTTTATTTCCACTCTTCATGGCGGCTAGTATTGGCTGGTGGTCTTCCAATCTCTTCTGGTATTCCATATCAGTGGATATTTTCTCAGGATTGTACAAAGATGGCTGCAAGTCCAAGATTATCCTTGAAGCAAGATGATTGGCCAGCTAATCGAGAATTGAAAAATTGTGTACCGTATCAGTGAACCATACAAGTGTGAACTGTAGTGTTTCATGGAAGGCTGAAAATATTGGCAGCTACAATGAATAATGTTCTACAGGTGTGGAACAGAGGAAAATGAACATTTATATTACGTTATCACAATCAGCATCACTGGGCATTCCCATGTGTACTTATTTTTCTGATGCAGCAGCCACTCCTGGGTACCTCTACTGATCGTTCCCATGAGGAGTTTGTTATGTTTATATCTTGGCCTCGAAGGAGGCATAGACATGCTTTACTCCCAGGTCACGCAGTCTTGTTAAGTGTTTGTCATTATCAACTAGCCTAGTTTGTACTGACTTAAAATCTGTTCTGTTTATTCTGTCCGCTCACTCATTATCTTACACATGTATTGCCAGGTGTGTAGATCCAGATGGGGAAGGTTAAGTGCGATTTATGAATGCTTTCTACCCATTAAGAGCATATACTACCTGTTGCAAACATTATTTGACTGCTGTGGCAAGATGAAAGAAAAATGGATAGTGCCATGGCACATTGGTAGTAATGATGAAGAAAGACAGATTAATGGAAAAAGATAAATAAATATTGAGTACTGATGTGGAAACATAAAAGGTAACACACAGGGTAGACAGAGATTCTGCGGATGTATAATAATTACAGCTTATCAAGTAAGAAATGTCCGTATCCATTAGGATGTCACACAGTTAACATGGAGATTACAAACTTGTAACATGAAAAAATTATTATTAGAGGGACAAGGAAGCAGACAAATCATCACACATATATTTTGAAACATATGCTTTAAGCGCAAAACAAACAGTGCGCCAGAGAAAAAGATTGCCAGATTATGTAGAAGTTTTAGCTGAGACGAAGCTGTGTCAAATGATTAATTGAAATAGTAGAGCATGGTTAAGAAGCTGAAATTGGCATTTCTTTTTTTTTTCTTTTTTTTAAACTGAACGCTACACTGGAGAGAGAAGAAAGAGGCTGGATAGTTTTAGGCAATAAGCGATACTTGTGCCATCTTTCATCATTGCGTAATAAAGCATCACCGTATGAAAGGTATACAGTCAGAAAACGGGTGTCATTTACCGTTGGATTCAAGAGAAGCATGATTGCTTGCGATAGTTGTCAAGACGTTATATTTTTTAAAGTCTGAATTGTGAAAATTATATTGCTTCCTGTATGTTCATTACATTTTTGTTTTCACTAAAGAAATGCGTATGGTACTTTCATTTCATAACTGTTTGTTACAGTACCCTTGTACGTTTGAATAAGCACAATTTCTGGCACTCAGCATTACACTAACAGAAACCTCTACTGTGCAAAATGAAACTATATTATTCTTAGAAGCACCAGAGATACTACCCTGTAAAGCAGTGAGATTTCTTCTCAGCAAGATTGATTTACATAGCACACTGAAAGAATGCTCAAGCAAGAAAAATGGAATGAGCTGCTGTTGTCCAGGTTGCGCTATGAAATAGTACCTGGTGAAGAATGAATACGCAATCCTTAAAAATATCAAGCTATCAGTGGATGGGAGAAAATCGGCCACCATGGCAGGCTAAGAACCAGACCTCCAGGGTGTGCTAGGAAGAGAAAATCTGACAGTTCCTAACTGACAGAGGAGGTGAATGGAACAAAGCCAGAAAGAAAACTGCTGATAGAGATGTCTGGCAAATCTCTACACCCCAAGGTAGAAGAGGAGCGACTAAGTAAGTTCTATCAGTGGTTATCATTCTATAGACAATGCAGGAAATATCTTCTATAGTATCAGCTGAGGTGAAAGTACTGCTGGCTGTTATGTTGTGTTGCTTTTTATGGGTCGATCAGTTGTTCACCACAGGACGTCCTTGGACTTTTTCAGTGTAATTAATGCTCTTCTACAACAGTAAAAGGAGTAAGACTGCTGACTTACCTCCACTCACCCACAAAAGTTCCCAGAACTGACATCTGGAATGTTAGAAATTAACAAAGAGAATTACAGTGGTGAATTGAGGGAGGGGCCACAAGTAAACAGCTTGCAGTGACAAAGAACAACATGACTTCATGCTTTCACTCCACAAAATTGTGTTTTTTGCTTGAGTGAGGACACTGTGTATGGCTACAGCATTCACTTGAAGTATCCAGCGCATCTGACTCAGTTTGTAACTGGAATCACTGGCATAGGCGGTTGAGCGATTATGGTTTGCTGTGATGCCGGAACTGTAACGACTAACTCCACAAAATGGGACATAATAATGAAATTATATGCACGGTAAATCTACTCTTTTTGTCATCTCAAATAATATCTTTAAAGCATTGTTGGGGGTTAATATAATCATATTTACCTCATCTGCCAGTACCAAAGCTGACAAACGGGGCATTGTCTAAAGACATCACATCAACCGAACACCAAAAAAGTTGGGAAATTGCCTTTCTCGGGGCAAGATAAATTGGTTGGTTGAGAAAATATGCTTGAACAGGGGGATACTGACAAAGAATAAGAATAATTATTTAGAAATATACACTTAATATTAAAAAACCACACCCAAAAAAAAAAAAACACTGCTGGATACAGTAAAAATGCAATGTTTATCATCTTCATGTTGAAAATGTGATTGGACAACTGGTTTTTTTCACATACACATATGATCTGAATGACAGTCTGTTTAAATCATAAACACAAAAGGCTGTTTCACAACAATGGTTCCCAAATTTGCAACACAGGCTGGTTTTAAAGCTAATCAAGAATTTGGAAACTTAAATAACAAAATTAGATTTTAAAAATATGTGCTGTCTTGCACAATTTGTTATATAAAGAAAATGTGTTCAATGTTTTAAGTAAATTTTAATTTTGAAAATGCTGGGTTGAGAACAGCTGGGCAACTACTTATTTTTAAATTTGTATCTTGTCTTCGTCGGCTCTGTGGCTAAGTCGATGCGAACACTTCGCTTCGTATCAAGAAAGCAGACCGTCAAGAAAGCAATGGCAAACTACTGGATGTAAATTGCCTAGAGAAACCACACAACAGCCAGGGGCTGTTAAGGTTGGTTCTGCAACGTCCTGTAAAGGATACGCAACTAACTATTATTATATCTTTTCTGATCTAACAGCACAAAGATAACTGTTCTGTGCACATACATATTCACCTTCCCCTTCCCTACAACAGATAATTTATAAAACAATCTAACTTCTCCCCATCTTCACTATTACATAGTACATTAGTTATGATCATTTCTGGTTAGTTTTGACCCCTTTCCCACTTTTTCCCCAACATGCATATCATATAATCTTGATCTTCCTATTGGGTACAATCAAGGCCCACTTTTATATGCAATATAAAGGCTCTTGCTTTTTTCTTCTTCTTCTTTGCGTTCACCAGCTGTACATTCTGGCGTAAAGTTCTGGTTGTTCGTCCACTTCTGGACTGCAGTCCTGCTCCAGAACCTGGGTGTTGCATGTGCATCAGTTTTACAGATCTGATTCTATTGAATGCAGACTGCTGGTTCCTTGCCTCTCAGGCAGATGCACTTCGACTTCAAAGGAAGCTCCCCAGTTAGTCGACTCTTACGACATGCTTTTGGGGAGGCAGTGGGTCTATTCTTGTTTTCCCCACAATAGGGCCCCGGAACCCACACGGGGGGCTCTTGCTTTTTTGTTTTGTGCCGTTTTACGTCAAAAAAAAAGCACACAATTTATTCTTCCATTCTGTTCTATTCTTTGCAATTGTTTCAATATCATGAATGGAATCCAGTTTTTTTGGCCTTTCTCTTCATGTCTTAGGGTCCTCGCCTGACAGATCCATTTGTTTTCTGTTTTAAGTACCTGTTTGGTGATTTTGTTTGCTCCTCCTCAAGGTGTGCCAAATATATTGCCATCTTTTTCAACTTATAATGTTGATACCTGTGTAGTCCAGACATTTCTGTTATTTATTTGCCTTTCTTGAATTCATCCCATTTAATGTTCACCAATTTCCTTAGGCCTCTTGAGCATATGGTAGTCCCATATTTTACAACACTCGCAGGTGGTGCAGTCACCTGGCCACTTTTGCTTCCCACTACATTTTACTGTTATCCTTTTAGGCCGAATCATAATTCCAAGATACCCGGTTCAATTCTAGCTGCAAGTGATTTGGCAGCAGATCGTCTTGTGTCGCTTTTCATAATGCTAACGAGAGCCATCTGTTAGAAATAAATGGCAAACTACTGAATGTAAAATGACCTTGTAGAACAAAAAAAATCAAAAACATGCCTAGGTTGGTTCTGCAATGCCCTGTAATGAATACGCAATTAACATTTTTTTAGACTGGGTCAATGGGGGAGTCAAGGTCAACTAAAAAAAAAAATCTGCACTCTCTATGCCAGGGTTACTCAACTTGCCTGGCAAGTGGCCCACGGATCATTGCCAGGTGTATTTTATTAATGATCTTTCTAGGCTGTGGCTTCAGTCGTGGGCCCGTGACGATCTTCATTTTCAAAATTTTGGCCCTTGAATTAACTTAGTTGAATAGCCCTGCCCTATGCTAAGATGTAAATTCATCAGTTGTTTAGATTATGGAACACTCCCTCCTCCCCCTCTCCCTTTTTTTTCAACTAATCCGTTGAAGCTATCCCCTCCAGCCTGAAAAATAATGTTTATCATACACATGCACACCCCTCCTGCACAGTCTCTGAATTTAAAAAATAAGCAACATGGTTCAACATTAGCATTCTTCCATTCTGTTCAACTTACACACGAAACACTCGAAAAAGGCATTTTTTGCCCTCATTCAACAATGCTTACATAATCTTTCATCAACTAACATTCAGTGAATCCTTACTATCTTCACCAACTACCTTTTAATGAATTCCACCATCATCAGCAACTACCATACAGTGAATTCCACATCATCAGCAACTACCATACAGTGAATTCCACATCATCAGCAACTACCATACAGTGAATTCCACATCATCAGCAACTATCATACAGTGAATTCCACATCATCAGCAACCATCATACAGTGAATTCTACATCATCAGCAACTACCATACAGTGAATTCTACATCATCAGCAACTATCATAGTGAATTCCACATCATCAGCAACTATCATTCGATGAATTCCACATCATCAGCAACTATCATACAGTGATTTCCACATCATCAGCAACTACCATACAGTGAATTCCACATCATCAGCAACTATCATACAGTGAATTCTACCATTATCACCAATTATCATGTAATGAATTCTACCAACTATCTTACAGTGAATTCTACCACTGTCATCAACTGATACACATTGAAATTATCCCTTCTATCAAGCTGAGGCATTTATAACCTGTTTACTGTCCTTCACTGTCAGTGATTGCTTTCATTCTTACTTTCACAGTGAATTGTCTCTAGCTTCCACACAGCCAAACAAATTCATAAATGTTCCCTAGTGCCGTCTTTCCCGGTCTTTTTCTTTATGTTTTCCTTTACTTTTGTGGCTTTTCTTCACATCCTTACGACGTTCTTTATCATGATGTGTCAGTGGCGATGACCTTTCCTTCCTGTCTTTGCTGCGAGATCGATGCTTGTCCTTGGAATGTGGTGATGCTGACCTCTTCCTTTCTCTTGATCGTGAACGTGACCTATGCTTGTCCAGAGACCGCCTCTCTCTTGAGTGTGACCGTCTTTCTCTCGAGTGTGACCGGCGTTTATCATGCCTGCTGCGTTTATGTTCTTTCTCTCTCTCCCTGCGCTGCCGTTCTTTTTCTCGTTCCAATTCTCTTGTGAAATCATCTGACCTGTAGTAAAGAAAATGGTTATAACTGTTAAACAGGGCAAAAGTATATATGTATGTTTATCTCATCAGTCTCATTACGTGGAGAGGATGCTGTAGCTTGGAATGTCTACAGGCTCTGGGCACCACTAGACACTCAAGGATAAAGCAAGATGAGATGTTAACTAGCTGACAATGTGTACTATCAGTAGGGAAACTCTTCGCTGGCTGTAGAAGAGGGAGATGGAGCTAATATGGGCTTGACCTGAATGTTGTGATACCTAATCTTTACCCAGATATCATCATAAATCTAATTATATGCATCTTTCATTGGTATATCAGCAAGCACATCCAATTTCAAGGAGTATTTCCATTAGTTCTGCCTTTTACAAACTCATCTATCCATAAAGCAGTAGGATTATGGGTTTCTCTGGCTTATTTTTTGACATAACTAGTAGCTAAACTGCAACCAGCGGAGTTCTTCAGTTGGTTGGGATATGATCATTGCACTCCAGACATGTCCACAGGTGTTCAGATCCTTCCCTCAGTATGAACCCCAGCACCCTGTGACTAACAGTGCCAGTTCCGTGTTGTTTTTTTCTTTTTGTATGCCCGGTGTGTTTCTCTTTTGGCTATGCCGATCATAACTCCCAAGACTTTCATTCTGGTGAGCGATGTGAAATCGCTGTCTCAAAAGTCAAGAGGCCATAAATAATATCAGCATGATCCATGGGTTGACCTTTAGCAATGACAGCGGATCTGGTCAACTTATCAAACCTTTAGTTTCCATCAACGCCTGCGTGCCCCGAAACGAGGATAAAGACGACGTTACGCAGTCAACTTCTGTAATGGCTCAATCCACTGACTTGGCACAGAACCTGCTTCAGTTCTTCGAGGTATATGGACAAACTTTTCTACCATAGTAAAGTGCTGAAAAAGATGCACATGCTTTCAAAAAGTTTAAAAAAAAAAAAATACAAATCAGAAAATGCTGTGTGGGTATTTTTCTTCTCTGTACAATATTTTTGTTTCTTTTTAACATCTGTTTGCAGCAGAGCTGTAATGTTTACACTTTTTAGCCGAAACAGCAGAATTCTTAAGGCATATTTACTGACAACCCCTTCCTGGGCAGATGCCTACTTTGCAAGATAATTAAAAGTTAGTGAATTGTTACTAACACTGCAAACCAACAGCAGTATTTGTCAGCCTTTTGTGGTTTTATCTGGTTATTTTAGGTTCAGTAGTTTGGCATAAGCCGTAATGCCAAGAAAACTCCAGAGGCTGCAAAACCAGAATTTATGGGACACTAGGTTAGAGTCACTGCAGACTTCAATAGACTCAAAAAGCCTTGAAAGACAAGACTTACAAAGACAGATAAGAGTAATCTGACTCACCTGGGTGGGGAGCTGCGTCTTGGTGGAGACTTCTGAGGTGATCGCCGCCTTGGGGGACTATGGTGTGAACTACCGCCTGTTCGGTATCCATCTCTAGAGTATCCACCACCACCTCCTCTGCTACAGTCAGATTAGGAAGAATTTAAAAAAAAAAACAGTTGTAATTTTCTAATTTCCTAGATATTTCTGAAAAAGGATTACAGAAATAATGCAGTCTTTACTGAATATCAGTCTCACCATACCCCAATGCATAAGCCACTTATCTTTTGCCAGTTACCCTTTATCACGCATGGGTGTCTGTATTACTATACTACCGGTGTTGGTCGACCTCAGCCTCATTTTTTTTACTTTTAAGCGGTGTCTTCATTACTGTTCTATCTATACCTCTGTGACATTCAAAATGCTATGAGTATTTCAGTTTCCTAACAAAACTATTTATGAGCCAGTTATCTACGATTTTATTCTTCTCTGTTCGTAAAAGCAAAACTGCATTTTACATCCAGCTCTTTAATCACGTTATAAAAAAAAAAACCAGAGTACATCTTGATGATGGGAAAGTTGAAGGGAAAAAGAAGCAAAAGGAGACCATGAGAGAAAAATGCTGGACAGTCTGACAACACGATATGGAAGACCTACTGTATCAGAACCGAATGGAAGTAATTGAGGCAAAAGGTTGTGGATAGACATGACTGCCAAAGCCACACTGTGTGGACTTTAAAAAGAATAATGATATATCAACAGTTGTGCTTTTTTAGACTAACATGTTTTACTGATAAAATGCAACTGCTGTCTGAAAGATTAGTGTTTGGAGAGGACAAATGTTAAACAGGTCTGCAGCACAATTTTTGACCCTTTGAAAACATAAAGGTTTTGTTTGCTCATTCCCTATTAACACTTGATGGCATCTGAACCAGGTTATTTTACTTTCCTATCATCATAACCACTTACCCTCTCTGTGACATCGCCACTTTTTCAGCTTCTCCAAACGAGACCTGGTCATCAGGGATGTGTTCCGGTTCTTGAGTCACTGCCTGAGTGCCATAACCTTGGTAACCAGAAGTGAATGGTCTTGACCTCAATTTAACATCAATGTCTTTCTGAAAAGAGCCAATAATTAAGGGTTACATTACAAAAGTTGTTTAATAAATCGGAGAAATGTTAAAGCAAGAGTTCATATTTCTTTAATAACATCTTCATAATCAAACTACTACTGGCACCAAATAAATGAAAACTACACTAGCTGCTGAAAATGAGGACAGTTTGCTTATAGGAATGTTGCTAGTGCTGTGGAAGTCAGTTCTTAACTCAGCTCTTTCTAATCAACTGGCTTCTTAAAAGCTATTCTGTAGCCTCAATGATTAAGGTCGCAGCATGAGTCACCTGATACGTTTTTAAGGCCCCTGGGAATGCATTCCATTTAATGTTCTACTTAGCTCGTGTTTATTACTTAACTCCTTTATATATATACATCTTTATGTAATTGGATAATTTTTTTTCAATTTTTTTCTTTTTAATTTATTAGCGACCTGTGTTAAATGTGTCGTTCCCTGGCCTGATTTTTAAATGGTTTCTGGGATGAATAGGTTCACATCAAGGCAGTATTGATAGTCTGAAATTAATGAACACATTACCTGGATAGGCACTGGTATGCGAGGAAATAACGTTGAGTACCATTCCAACTTCACCAGCCACTGCCGCAGCATCTCTCCCACTGTCATCACATGACCACCTCCGGCTTTTACATCCAGCTCCTGGTTGGATAAAAAAAAAGAAAAAGAAAAATACATCAATCAAAGATTAGACATGCAGGGATATTTCAGCTAGCACATCAATCATGTAGTTAGCTTTCTCATGTGTATGTATGTATCTGTGATTTCTTTTTTTTTCAATATAATTTACACTGGATCTAAATTGTAATTTTTCTTTCATGTTACAGATATAATCAAAACGTGAAAAAAGAAATGCTAAATACAAAATAATAATTATGCACTATTATTCAATACAATTTCAGCAACATAAAATGTATTCACTCACTCACACACACACAAACACATAAGAGTGCTAGCTAATTTTAAACATTAAAAAAAATACAATGACCATATTTCCCCAACAGAAACCCAAAATAAGACCTACTGGGGAAAAAAAAAGACAGATTCTAGAAGACGACAGTAAGACAAGTGTGTATAAATGTTTATATTCTGATCAACTAAATATACAAGCCTGTCTTGTTTTGCTGAGAAACTATAAGAAAGTATAAAATATTTACTACATATACTGTTCTTTAAGAAAATATTTGTGTCTTAAATATGTAGTATCTCAGGTTTAAGTTCAGACAAACTATTATCTGATTAAACTCAGAAGTTACCCATCTTACTACACAATTTTCTGGTTTACCTAGTCTACAACATTCAACAAAAGGAAAAAAAAACAAACAAATGTCCACATACTGGGTGTTCAGAACCCAAACGTGTCTAGATGTTGCTGTTACAGAAATTAAAAACTTTAATAAACGTAATTAAGAAGACAAGAAAATATCTGGCCCCCTTGTGAGCCCATTAAGATCTATTTATAACCTCTGTTCGAGGCGTCCGTGAAAGACTGTTGAGGATGCTGGGAGATTTGGAAAATCCTCACACGGTCTAAGGCAAACACCCTGTACATACAAAACAGCACATCAATTATGTCAGCTGAATTGATCATAAAACTAAATTGTCAGGATGATATTTAATATCTAAGACACTAAAATACAAATGATTCAAATACAATTTGTACAATTAAACACTAGTTTAACATTTTTCAACTGGTGCTATGATAAACTTAAAGATAAATGCCATTATCTGATCTAGGATAAAAACTGCCTGAGTACTATAATATTATACAGAAAGAGATTTCATTATTACCAGAAAATAAATCTGCCAAATCTTTTCAATTGTATCTACAGAAGCTGTCAAGTCAAACATAATTTTGAATGAAATTATGAACATGCCTTTTATCTTTATCTGCAGATGTGAAGCTGCACAATTAATTAATACTGTCTAAAAAATGAGACACCCCTGTGTGTTTCTGGGAAACATAAAGGAAGCAAAGAACAGTATTAATGTAACCTATTATCATGTATAAGGCCACAAAGGAAAGCTGGTGACATACTTGGTACCACATCCCACAGCAGACTTAAAGTGCAAAATACAACCAGTTATAGATAAGTCTACAAAGGGTTTGTCATGAGTACACTGAAGGCCTAAGCTTTATTGAGATGAAAGGCAGCAGAAGTAAAATAAATTTTTTTTTTTTCAAAAGTTTGTTACCTAAGATGAAAATAATTTAAATTGTGGATCCACATCTTGATATGTTCAAATAACTTAATTATGCCCAGTGTGAGAGAATTTGCCAATCTCCAGAAACTATATAATTTAAGAATCTGCAGGTATATGGAAAGACTAGTAGTAAAAAAATTTAAAGAGTTGTTGAAAAAATAAAAATACACAGGGACAAGGTGAAATATTTTGGCCACACTAAAAGATCTAAAGACCCAACACACTTATAATAAAAACCTCACTGAAGGAAAAAAAAAAGAACAAAATCAATCAAAAGACAGAGAGTAATAAAAACAGGATGACATCATCCCTAAATGGATGAGCAGCAGTCTCAAGACAGTGTACAAACAGGACAAGAAACGCAATGCTGAAGATCCACTGCAGCCATGGCACCTGACTGATGACTGAGGTATTTGCAAAATGATCTTGAAGAGGCAGACATTCTTACATTTCTATCCTTATAACTATAAACTTGAATAACAATATATTAACACTTAACTCTAACATCAATAATTATTAGTCTTTAAAAATCAAATATGTGGTTGATAAGATTATAGAGAAGCATGCAGCTGTGGTTTTCCAAGTAAGTTAACTCTTGTGTTTAGTATCATTTAAATAGTTCCATCTCCATAATGGATACTGGCTGAGACTGACATGCTATGAAGTATGGACAGTAATTCTGCAAATAAAATGGTGCAATATTTTAATGATTTCTCTCTCTCTTCCTTCTTCTTCTTAGCGTTTATCGGCTGTAAACTCCGGCAGAAAGTTCTGGCTTGTTTGTCCGCTTCCTGACCTTCTTGTTTTGCATGCACATCCAATTTACAGTTCTGGCTTATTTGTAGGCAGACTGTTGGTTCCCTCAACTCTCAGGCACATGCACTCTGAAGGAAATGTCCCTAATTAGTCACCTCTGGTGACACGCTTGTTACAGTGTTTATCCATAATACCCCCCCCCCCCCCCCCAACTAGGAAGGAGCTTATATGATTAATACACACCATCGGAGCAATAGTATCTTATCCAATATGAAAACCTAACATGCTTAACTACAAGGGATACCAAGCTGCAAGTAACAGAAAGAAGAAAGGAAAGGCAAGACAGAAATATCAGGATAGCAAAAGCAAGACAATTTGCTGAACACACCAGCAATACTCACCATCAATCTCAGCCCGGCTGTTATTTCATGAGTAGTCACGACTCCACACATGTATGTAGAGTTAAATTGATTGCGTTTGTCTGATGTGTGTCACAGTGTATGTTATTTCATGAGTAGCCTTGACTTCACATGTGTATGTAGAGTTAAACTGATTGTGTTTGTCTGATCTGTGCTGCAGTGTCTGTAACACTTTACCTGAATTGCCAATAAGGACAGCTACTTCCTAGTTTTACGTGTGTCTTCTGTCAGTGAGTGTGATCTAATTTTCACTACAGCTACTTCAATTTGTAATCAAATGCTTGAGACTGTCACCAGAGCTATGGAGTTCGTGCATTGTGCGACTCTTGGCAGGCGGCTAGACGAGACCAAGCCATATGGGATAAAGCCCTGTGCAATTAAGCTGATCCTCTCGACTTTAACCTTTAAAAATCTTTGAGTTATACAATATCTTAATATAAAATACAGGGTAAAGACTGGTAATATGTCTCTGCAATGTTGTAATATCAGACTATCTTTCACTGTTTCAGAATTAAGGTGACATATAAGTTACTATTCAACAATACCCAGGAACTGTGGGAGTCCACAAAAGTATGTATTTGAAAACCCAAACTTAGGTGATCAAAATCCTGTCAACTAAACATCAATTACATGCATTCGATGCTGTCTATAATGCTTACATCGAGACATTTTAACCAGCAGTTTAGCATCCTGTATCAAATTTATTATAAGTCAAATATCTTCTTTTTTTAATTCCTCTCAGTGACGTAACTGTGTTGTGCCTATTTACAGCAAAGCTGTGATATTGGTGCCTTTCGGCCGACACATCCCACTTCATCTGACATTTGTTGAGCGGCTTAACTCCACGGATAGTTTTTTGGGACAAGGACATGTCGTGGCCTTATTTGTGTGGTGTCCTCTCTTTATCTACATGTATTGTGCCCCTGAGAGAATCCATCTAGGGCAACCTCTAAGTAAAATATAATTCAAAACAAAAAAAGAGAAAAATAATTACAGAGGGTTCAGGTAAAGTGTTTCGATACTTTCTACAGAGCTTGGCAATAATCTTGAAAATGTACCTCTAAATTCAGGGGAGGGGGCTGAAAATGTTTTTGATGTTTAAAAGGCCTGCACAATTTTGGGCTATGTTCTCATCAATAAGTATAAAACAAGAAAACAGAGGCTGAAATGCGGGGTCCCTTACAGCTCTTGTCTTATGTTAAGCAAAGCAAAACAATGTTTCCATGTTGCTTAACAAGATATCACCGACAGAGGAAGTGAGGCAGAAGAAGAAAAGTCCCCACCCCCCACCAAAAATATTAACAGGGGACGAAATTATGTCTCATTTGCATGATTGTTGAAACAAACAAGGCTACATTTTAATTTGAATGTTAATGGGGTAATTAAGTTATTTGTATATTTAATTCTAATAAATGAGCTTGGCCTTCAGCGACTATCATTTTCTATGATAGTGCTAAGATATATAATCTTATATGCATCAGAAAAACAACAGAGAGCTTGCAATTAGTAACACTAAAAGGACAAACAGAGAAATGAACTTAAAAAAAAAAAAAACAGAGATAGAGAGAGAAATTGGCAAACGGATTACCAATTTTACTAGGCATAAAAATGAAACTAAGAAATCCTAGCTGGCGTTATTAAAACGTGTTTGTCAGATTACAGTATCTCTCCGTTTGCTAGCAGCCAAGTTCTGTGTCAGTGGCGTGTTGTTTTGAGTCCCTAGATGTGTTCACATACCTCTTCATCATCCAAGAAAGCTTCATACCAATCCCACAAGTCTGAGGGCTGCTGTGTGTATCTGCAGAAAAAAAAACAGAAACTTTATTAATCTATATGACAGAGTTAAAGTTAAGTAACTTACAAACGCCATATAAGTTAGTACGCTTGGTACCTTACTTATAAGAGTAACGTTTCATACTTAAGTTAAAATACCCGTTTACATTCTGACCTATTCATCAACAAATGTTTACTAGTGACTAGGACAGCAGTGCAAACTGACTGAGTTTATTTCTTTCAGCAACTCTGTCCATTTTCAATGTCTACATAACCTCTGTACTTGATAGTTTTTGTTTATGTTACTACATATTCTTCTGCCTCTCCAATGGCCTGAATTCGACTCTTCACTTTCTTGGGCATTGTCCAAGTCTCTGCGCCATATATTAGGGTTATGTATATACAATACATGCCTTACTATACAGATCAAAACTGACAGTAAGTGATGTACACACATCCTGAGGCACAAATACAAGATGTGGAAAATAGGTACATACAAGACATTACCTGATATACATGAAACCCAAGCCTCGAATGTAGGGAGAGTCCTTGTGGTTTATCAGGTTGTTCACTTGTTTCTTAGTCAGTTTGAGGGTAAACAGTTTGTACAGGAGACAATATGCACTTGAGACAATCCCTCCAGCACCCACACCGCGCACCTGGGGAATAATGATTAATTAGTTATGGAGGTAACGACCTAGGTGGTTGCTGGAGCATAAAAATTACATTTACTTGTCAATAACAATGATTTTGGCTCCTAGGTGACCCAGCCTTGAGTGGGTATCAGGTGCAATTCTGTGAAGTAAAGACTGCCGGCGTGATGCCGACCACATCACCCACCAAGCGCTGACTGGTAAAAAAAATACAGGTCTAACCCTATATACCCAATAAGCCAGAAGGCGTGGAAAAGTGTCCCTAATTGTCAAAAACAATTCCCAATAAACATTTCTCCTCTACCAATAATTCAGACTACAAAAATCTGATTCACTAACCATACGTTAGCTAACCTGGCAGAATGTTCTGGATGTTCATCCACTTCTGCATGCACATCCGTTTTACAGATCTGGTTTATCTGTATGCACACTGACTTCGCAGGAAACAACCCTAATTAGTCGTCTTTTACAACATGCTTGTTGGGGGTAGGTGGACAGGAGGAGGCAGTGAGCCTGTTCTCATTTGCCCTAAAACGGGGTCCAGGAACCCACATGGGGAGTTTTAAGGTCCATGATTGTTGAGTCAAAACTGGCTGGTACCAACGTCACATGGTATTAAGTATAAGAAGAAGATTATGGAATTCATTTTTTTCCCCAATTAATTACAGATTTCAATAACACAAATTGTCTATTAATCACTGATTTCAATCAAAGAAATGTAACAACTCTGACATAGCAATAACATACTTTCAATAATCACAATTGTCATAACCACCAGAATTATAAATATAATAACATAATCACAACGTTCTTTATAAATACAGACTTAAATCAAACTGAAATAATGTTTACTCACTGATAACTTTAGAAGAAAAATTAAAAACAAACCTTTACTAAATCAATGTGCATATGAACAGAAAAATCTTGATCCACCATTAGACATATAAAGAAAACATTCTAAGAGAGACTAAGCATAAATGAAATTCACTGTACATCAGGAAAAGTCAATTTCATTTAACCCTTTATCCCGATGACCTAGAGAAGAAAAAATAACGCTAATAACCTGCAGTTAGGGAGATTCCTAAAAACACATCTCTAACAAACAACCATTTTACACAGGTCACACCCACACACAAAACAAAGCCTAATAATTCCATTTACCAACCAAAACAATCTAATATTTCCTACATAATAAAGGAAGTCATCAGTAAACATGAATGCAGTAGGGAATTAACTGGACATCAACAGCTATGTTGCCCAGCACAGATTAACACTGTGACCAATGGGAGGTATATTTAAAGATAAAATTATATTTCTTGCAGCCTCAGAGATGTGTTTTCATAGCATAATGCCTAAATTCTTTACACAGCCAAAATCAGCAATCCAGATGTGGTGAAGACAACTTTTCACAAACATCAGACAGAAGATCTCATATTTGGCTATGCCATGAAAAGGGAAATAAAAATGAGAGGGATCACTGGAAAGTGAGAGAGGACAGTGAAAGAAAATTCTTGACAGCCTTGTGTCATGACATGGAAGGGTGTAAAAATAAAAACTAAGTCTCTGCTGAAGACCACAAGTTGTGGAGAGGAGTGCCAATTTCAGCGAACAACCCACTTGATGATGATGATGATGATATTTTATACCAATAATGGCAGAAGGAAGAGCAACAAAACAAAATGTGTAAGAGTAAACTTGAAGGCAAAGCAAAAATCAGTCAGCGTCAATGTGTAGATGGCATGGCATGATGACTCAATTTGTAGAAAAAACTTACCCCTCCACACATGCCTGTCTGCCCTGCTGTCTTTCTACTACCCTTTTCCCATGGTTCCAAATGTTCCACCTGTTAGGGAGCAAGGGGAAAACAAAGTGTAAAATACTTCATTACATATGTTGTCTAGGTAATTATTACATCAGTTCAGACTTGCCTTTCAAGTACTTGATGGACTTAATTAATCATGTTTTAGTCACTCATCAGTCTCAACAAAACGCAAGTGCTGGGGATGAATGTGGTAAACCCATCAAGCACTAATGTTTTAAACCATGAGCTGTTGGTTGCACATGAGTCTGAATACATAGGCTCTCGAATCGCAGACAATCTTTCCCTAGATAAACTAAACAGACGAACGAAAGGTTTAAGGAGTGCTTTCCAAACTCACAATAAGAGCGTGTTAAAACAAAACGCTTACTGATAGGATCAAAATTACAGTTTATGAAGCTTGCATCTTGAGTACACTCCCTTACAACAGTGAAACCTGGCCTCTGTATGAATGCTCCTCAAGAAAAAAGACTGAATATCTTCCACATGTGCTGTATGAGATACATTCTTGATACATCAAGGCAATACTTTGTCCCCAACAAATGAAAGCTTCAAGACAGCAGGAAGCTCAATGTGTACTTTCTACTGAAGCAAAGATGCCTGTGTTGGTTGGGACATGTTTTTTAAATGGAGGACAGCTGCATTCCAAAGGATCTGCCGAATAGTAAACTGATATAAAAGGGATAAGATCTGCAGAAGGGCCAAAGCTACGCTATGAGGACATATGCAAATAGGACATGAAAGATATCAACATTAGCTCAGACACTTGGGAGAGATCAGCTGCAGACTCACTCCTTTGGAGGTAGACAGTGAAAGGCAGACTGCCGCAGTTTGAAAGCGGCCAAACACATAGCAATCTATAGAGAGGGGAAGTCTGAAAGAAAACCTCAAAAACAATAGTATATCAAAGCTTTTATGTGGACTTTGTTGCAGAGACTACCACTTCCGCAGTCATAACAGATGCTGTTCTCAACACCTGTGACACAGATCCATGGTCCCCAGGGACTGATTGTTGGTAGTCTGGTAATCTTAGTTTCAGCTTCATAGGAAACGGGTCACCCCATTGTTGCTCCACTCCTGTGCTAACGAAAAACACATAGAATGTTTATCACAGTCCCTTGTGGAAAGATTGACAGACTGCTGTCTCAGCATATCTAGCATACACATGCATTAAAGCATATCGTAGCCATCCGAAGCGCCAACACGAACAGTCCAACACTGATGGCTGCCTACTACTATGACTTCACTGAAACAAGGAATAATTATTGCAATTAAATGTAAAACCCCTCAAGCAAAAGCAATATTTTACAAAAAGTCAGAGATCAAAAGTGTAAAACACTTCATTACAAATGTTGTCCATGTTACACTAGTTCAGCCTTTCCCTTTCTAATATGCATAGCAGAAGTATTCGATGGACTTAATCAATCCTGTTTTATGTTCTGTAGTGTAGAGAAATGGCTTCTGAGCTGAAACCTATAGAAAGATTCTCAGAATCTCTTCGAGGAGAAATATTGACATCTTGAAAGATCTGAACATCAAGGAATCAGTAATCCAGATGTTTTGAAGATGCTGGACAGTCTGACATCATAGCAGGGAAGATCATCCGTGTCAGAACTGACTGAAAGTACACGAGACAGAAGGCTGCGAATAGACCGAACTACCAAGGCCACACTATTGGACTATTAGAAGAAGAAATATGGAACACCTGAATCCTCTATTTAGTTATTTCTGTAATGACATGACGGTGAATAAGGAAATGATACAGAAGAACAGAATCAGCAGAAACATCAATTCCAACTAACCTTGTAATATATTTCATCTACCACTTCATGAAATGTCTTCAGTTCAAAGAGCTGCACCTTGAAATAAGGAGAGGACTGAATGTTTGTGAGGATGAGTGTGTTGAGGTTCATTGTCTTGTCATTCCCCCATGTTGTCAGTGGGTTGTTGGGGGCCATGATGTAATATGGCCAGTCTCTTAGTGTCTACTCTGGATCCTCGATCTGGCTGAAATGAAATTTAAGGAACAATTCAAATATGTACATTACAGTTAGGTGGTTACAAGATTAGTGCCAAATAATTCTTTCAGTTCCAAGGGTTAATATCAGAGGCCCAAGGGGTAGTAAAGGGAGACGTAAAATCAGTGCATCCTGCATTCACTGGGCTTCTAGATAAGAACCTTTGAATGCATGGTGTGTTCCACTGGAATGAATGAGTTAAGGAATTCTACATTTTATAAATATATGTAGTTTAGCCCCGCTCCGCGCGTAGCGGGAGATACTCTCGGCAGTGATTTTTAACTCGACAGAAGATTTTTGTGGTATGCGGTGTAGTCGCCGGAAGAGGTCTGCAATTTACATATGACTGAGGCCCTGTTAGTGTATATTTTCGGTCTCAATAATTTGGGACCGTTATTCAGATAGCCAAATTCTATAAAGATATGGGCTTTCTTCCAAATAACGGTCCCAAATGATCGAGGCTGAAAATATACCCTAACAGGGCCTCAGTCACATGTAAATTGCGGACTTCCTGCGACTTACACCACCGCAAAGAGTATCTTCCACGCCGCTACGCGTGGCTAATTTAAATGGCTGGGACTCAAGAGCAAATAAAATTAGGGAAGCTGCAGAAAATGCGGTAGCTGCCGCTCGTGAGTCCCAGCCATCTACTTTAGCCTCAGTCCACGCCGTGCATAGCGGCGTGGGAGATACTCTCGGCGGTGGCGGTAGTCGCCAGAAGTGCGCAATTTAAGTTGCCGGATGTCCGCAATTTACATATGATTATGACTGATGCCCTGTTAGGGTATATTCTCCGCCTCGATAATTTGAGACCGTTATTCGGAAGATAGCCAAGATATGAACTTATAAAAGTCTTATGAGCAGCTGCACTGCCCCTGAATTTTATTATTATACTTAATTAATGATTCGAGCTGAAACGAAACGACGAAAAAATATGTAAAAAGGTAAGCCGAAGGGTGGGTATGATGCCATTTAATTCAATTCAAACAATCCTAGGTAGTGACCAACAGTCAGTCAGTAGTTAGTAACTATTAGTAAGGTGATGATTTTTTTTTAATTTGCTCTTACTTTTAGTAAAAACGTAAGCTCTTAATAATTAACTATAAACAGCTCCTTACTTCACAAAATGCGCCCAGAAATGTGCTATACTTAACTATAACTAAATATTATATATAATATACTATATACGTGATAATTTATTAAAGTTGAAGGGACGAAAAAGTATGTAAAAAAGTAAGTTAGCCGAGGATTAGGTATGGTCATAATGATATGGTGTCATTTCTGCATTTTATTAATCAAAGTCAATTCAAACTTCAAACTTAATTATTATTTAGAAAAACTCTCCTGACCGACGGCCAAAACGTCCTTTTGTGTGGCCTAAAACTAAAGCAAGGTGCGTAACCGTGGCGTCGTATATAGTAATCTTTCGCTATGATCTACTACAGAAATAAACAACACATACAACTGACATTTCACATACCTTTAAACACCACTTTAGTATGAGAAACAATACTTCCAAAAAGAAAATGTTTGTTCTGCCGAAAAAAACTATACAGAAAAATATCCCTGAAATGAACAACAAACACACGACGGAAAATGAAAGCAGGAGTGATCTACTGCCCCTGCCAGGATGTCGACAAATGGCGAGAAATTTTTTGAAATAGCGCCCTCTACAATTATTCCCCTTCCTTGAACTGTCAGCAAAGGTTGCCAGATAACAAAAACTTAATTTTATGCCAAACCATTGCCTAAAATATGCCAGAAAATGCCAGATAAAGTGTAACATTGTATTCGCTTCACATCAAAAGCTCTAGATATTCTTCACTGTCATCCTTACTGGAACAAGTGGAAGACACAGCGTAAACCTTTTCGGATGTAAAATCTTTTAGCATTTTCTCAGATGGGATGAAATCTTTGCAACTCATATATAATGATGGCATTTTTCTTGTTCCGAAAATCACCAATGAGGTCAATCTGCGTTATTACTAAGGGAAATAACCTGCTAAACTGTGAATACTTTAGTCTATGGAGTTGTCAGCCTGCTTTTCAATTTAAATGTCAGATGCTGTTTAGTAATCAGTCGAACGCAAACATAAGTAACAGGATAGGGGTTTGTAGAAACAAAAAAAAAATCAAAACAGCAGAAATACTTGACATAATGCATTGTACAAAAGATTCAGCATAATTTCCGCTACAAATAAGCAGATTTGGTCGTAACCAAACGGTCTAAGTAATAGCAATTCCTCACGTCCTTTTCAGGACGTAATTTTTTTTTTATTTGAAGCCCCACTCTGGCTTTTGCCAGGGGCCGCAATACAGGCAGGCCATAAAGATGGCCGGGTGTCTGAACGCGAATTCTGGGACCTCTCCACGGTGATCCTCATCCGCATGGTGGCACGTTGTGTCATCGGGTGTTTGTCGCTTGTGTGATGTCTTGTTGGGGTAGAAAGTCAGTCAGTCAGTCTAAGTAATCATACCCAATTTCATCCTTTTAAGGACGAAAGTTTTTGTCATTTGAAGCCCTGCTCTGGCTTTTGCCAGGGGCCGCAATATAGGCAGGCCATACATAGGGCCAGGTGTCTGAACGCGGTTTCTGGGACCTCTCCACGGCGACCCTCATCCGCATGGTGGCACTTTGTGTCATCGGGTGTTTGTCGCTTGTGTGATGTCCTGGTGGGGTAGAAAGTCAGTCAGTCAGTCAGTCACAACCCAGTTTGCAAACAATTCATCGAGGGGAGGTTGTAGTCAGCTTTGGCAGGCTGCTACACCTCTTAATGTTCTAAATGTATAAAATGTTAGCGGATGTCCTAGAAACGGTAGTTGATAAAACTTCTGCCTAGTCCATGCTATGTAGCGTTTTTGTGTAGTTTGACAAAGGCTGCCCAGCCGAAACGTTACGTTATTTGTGTTGTTTTGTACACGTTTTTCTGCTTCCCCATTTTGTTTAGATTTTTAGTCTGTGTAGCATAAGAAGTCACGTCTACCCACAACCCTCTGTCTCGTGTACTTTCAATCAATGATGGCACAGATGATATTTCATGCCATAATTTTTAACTGTCCAAAATCTTCTTCTTCAATCTCCCTCTACCTCTCCACTACCCACTGTCACGATGCACTCTAGTTTTCTTCTTATTACATGACCGAAGAGTGTAGATGTCTCCTTCTGATGTTGGCAATCAGTTCATCATCATGAATCAGTTTCTTTCAAGACATCTTCATTAAGTGCAGGCGATATAATATATATATATTTTTTTATTAGGCTTAGTTCTATGCAACTGTGTGTGCTCCAGTGTACTCCCTGACCATGCGCTCTTATGATTTTACTTAGATGATCAATTGTGCGTATTAAACAATGGCAGGTTATGCCTACAGCAAGTTGTAACTCTGCTGCCTTTAACTTTATCATTACTTTGCCTAGGATATGAGTCATTGTTGTGATAAGCTGTGACTGGCTTTTTGACAGTTTTCATCCTGTGTTTTTCGGATTTTTTATGATTATATGCTACTAATTCTTTGGTGCAACAGTGCACTGACACAGTTTACAATATGCTGCCTCTAATCCGTCTGAAGATCTTTTGAACCGTGTCTAGGTTTTCTTCCAGTTACTATTATATTTGCGAATATCATAAGATGCTTTCCATTTTTTGGGATGACGTGGCCATTGGTAAAAGTAATAATATCTATCATTGATAGAACGAGGTCTATATCCTCTCTATTTTATGTCCTCGAGTAGTTTCTGAACAGTCTGAATCACTTGGTATCAGTGGTGGGTTGGGTTTTTTTTATCCCGCATTTATTCAAGTAGGTTAACATAAATTATAGAGGGCCTTGGTTTATCGAAGTCACGATCCGTTTAGAAAGACAATAAATACAATAAGGAATGGCGCGAATCTCCGTTAGTCCGTACCAGGACATCACAACAAAGTCAAACTAAAATAAAGATGTTAACTGTAGATCTAAATTGCTTTCAGCAAATCTGCCTGTTTCTAACGGAGGAACCATGAAGCAAATGTGAGCACATTTTGATAAGAAAAGCCAGGGAAAACCCAAATATGCCAAAATATGCCAGTTCATTATCTTATGACACTTTAATTTCAAATATGCCAAGTTTGTGGAATCTGGCATACAAAATGCCAATATGGCAACCCTGCTTTCAGCAAGGCTTAACTCATTTGCCCTGGATAAGAAAGTTATGTTAGTAATTAAGAGAAACATTTTTTACGCCTTTATGTGTATTATCCAGGAATTTTTCACACACACACACAAAATCACAAGTAGTTTTCCTTTTATTGTTTATCACTCACAACAAAACATAAAAGAAAATTAGTAACCATGGAAATGAGGTGTCTGAGAAAGACTGTAGGACTGGTAAAATCAGGAATTACGTCATACGAAATAAAGTCGGCACAGAAACAATTCTAAATTGCATACAAAGACAGCTAATCGAATGGTTGGCCCACTTGAAGAGAATGCATTTTTGATGCTATACCATACAAGGCATATACCAAAAGAGGAGAGGGACGTTTAGCAAGAAGTAGACCAAGAACAAGATAAAGAGATACCATCAGAAAAACTCTACAGCACCACGATGCCTCTATGGTCAAAGCAGCGAGAAGAACACGAAACAGGACCCTATATTTTCCTCAACATCCGAAGCGGTAAAATAGGACTTAAAGAAGAAGAAGAAGTTTTCTTAGCAATACGACATCTCTGGAAGTCGAAATGAGATTAAAACCAGTAACAAACTTATATTATTTAACTCCATTTTTATATCAGTACTCATGCGTGTAGCTGAAAATGTAGGCCTGCAACTAATAAACCTAACTATTCATAGTCGCCACTAGACGTATTGATAAAGGTAAAGTCGGGAAATGTGAACCATCGTCATTGCACACGGTTATAAATCATAAGTGCTCTGCTACCAGTACGGACACCTGATA